ACAGAGGACAACTGGTAGTTCCACAAGAACGTATCCACCAGGAGATATGTGTGTCGGGGGAGAGAAATCGCCTGTTTTCTGTGCCTTTTCTTCAGTTTTCAGTAGTTTTCAGCTACACCTTTATTCTGTGAAGCCTTTCTTTCTGAAAAACCCAGAGTTTTAACACTACCTTTGGGCATTCGGGGGCCAAGCGGGGGGCTGGGCTGGCCACGGGGCTTTGTTTGGCTGTGTGATTTTTAGCCTTCCTGCTATGCTGCATGTCTAAGTTTTTAACTGTTTTTATAATTTTATGGTATTTTACGTTGTTTTATGGAGTCGTCCCTGGCCATGTTGCCGCTTGCGCTTCCTGGGGAGCGCACGGGCACTGCCATTGGGGTAGTCTTGGGCAATGGACGTTACAGCGGTGGGAGCTTAATGTGTCCGCATAGAAGAAGGAGGGACAGATGGTTGACACCTGTCCCTACTTCTGGTTTTGCTCCCAGCCAGAGGGTGCCAGGGAGTTTTGTCAGAAACCCCTTGGGCCTGACGGTGCTGTTGCTTAACGCCAGGTCGGTCAATAACAAATCTTCCCTCATCCATGACTTGATTGTGGATGAGGGGGCCGACCTGGCTTGCATAAGGGAGACCTGGGCGGGGGGGGGGGATGTGGCCCTCTCCCAACTATGCCCGCCCGGGTATCTGGTTCAGCACTGTTCACGGCCGGAGGGGAGGGGAGGGGGGTCGCTTTGGTTTACCGGGCCTCCATCTCCCTCACAGGACTTCCGGTCCCTTCGAGGCCGGGGCTGGAGTGCCTCTACTTGGTGTTGGGCGAACAAGACAGATTGGGGATTCTGTTGGTGTACCGTGCACCCTTCTGCCCAACAGTCTCCCTGCCTGAGCTGACGGAGACCATCTCGGACCTGGTGTTGAGGACCCCCAGGATGTTGGTCCTGGGGGACTTCAATCTCCATGCCGAGACTGATCTGACCAGGGCGGCTCAGGACTTCATGGTTTCCATGGTGGCCATGGGGCTGTCTCAACATGTCATCGGCCCGACCCATGAACGTGGACACACCCTGGACCTGTTTTCTCGACGGGACAGGAAGAGGGTGGTCTGAGGGTGAGGAATTTATGTTTGACTCCCCTGTCATGGTCAGATCACTTCCTGGTGAGGTTTGTGCTCGAGAGCGACTTCTCCCTCTGTAAGGGTGCGGACCCGATTGTGTGGGTCCGCCCCCGGAGCCGGATGGATCCGGAAGGATTCCTGAAGGCCCTGGGGGAGTTTCCGGCTGACAAGACGGGTGCTCCTGTCGAGGCTCTGGTCGAACTGTGGAATGGGGAGATGACCAGGGCTGTAGACACGATCGCTCCTAAGCGTCCTCTCCCACCGGGCAGAGCCCGCTCTTCCCCTTGGTATACCCCTGAATTGAGGGCGATGAAGCAGGTTGGGAGATGGCTAGAGCATAGGTGGAGGAAATCACGTGATGAATCTGACTGAACACACTTGAGAGCCCACTATCAGGCCTATGCTGTGGCGGTGAGGGCGGCGAAAAAGAGATTTTTTTCCGCTTCCATTGCCTCCTCACAATGCCGTCCGGTGGAGCTTTTTCGAGTGGTGCAGGGCCTGGTTTGTCCAGGTCCGAAAGAAGATCTGGTTCCACCATCAAAGGCCCGCTGTGACGACTTTGCCAGGCATTTCAGGGAGAAAATCTCTCAGATTCGTCACGAGCTGGATTCCACTATTGATACAGAGGTTTTAAGGGAGATGCCAATGCCGCCGTCTGGTCCAGAATTATTGGATGAATTTCAGTTATTGCGGCCCGATGATGTGGACAAGGTGCTTGGACGAGTATGTCCCACCACTTGCTTATTGGACCCTTGCCCGTCTTGGTTAATAAATAATTCCAAGCATGGGATTGGGACCTGGATTTTGGAAGTGATTAACGCTTCTCTGAGGGAGGGTCGGGTGCCAGCCCCTTTAAAGGAGGCGGTAGTCCGACCGGTCCTGAAGAAGGCGTCACTGGATCCAGAGATGGCCACTAATTATAGACCAGTGGCCAACATCCCGTTTCTGGGCAAGGTGTTAGAGTGAGTGGTGGCGGGACAACTCCAAGCACTCTTGGATGAAACTGATTATCTGGACCCATTTCAGTCCGGCTTCAGACCCGGGTACGGTACTGAATCTGCCTTGGTTGCCCTGTACGATGACCTGTGCAGGGAGAAAGACAGGGGGAGTGCGTCCCTGTTGGTTCTCCTGGTCCTCTCAGCAGCTTTCGATGCCATCAACCATGGTATCCTTCTGGACAGGCTTGCGGGATTGGGGGTCGGAGGCACTGCTTTGCAGTGGTTCCGTTCCTATCTCAATGGCCGGTTGCAGAAGGTGGTGCTCGGGGACTATGGCTCTGTGCCATGGCAGTTATGCCATGGAGTACCGCAGGGGTCCATTTTGGCCCCTTTGCTGTTCAACATTTACATGAAACTGCTGGGAGAGGTCATCAGGAGGTGTGGGCTGCGGAACCATCAGTACGCTGATGATACCCAGCTCTACCTCTCGTTTTCCACCAATCCAGGTGAGGCAGTGGCTGTACTGAACCGGTGCCTGGCCGAGGTAATGGGCTGGATGAGGGCCAATAAACTGAAGCTCAATCCAGACAAGACGGAGGTCCTGTTGGTTGGTGGTTCTGGCTTTGGAGTGTGGGAATTCATTGCTGGGTCATGCTGTACTCACGTACCACACGAAGACCAAGAGTATTGTAATTTACCTATGTAACCATATAAGGCTTGTAACCATATAAGGCTTGTAACCATATAAGGCTTGTAACCTAAGCATTAAGGTGTTGGCTGCTTGTGTACGATGGCTAATTGGCTGTATTCAAATGCCTAGGTAAAAAGTGTGAAGTAATAAAAGCAGATGCCGGTGGTGAGGGGGGAGGAAAAAAGGAGGAGAGCAAGAAGAGAGAAGAAGAAAAAACCTTGGGGGAAGAAGTTTTTGCTGTTCTCCCCCTGCAACTAAACCGAGCATGCTTTGTAACTGATTTCTGGACTGCAGTCTTTTTTTTCTTTCTTTAAACTTTCTCGCGCCGCTTGCCGAGGTTGACTGGCTGGCCCAGCCAACCCGCCACATTGGAGAGGGTGAACTGAACCTTGTTCTGAATGGGGTTGCACTCCCTCTTAGGGACAAGGTCCGCAGCTTGGGAGTGCTCCTCGACCCGGAGCTTTCACTAGAAGCTCAGGTGACAGCAGTGGCGAGGAGCGCTTTCCTTCAGCTTCGGCTGATCCACCAGCTGCGCCCCTATCTGGAGTACGACTGCCTTGCAACAGTGACACATGCATTGGTGACTTCCCGTCTCGACTTCTGTAACACGCTCTACGTGGGGCTACCCTTGAAGACGGTCCAGATACTTCAACTGGTTCAAAACAGAGCTGCCAGGCTGCTGACGGGGACTGGGCGTTGTGTTCACATGACTCCAGTTCTCCGTCAGCTTCACTGGCTTCCCATTGAAGTCCGGGCCCAATTCAAGGTGTTGGTGATGACCTATAAAGCCCTAAACGGCTTGGGTCCTGGTTACCTGAAGGAGCGCTTGCATCCATATATGCCCAGCCGCCCCTTGAGATCGGCGGGGGAGGCCCTTCTCCGGGAGCCCTCAGTGGAAGAAGTTAGGAGGGTGGTTACTCGGAGGAGGGCTTTCTCTGCGGTGGCGCCTAAGTTATGGAATGCTCTCCCCGGAGAGGTCCGCCTGGCGCCGTCGTTCTTTGTTTTTCGGCGCCAGGCGAAGACCTTTTTATTCAAGCGGCATTTTAACTGTTAACATTATTGGTTTTATCTGGCCAGGGCGGCTTATTTTATTCTGTATTGTTGTATTCTTAATTTAATATTTATATTTTTAATTTATATTATAATTATTTTAACATAATGATGTGAGCCGCCCTGAGGCTTCGGCGAATGGGGCGGCATAAAAATGTTTTACTAAATAAAATAATAAATAAATAGATAGATAAATAAATACCTTGTTTTTAACATATTTTTAAAATCCTTTTTTACTTCGTACTGATCAGCCACCTGGATTCTGCCCTGATATGGAGTGGTATACAAATACTGTAGATAAATTCAATCACTTACAGACCTTTATGGAGGCAGGTGATGAAAGGCAGAGTTCAGTTACACTGACTGCTGCTTTGAGCCAGGGTGGTACCGCCTTGTAGGAGACGGCTGGACACTTTCTGGCAATCTCAGGAGGGAAGAATGCTTATTACAGTTAATCAATGTGGTAGCTCCTAGCTCAGCACTACTGCCTCAAGCCTCCGATGAGCTGATGAGGCAATCACAAGCCTCCATCAGCCACAATTTTGTCTGGCGTCACTCTGCCATTGCTGCAGTCATACCACTTCTGCGTCCCAGTTGATCCCCCATGAGACTGGCATTTAACACCAGCTGCCTTGCAAGGAAGGATGCTGTTGTGATGTAGCGGCCTTTCTCTGCTGCTGAAGAGAATGTGCCTGGTGGAAGATCAGCACAGCAATCCTTGTCCTTCAGTCAGAAAGCGCCTGGAGGTGGTCCTGCTGAGCACCAAATCTATCAAAGCAAAGCTCCTGTTTATTTTGCTTTAAAGCATAACGCTGAATGTAAATAGTGTTTCCCCTCCCTCTCTTAAAGCTGCATGCAGCGCAGTGTTTTCTTCTCTTTTTGCAATAGCCACCACTCTGCAGCTCGTCTCAAGGAAACATGAAGACACGGCCGCCAGGGACAGTTCCACCCCTGCTGTTTCCTGAGACGTTTTTTGCTTGCTTTCTGTGGCAAGCTAGGGGGACTAGCGAGCAATAAAGTGATTATATTTCTTCTTTTCCCAAGGAGGAAAGAATAGGGCCAATAAATTTAGCTCTGCAGCTTGGCTGTTTCCACCAGAGAGTGAGCAAGTTCGGCAGCTCGTGAGCTGACTGAAGCACGGGACATTTTCATGACTGGCAACCTGAGTCTGCAGAAGAAAATGAAGGAGCAGTAACCTTGCTTCCCTGGTTGCAAAATGTTCAGCTGGCTGGGCAATGATGACAGGCGAAGAAAAGACCCTGAAGTCTTTGAGACTGTGAGCGAGGGTCTGAAAAAACTGTACAAAACCAAGCTTCTCCCTCTGGAAGAATGCTACAAATTCCATGAGTTTCATTCGCCTGCCTTGGAAAATGCCGATTTTGACAACAAGCCCATGGTCCTGCTTGTGGGGCAGTATTCCACTGGGAAGACCACCTTCATAAGGTAAACTACGGCGTGCTCTTTATTTTTCCTGGGCAGCAAATAATCACTGGGCAGCATTGGGAAAAGGGTGAAAATGCGTGTGTGAGCATTGTGTTTCTATGTGCATATTTCAGGGCAGAATAAAACATCTAGAACCTGTGTTCCTTTCTTCTGGCTCAGGAGATCTGAGGGTGGAAGACCAGGCTGTTACCCTTCCAGGGTGTACCTGCTGTTAACAATTGCTTTACACACACCCTTAGCCATGCTGGTTTATCAGTAGTTCTTATTTGCCAGAAGAGTTTTGGGAAAGCCCTTCTGATGAGATGCAAAATGCATGAATGAATCCATACTAGCTATCAAATCGTTGCCATCCATACTGAAGAATAAGTTGCAATTCTGGCTCTGCAAGAAACATTCCTTTGTGCTTCCGTGGTCCTGGAGGTGCACAGAATCATGTCAAAAGCATGTGAGAGCAGCTGCATTTTACCAGCAAAATATTTTGCTAATATTTGTTGCTGAACTTAAACTTCTGGCAAAAGATCACATACATCTGACACTCATGACTGGAGTTTATTAAGAGGGTCTAATGTCACGTAACAGGACATTTCAGGACTTTGTGGAATCAGCTTTTCATAACTGAAGGATACTTTTGAGTGGGAGGAGATGGATTCCAGGTATCTTAAGATGGCTTCTTAGAAATTGGCAGTGGCAGCTGCAGACTTGAAATATATCCTTGAAATATGTAAGAGAAGTAATTGCATAGTCTTCACTGCTTAGCCATTTCCCCTTTCCTCTGTTGTTTCCCGGTTTCTAATTTAGATAGTAAACCCTTTGGAGACAGACACCTGTCATACCTGTTCTTTATAAAGTGCCACACGCACAGTTGTGTCATATAAATAAATATTCATATTCTTATATGTCAGCATCAAGTGTATGGAGGTTCAGTTTGAAAATATCTGCAAGTGCGCATCCCTGCTTTGGTCTCTGTGTCCAAAGTAAGGGCTGGTCAAAACTAGAGATGCTCTCTGGCTGTCATACTTACTCTACTGGTGTATGATTCTTGCAGTCATTAACCAGCCCTTTCTAGGGAATATTGGCAAGGGCCATGTGCCTAATGGAAGATCACTAGTAAGAGACTTTACATCACCTTGAGATGGTTCAGGTGTAGCTCCCATTGAGTGCTCAGCCTCTGGGTGGAGCCATTTCAGATTGCTCATACTACAGCCTAGAGACACAGACTTTGCCATTTTAATAAGTGCTTGGCCTCAGCCAGGGTTCAACTGCAAAGCTTTCCCTGATGATAAATCGAAAGCCTCTAAATTCCTGTCGTGTGGTTTATGTCCAGCATGTTTCCTCCATACGGCCAGGGCACCCTCAATGGGCCCGTCCTCCATGAGCCTTCCTTCTCACCACCATTGTCCTCAGCTGCAATAGTGCTTCATCAAGTTTTCTTTCCCATGGTTGCTCCCATGGGCTTGCTTGCTTGCTGGGCCAGCAGGTAAGCCAGTAAGTGAGCCAGTGGTTCCATCTACCACACCACCACCGTGGCCTAGGTCAGAATGAGAGGTAAGTGAACAAGGAGGTGGCAAGGCGGAGCAGAGGAGCAAGGCCACCCTACCAAGTGCCCAACCATGTCCATTCTTGATGCTGTACATGGGCACAAGCGGATCATGAGCAAGAAGTAGGATATAACCAATGCCAATTTCAGAAGGTTGTAATGGGAAGGAACTGGGGAAACATTCTAACTTCTCTGGCCTCCAGGGCGTGTAATGGAGATGCAGTCCTCTTTTAGACTGCAGTATCACACCTCCTCCTGTGTGTGTGATACTGTGTGTTCTCCTTTGCTGCTGCTTCAGAAATAGCAAGCATATCTCCATGAACACTGATATTTATTCTTTATGATCTGCAGGGAAGACATTCCAAATCTTTACCTAGCCCTTATGGACTGTAAAACAACTCTTGGAATTTTCCTCTAATAGCACAGACAATTCTTCTGCTAACGCTAGAATCTCTCTTCTGGATTAGTATAACTACAGCACCTCTGTAAAATGGAGCTACTCAGAGGCTGGAATAACTTATAAAGCGTATGAAGGGTTACAGAGAACTTTGCTTTCATTGCTGAGAATAATATCAGGAATTCGGGTTTTTAAGAAAACATTAGGGACTAGTGGAGAATGGTTTTCAATGCTATTCCTCCTACTAATAATTCATTACTGAGAAGGCAATGAACTGGGAAAAGATAATGAAACTGGCAATACTTGGTGATCCGTAATCTTGAGTGACCTAGGCATGTCTGCATGCTTTGATATTGTTGAAATCCAATGCTTGTAGCAAAGACCCAAATTAGGATTAACCTGGCAATTTAGAAAAACAAAACTGTTATCCCAGTTTTAAGCCAGAAATTCACTTATTCCAATAAGGCAGACATTTTTAAGGAGAACATGCAATGGTGGGATAAACTGTGTGCAAAATTGGGAAGGTAGAGAAATGATGTGAGTAAAATGCCCTTTTGGTGTATTCTGTTGATTCTTCCCTCAAACCTAGTGCTAGGCAAAGACCTGGTTCATATAATCCAGCAAGCCCCCATAGTTTAAATAAACCTAAGTAGCTTGCTTTAATCCCCACTATATGCAGGGCATGCCGGCAAGAGCCAGATGACATTTCCCTCATTACCCATCCTGGTGTCCGTCATGTTACCTGAACCTGGGCAGCATGTTGGAAGGGGAGGCAACCCTACTGTGGGCAAATTGAAGTCTGTTTCCCCTACAAGCCATGCTTCCTAGGTTCAGACAACAAGACAAGCCTTTTAGGGAATGTTATTTAGGGAAGTGGCATCCAACACATATCAGCACATGCCGGGGATTAAAACAAACCACCATGCCTAGAAAAGACAGCTGCTTTAAGCTGCAGTCTAACACGTATGCAGGAAACAAGGCTGGGGAACGCTCCATTAACCTGAGTCCAGAGGATAGAGCATTCATCTTGGAGACAGAACAGAGCTGTGTTCAAGTCACACTTTAGACATCAGCCTAGTGTGCAATATCTCACAGGCCCTCTCTCCAGATAAACCAGCTGCTTATTTGTAGGTTGAGCATTTGCAAGATGGGGCAACTATCCACCTTACTATGCAATCTTCCATCCCCAGCATATGCTGGCAAACGTCAATATTATATTTTGCCTCCAGGCTTCATATTCTCAATAGCGCTTCTTGCTGCCTCTAGAGCTTTACAAAAGACAACTTCAGCCTTTCCCAACTTGATGACTTCCAGACTGCAACTCCCAGGCCTCCTGGCCATTGGCGATGCTGGCTAGGGCATGGTGGGAGAGAATGTCCAAAGCACCTGCACATGACCAGGTTGCAGAAGGACAACCTATCATGTTATGAGTGTAGCCCTACCATGGAGCAGCCTTATTTTAATCAGGTGTAGTTAGTACAGTATCTTGTATGTGGACCTTGCTTCTTTACTTCAGGTGGCATTTCATCCCTGTCCTTTCCTTTCATATTAAGTGCAATAGCAAGCAGACACTGGTTCTCTTTAGATTGTTTCAGAAGGTTCAGGAGGACTTCAGCGAGGCAGCTGAAAGAGACCCAAGAGTCTTTCCATATGTGATATAAAGCTCTGTGAATGCTGAAAGACAATAATTATTAGTTGCCAGTAGTACTGTACGGAGACCAGACAGATTAAAATCTTGAAATGGTTGTCAGTGATAATCACCAGTGTTGGACCACTGTGTGATCACATACCATGAAGACAATGGCCTGAAGAAGCTTAGTTGAATCCTCCCTCTTTCACCCTGAAAGTCTGAAGAATCTGCTTTAGATCAGGGAGGGGGCCAAATGGAATTGTCACCCTCTCATGCTGTCTCAACAGTCAGGGGTATTGGGCAAGGTTACAGAGGCACAGCCAAGAAAAGCTGGCTCGTTTTAGTATTCCTGGAGGCTTTGGAAGTGAAAAGAAAGGAGCCCTACTGTGTTTAAGGTCAGTGAAGCAAGGCTGAAGTATGCCTGTCTGGTTCCAGGGGAAATCCAACTGTGCTCCTTTACAGGCCCAGGAAGCAGTCTCTTTGTCAGCTGAAGGATACTGTTTTCCCCTTAGATGGCTTATATTTCTTCTCTTCCTGTCATGTTCCCCCAATCCCTTCAGGTTGTCCTATCAGAATGCCAAAGTGTGTAGCAGGCTGCAGGAGCTTAATTATATGGCTTGAATTCCTTTCGATGTTAACTGTATCTCTTTTAATGACCAAACAGGGCTAGGGTCTCCTGAGAGAGAAGCATCTTTTGTGCTTGCCAGGCCATCCATCTTTCCACAGTTGGTTTGGAGTTGTTGTTGCTGTTTATTTTTACAAAGATCAACTCTATGTACAAGTACACCAACACTAGTGCATGTTGGGTAATCTAGGTCAGTTACACAAAAGAGTAACTGACACTTGGGATAGTTGTTGCTTTTGCTCCTCGTGGCTAGTGCTGTGCCAATATTTTAGACAAGGATTTTGAGGGGACATGCACAAAGGGGAGTACTTAAAAGAAATCATAGTCATATATTGGGTAAAGAAAGAGGAAGAAAATTTCATAGAATCTAATAGTTTGGCCCAGAGCTTACTTTACAGATGTTATGAAATGCTGGAGGGGTTTAACCCTTCCTTTAACTAGCTAACTAAACACAGAAATCCTTGCATGAATCACAACAATTTCACAGAATGTTTGTATTTCCTGGACCTTGGGCAGCCCTGAGAATTTTTCCAGAAGTCTTTTTCCCTTCCCATGCAAAATTATTATTCCATTACATCTATATCTTGCTTTTCCCCCTCTTGTGATGAAGTCAAAGCAGCTTACATAGTCCTTCACTCCAGGTCATCCTCACAAAAATGATCCTATGTACTAGGATGGTCTGAGTGAGTGACTGGCCAAAAGTCAGTGAGTTTTCAGGGCCAAGTGAGGAGTAGAACCCGGATCTCTCAGGTCCCTAGTCCAACTCTGTAACCACCGCACCACACCACACCAACAGAAGAACCACTGCTTCTTCCACGGGCAGCAAGGGGGAAGAGTTTTAGAAACTGAGAAGGTCCTTGTATTTGTGAGGACTGAATGCAGAATACTTGTGCATCTTACTTTACAGAAGATGGTCCTCCAATGGATGACATCTTCTGTTTGAAGGGCTGTGTAGTTCAAAGATAAGGGACCATCTGAAATGGCCTGCTGACAGTGAGCATCTGAACAGCAGACTGAGTGGACCTGCAGTCATAGCCTTTGATATTAGCTGAAATGTAATCCTAGAAAAAATACCTTTCACCAATGCAATCAAAGTGATGACCATGAGCATCCTCCAGACAATTAGCTGAAATCATAACGGTAGCTCCTTTGGTTTTGTAACCTGCACATGCTTTGACTATGTCACGTTAAACTTATTTTTTCTAATAAATTAAGCCCTTTCAAATTGAATGTTTTTTTAAAGAAAAGCTAGAACTACTTTATTTTGTTCATTTGTATTGTGACTTTTTCCTCTTAATGGATGGTTCAATCCATTAAGATTCTGTCTTATAACATGCACTTATTCCTTGCTCTTATGATCTGTTTTTGAAAAGCCTTCACCACTACCTGGTTCTCTTTGTCCCATGACTACCTCTCTCTTCTTTTCAGTAGCTTTTTAAATTCAATAGTACATTTTCTTGCTCATTACTCCAAAAATCAATTTCTCTCCTTCCTTCCTTCCTTCCTTCCTTCCTTCCTTCCTTCCTTCCTTCCTTCCATTCCTTCTCCCATAATGTAAGAGTCATTTATAATTTTTTCCTCCTCTACAGATTCCCACAGTTACCAATTCTTCTTTCAGCCAAACCCCTTTTGGCCAAGCTGCTTAAATTAAGCTCCCATCTAGACAGTTTGTATGCAATTTTACTAAATATAAAAAACAAGCCATCTCCTCTATTTACTAACGTTTCCATAGGCAGAACCAGGAAAACGTGCACAGAAAGACACCAATGATCAGTTTCTCCTTGTTGTATATTCTACTTCCACATCTACTATAAATATTGGCTCCTATTGAAGATACTGCAACTTGTTGTAAAATTTTATTCTATTAACAAGACCAAACGCCCATTATTGAATCCTTCTAGAATATTGCATTACTTTAAAGCTTGCTTTCTCCTTTGGATTGCAGTAGTGCTATCCAAGGTTACTGCCTGCAACCTTCCAGAAACAGAGTTTTTGGGGGCCCCTCCACAGGCACTATTAGAGGTGCTCACGGGTAGCATATGAAGGATGCCTCCTCCAAAGCTAAGCTGGAACTATGACATGCTTTATGTTTGTTCTTAGGTACCTTCTTGAACAAGATTTCCCCGGCATGAGAATTGGACCAGAACCTACCACAGACTCTTTCATTGCTGTGATGCGGGGAGATGTGGAGGGTATCATTCCCGGAAATGCACTGGTTGTGGATCCAAAAAAGCCCTTCCGGAAGCTTAATGCCTTTGGCAATGCCTTCTTGAACAGGTTAGTATGGTGTTATCTGATATCAAGCTACTTGCAAGGTAATGGAAAGATAAGTTCCTTGGCTCAAATGGGGTAAAATCTGGACTTTGTGGAAGCTCTATTGAGAAAAGCAAATTCTGTCCTAATCTTCACCCAGTGAAAGCACCAGCAGCAGCCACATCCTTTCTTTTTATTTTTGTTCTAGAGTATAAATGGACCAAGCTAGACTGGGTCTCCGGCTTGGGGGTTAGCTTCAGGAATTCCCCCTCCCACTACGGGAGCACAATTTATGGTGGGACTGCTCTGGATTGAGGGCACTCTTGCAATATCTATTGCTAAAAGCCTTTTCTATGGATTTGATGGATGAAGTATTAAATCAAGGGACTGAGAACAGGTTTTGCAGGCAGGGTCAAGGTGTTATGTCGCAGCTGCATGTACAGTACATAGCCCTACCAATAAAATACCTAGGAGAAGGAGGCATTGCTAATTGTCTGTTATAACTGCCTAAACCTGTTTTGTTGGCATTTGTTTCCTTGTCTTTTCACCGTTAAGATGAAACCTAGCCAGCACCATGAATTTCATGATGTGACAAATATGACCATAATATTCCAGTGGATGAAAAATAAAATGCATCTAGTGCATAAGATGAGAACAGTTGAAAAACATTCCTCTTACGGGCATTTTTATTATGGGCAATTATTATGGGCATTTGGACTTCCAAATTGCTGCTTCTTGTTTCTTAGATGGAACCAGCTCTTCACGATTTCTCCACTGTTCAGTGTTATATTTCTGGATTTGGTCCATTCCAGATCATTTGCATTTTTCCTCCCTCTACATTACTGGTGAGGACACATGCATTAATCAGCCCTGCAAATAAGCAGCCTTGAAGTCATTATGTGCATGACTGGTGAAATATTACACCAAGTTCTTAATGCAGTCATTGCATCCAGATTGCTTGTTTGTGGTATAGTTTATTAATGCATATCTATGCATTACAATGGGAATGGGTAGAGTTGATTAATGCATGAGTTAAAGCTGGAGATCAAGCGAAGTGGGATTCAGGAGAGAAAAGGTACGGCCAAAGCACCCTAACCAGATTTTGTATGGGATAAACATATATTGAGCAATGGACTTAAGCGAAGTGGTGGCAGGAAGGTAGGCATTGCTCTTTAATTCCAGCAGATGGGAAACTGTGAGCAGAGTAATGTGTTCAAACTAACCTTGCAGGAACATTCTGAAGAATGGCCAACTTAAAATTCTGTGGAAAAAAAGTAGAAAAATGTCTTTCACCACACCTAGCTCAGTTAATCTTTGCACAGAAAGGCTTTAAGCTGCATCATCTGAATCATGAGCATGGTATTCTAATGATCTGCACTAGGACAAGATGGAAGAATCCTTTGGCTAGGGATGGTGCCAGGATGATGTAAAGCAGGATTTCCCATCCCGTAATGCGTAGTATACTGAAAGAGAAACCAGTCTGGTAATGGTGCAAATGCTTTGTGGTTCTCCAGGTATCTTGTGGTGAAAAGGATTCCTGTAAGTTCGTCTTCTCACTCACTCAGCAGAGTATCACATAAGGAAGAAAAAGATTATCAGTTGTAGCTGTAACTGGCAGCCAAGAGGACTCAACCTGCCAGATGATTAAGACTACAGCACCCAGAATCCCAGTGAACATGCCAATGGCCCAGAATTATGGGAGCTGCTGGTACAGAGCATCTGGAGGGGTGGGCCACCCTGCTTCAGCTGCTCCTTGCTCCTTTTGCTTGCCCTCCCCTCCCCCTTCGTTCAGCCTCTCTACCCTCTGTAAGGGCAGCTGTCTGTACGGTTCGGGTCAGCTGATGGGGCTGATCCTTCCTGAGCTGCTCAGTTGTGTGCCTGCTTCAAACAGCACCTGCAAAGGGTTCACCTTTGAACAAGTCTTTAAGAAAACTGAGGTGCCAATGCAACACAAGTTTCTGTAGACAGGTATAGATAGCACATGCAGGTGTGGAGGAACCCTGCCCCCTGAGGGGAATGAAGGTAAATGAACAGTGTAAGAGGGGGGTTACAGGTTTAAAAAAGAGGCATTCCACTGGCCCTTTCAAGTACCCCCTTTCCATTCCTTCCAAAGAACTAGAAGTGATTCTCCACTGAGAGTCATGCTATAAATAGGAACAAGGACTTTGAGCACTATAAATTCAATCCAGATCCTCATTTAGCAGCGTATCCTAGAGCAGACCTCTACTCAGGACACTCCTACTGATGGAAACTGTGGTGGAGAGGTGATCTCTGGCAATTCCTCCACCACCTCCAGCAGGAAGGGATACACAGACACAGCCCTCACTACAAGAAACACCAGCAGATTATAGCTTAATGCTCTTTCTGCCAATAACTAAGCCTGAGGAGAGACATCTGCCCCTTTCCAGCATGCAACTCTTTTCCTGGCTGTCTACTCACTAACAAGCCAGGTTTAAGGGTTTGGTACTTGTGTGCAAAGCCCTAAACAGGACCAAGAGTTTCTTCTCCCTTGCCAACCTGTGTGGTTCATGAGGTCATTGGAGGGGATGCTTCTGGTAGCTGAAGTGTCAGACTGGGAGAACATTCAAGATACTATCCATGGTACTGAGCCTATGTTGGGCATAGAGATCAACACTGTGGATAGCTCCTATAAAGCTTAGAGTACAATCTGGCTATACAGCCCCACTTACACCACAACACCAGCCAACAGTTCACATAGCTTGTGGCTGAATAGGAGTCTACCCAGAGAAGAACCTTCAGGGGCTCAGCTCCCTTTCTCTAGAACTCCTTGCCTCCGGAGCTCAGAGCTGCCTCTGGAAGCATCTTTCTTTAAGGAAGCCTTCCTAAATTAACCAGCCATGGTTTTTATTGATTCTGTTTAATGTATTGTTTTACTCCTTCTTGTTGTTCACTACTTTGAAATCTGCATTCTGGAATATGGAGCTATATGCAGATGATGCAAATAAAATAAAGAATTATTAATCCTTGTAGACCATTGGAGGTGAGAGGTGGGGGACTACAGAAGCTGAGAAACTATTGAATGACTGGTGGTTACAGGATGAGACCAAGGGAAGAGGGGAAGCCAGGAGTGTCTGTCTCCTAAGAGTGTTGGATCTGGCCTGAAGGCCCAAGTTTCTCCAACACATGTTGTAGCAATATCAAATGCCTCCTGTGTTGATTTCTAATTCCAGGATAATTCAGGTCCTCACAGAAATACTCACAGAATACTCCTTAGGCTCATGTGCCTTTTCCAGCAGGATGTGTGTGTGGTACTTTTTGTTTTGCTTCTTGGCCCAATCTGCCTTCTGACCTTTCTGGCATTTAATTAGCTTGGTACGGCTTCTGCAGTGCTAACTAGCAGAGATGTCTGAAGGTCCAGTCTCCTGCAGAGGAATACTTAAAAGCAGGAAAAACAGGCATATTGGCAGAGCAACCTAAATTCACTCAGTAAAAGAGTTCTCTCCACAGCAAATGCAAACCACTCAAAGAGGGACAGAGAGTGGAGCTGGTGGCATGAGGCCAATATTTCATTTGTTATTTTGGAAAATAAAGCTGTCATAGCATGCTTTCAGGATAGCAAGCCCCACACCAGGGTGGAATGCACAGGCCAGTGTTGAAGGAATAACTCTTGCTAAGCTTTCATACTCGGGGCCCATTTTAATGCCATTCACCATCCAGACTACTTGTTGCCAGATGCAGGGTGTGGAATTAATTTTAAGCACACATTGGCTTCTGACTGAGGCTGCATCTTCACTGAGGTGGGTAAAGCTGTATTTGGGTTTTCAGTCTGCAGGTGAGGTTCACATGTTCAAATGCCCCTGAATTCAAAGCTCTGGGTTTCAAGGAACTTCTGTTATTAAGAAGAATCCAGTTGTGTGAGCCTCCATCTGTACTTTCCATTTTAGATTTCTGATTTCAGAACCTCACTTTTGTCTGGATTTTGTAAATCATCTAATGTGAAATATCCTGAGCTGTCAAATTTCCAACTGCAGTTGACAAATATCACCAGATGGCAACTACTGATTTCAAGCAGTGAATATTAGCCAAATATTCAATGTTACAATGCATAGAAGAGAGTTCAGAAGAGAATTAGTTCCTGCTCTGGATATTATCCATGCTTTGTTACCCTCAGTACTTTATTTCAGTAGGGCTGAATCTCTTTTAGCCCAAAAGCCAGATTCAATGTTAGAACAACTCTTGAGGCCCCAGTCATGAATAGGACCTGAAGCAAAAGGGGATGGATGCAAAATATACCCCAATGCCAGCACATTTTAGCTTACAGCACTTACTGCCAGTAATTAGCACTTCAAAGGGGCATGTCAAACCTTTTCACTGGGGTGCATGGATTGCAAAGGCTGGGAACCCCCCAGATGTTCAACAGTGGTGGGAAGGGGAAGGGGAAGCGGGCTGCTGCAGGGGAACCCTGAAGGGCCAGAGTAGAAGGCCAGGAGCCAGATTTGGACCATGAGCCTAAGATTTAAAACCTCTACTTGACTGTGTTTGGTTTTGTTTGTTCTTGTTCTTAGATTTATATGTGCTCAGCTGCCAAACCCGGTGCTTGAGAGCATCAGTATTATTGATACCCCTGGGATCCTTTCTGGAGAGAAGCAAAGAATTAGTCGAGGTAAGTAAAAAAACTGCTTCCAGTTTTGGGAAATGGATGCACTTGCTCTGGGTTTGGCTTAGGTTTTGTTTCAAAATATGCAAACATGCAAATTGAGTAGGGTCTGATGAGCACATTCTTACAATGCTATTGATTTGATCCTAGAATTGGCTTCAGAATGTCCTGCCTGTATAGCTGTGCACCAAGCTAGCATGTTGATTCACCTTTGCTAAGCTAGAAAATTGCAGGCCTGCAGCTGGATGGGTGACTACATGTGGAAATGGAGTAGGGTAATGGACATGATGGTCTTGTAGGCCTCTTCCAACTCTACTAGTATTTATTAAAAGTGGAAATCAGGATTGAGTGCCTATATTTCTCAAGTAAGCACCATTCCCCTTCAAGAAGGAGATAACTCATTTTTTTAATGTATCTCTCACTAAAAACATATACCAGTGAAGAGAAAAGTGATGCATTGATGGGCAAGAAAATTCCAACCTAGCCCTTGACTTGACATGCTACTTTTCTGTATGTATTTTTTTAAAAAAAATGGAAGTGAGGCATTTAAATATAAAATACACCCCATCCCCAGCATTTTGAAGTAGTATAATCCAATGAAAGGTACACTAATGAGCTAATGTGCATGGGTCTACAGTTTATTCCAGATGTGGGTGAATGATGACAGACATATTTAGGCAAGGTTTTTTTTTTTTAAACCCATAGATCTTGCTTCCTTCCAACTCTGCACCATGCCATTTATAGGCCAGATCTTAATCTTATATATGTTTACATCAAAAGAGATCAATAAAGGCAGGCATGACCCTACCATGAAGCAAAGTGAGGCAGTTGTCCCAGTTGGCTGGTGCCGGGAGGTGGCAGAAAACCTTTGGCCAAGAGAACTGTGGACCAAGTGGTCTATCCTGTGTCCCCTAAGCTAGCCTCCTGCCTCCAGCTGTGGTGGAGAATGGGATGCTGCCCCATTGCCAGAGCTGAAGAAAGTCCCGCTGCTGACCCAGTTGGTTTTTATATACAGGATAAGGGAGTGAGCTATCTTGTCCTTTGCCTCAGGCAGAGAAATATCTTGGGATTGCCTTGTCTGGAAAATGCAGCTAAGCTGCCAACTGAGTTTAATGTGACAGGTGACGTATTACTTGCACAGAAATTCTGTTTGTGTCTGAGGTTGTGGCAGCTGTGCAGGGACAACCCAAAACATTTTGCTAACAGAGACAGGAGACAAGATGCTTCTCCCATTCCATGCACAGAAATGAAGCAAATAGGCAAGTGAATTTTACTTTGGCGCTGGTGACAAGGCTGTGTCTTCCACAGTACCTGAGGGCAGTGGGCTAGTTTAATGAGGAGAGGAGAGGCCTTGTGGCTCACACAGCTCAGAGGGGGATGGCCAGAAGGGGGGCTTTGGCAGGATGACTGGGGGACTAGCCATGGCCAGTCCTAGCATTAGGCTGACTGATGGACCCACATTGGGCAGCAGAGCAGAAGAACAGTGAATTGCATTGCCTCCCCTGATGCACAACACCCCTGCCAGGACCCTCCAGCCACCTCCAGTGCATGCTCCATAGCAAGAGGGCAACTCACAGAGTTCTCCAGAACATCCTGCTGGCTACACTGCTAGCAACTGCTCCTTCTTATTGCAGACTCTCTGGGGCTCACCAACCGTACCTGCTTGGCCAGCTGGCTTGCTGGCTACTCCCTCACTTGCTTGGCCAGCCAGCACATCTAGCCATTCACTCCTGCCTGGCTGGCCACTCTTGCCTTGCAGCCCAGCGGCTGGGTACAAGGGAAGAATGGCCAGTTGGGCTGAATAGCCCAGCAAATGAGGGAGCCACCTGCTGGCTGGACAAGCAGAAGAGAGGCAGATTCACTGAGCCAGCTGTGGCTTCCAGGCTGCTCCCTCCCAAAGCAAGCTGCTGCAATCCTTCATTGTTAGCTCTTGCAAAAAGAAGAGTCCCGTGAGAAACAATCCTTCTTCCCAACAATGCACACCGAGTCCCAGAGGACTTACTGTCAGAAGACCTGTGTATGGGCACTGATGTGAAACTTGTCCCGCACTTCTAAATGCTCAACATCACGCCTCTCTTGTGTGCCATCTATGGCAGCCTTCTCAAGCTTGATGTCTGCAGAGTATTGGACACAACTGGCTGGAGCATGCTGGAATTTGTAGTCCAGCCCCTCTGGAGGACACCAGGCTGAGGAAGGCTAATCTGTGGTTGATTAAAGACTATGCAACAGTCCTTTAAAAAGGATGCTGCCAGACAGCTTGAAAGAAGAAAGGAAGGGTAGCGATGGAATGGAACCAGCAGATCAGCCAGGAATTAGTCAGATTCTCCGAGGAAGCACAGCAGTGGGTAGACATGTTTAAAAATTATTAGCCCTGCCTCATCTGGAGGGCTGGAGACACAATGGACTACAATCTGCATCTGAATGGCGCCAGGTTAGGGATGGCTGGCTTAAAGAAAACAAGGAGCAGCATAAGCTAAACTTTGTGGTGGGGGAGGGCATGCCTTGTGCAATAAATAGCTGATTAAAGGAAACTTTGAAAGATAAGATCTAGAGAGCAGATTAGATTCAGAAGAGTAAACAATCAAGCAGACACAAAAGAGGAAATCATGGAAAATGTGCAGATTAAGACTATGCAAGCATCCATGTTTGTTTCTATAGACATGTATACTCTATCTTGCTTTAATTAGCTATTTAATTTGGACAGCCAATCCATGCAACCCCCCCCAAAAAAACTCTATATAAGGGAAACCATTGATCAAAGCAGTAAAAAAGACAGAAAGTGAAATCCAGACAAACAGAAAAATGAAGCAAATTAATGACCTCTACAACCCTATTTGCATTCTCTCTCCCCCGCTCCTTCATTCTTTCTTGCACTCTCTCTTACACACATGCACACACACAACTACCCCTTAACAATATGTGTGCGGGTTACAAGATGCTGGAAATGCACATTTTAATGAGCTGAACGAATTGTGAGTCCAATATAATAGCCTGATTATGTAGAAACCTCAATCTAGTAGTTAGTGCCTTTGGTGTTCTCCAGGTAGCCCTCAGCAGTAGCCCTCACCTTCCCCTTCTCCTCCATCTGAAAAAAGGGGAGATTTCCAAACTCTGCAACTGCATGTACTTTTTGGTCCATCTCATAAACTGAGCTGTGTAGCATTTCCTCCAACTGCAATATTGCTACTAGGCATAGGAAAGTTACCAGCAGTACTCCTTGTTCATGCATGTCAGTGTATTCAATAGGAAGGACCATAAAATTATTATTTTTGTATGTAGACAGATGATACAGATACACATACATAAATTATATAGATATAGGTATGTGACTGTACTTTTGGAATCTAAAACTTTGCTAAAAATATTTTTTAAAAATCACACTGTTCCAAAATCTTACCCTTTCCTCCTATAAGATGTAAGACAGTCCATTTTGAGGCTGGCTGGCTGGCTGGCTCCCATATTGATTAATATGTGTTAGTGCCAATATCAATCACACCACAGGATACACACTGTTCGATCGAGTTCATATACACCATTTAACGGGTCAATACTTGGAACAGGAACAGTGTTTTCATAAGCACTGGACCATTTTGTCAGAATATCTTTTCTGACCTGATCTTAAATAGATCACTGAGTTATCAGCAGATTCCAAAATAAGAATGCTCTTCACAAGCTTGCCTCCAAGGATTGCTGTTTGTTTGAAGGCTTTTGAAAATCTGGATCATGGAGAAAACAGAACTGCATCACCAAAATATGACCAAGAATAGGTGGCACGGTTACAAAGCTAACACAATGTTATGTAGAAGTCAAGAGGGTGAAGGGAGAGAAGTTAAGCCCCTGAAAACCATCTTTCAAAAAATGAAGAGATCGTTTTGAAACTTGGAGCATGATTCCATTCTTGTGCAATCCGTTTTAGATGGATGCTAGTATAGTGATTTAGCAGAAATTACTCCAATGGTGTAGTGAAGGCAGGATTTGCAGGGAGAAAGCACTAAAGCACTCTTTATTTCCAAGGATGCTGAAGTCTCCCACTGCCTTCCTCAGAACTGCCTGTTCCCTGCTGAGCTTATGTGCACCCCTCACGGTGGCTGGGCTGCCAGGGGGCAGGATAGAGGGATTAATTTTTCCAGCAACAATATATTACTCCCTGTAGTACGGATGAATTTTCGGGTGGCTTTGTCTTGAACAGAAATGACAACCCGTTCACTTTACAAAAGACCTGCTCTTGGTGGAGATAAAACTGCTAGAACTAATTTGTAGGTGTGGATGAATCCAGCTGCCTAAATGTTTGGACTCTCCATGCCTGAGGCACAACTATGGGCAACTGTCATGATGCACACCTGCACTTCAAAACTTGCCATTGTGTGCAGCAGCGTAGAGAGATCCGAATCTAGTGTCCTCTCCCCTTCAGTATGAAATCCACACTTGAGCAATGCGTCAAGCTGAGATGTGCTCTGCTCTACTTTGTCTTCATCTAAATGTTAGTTCTGGATGTCTGACACACGTACATCATTCTTGGCTGAGGAAGTAGTTCAAAGGCACTGCTGTGGAAAGTCACTTATATAATTCTGCCTTGGAAATGTTTGCTTTTGTCAAGATGTCCCTTTGTTTGTTTTCCTTTTGAAGGAAGGGAAAGCAGTTGTTAGCCTAGAGTAGACATTCCAAATTAGTCTGCTTATCCAAAGTCTTCTGAGTGGCGTGATATGCACCAGGAACAACATATTTGCATCACAAAGGCAGGTTTCCCTACAATCTATATGGCTGGTATCATGGGATTCCTGGTGCATAATCTATTTATGCATAAGTGCAATGCACCCATGCAGAGCACCCCAACAGAGCGCAGTAAAGCAGCATTCCCCGACATCAGCTGCATATGCACACAAGTAAACGGTGCTCCTTTATCCTGATGTTCCCTCTCCATTCGTCCCAAATCACTTGTTCTCTGGGCACCTGCGAGGAGATGTGGGCATCCATCAGATTCCCTGGGCTCGGCTTCCCAGGCTCAAGCCACTTTCTGGCAGCCATGGGTCTGCCTGACTGGCAAGTGCACCAAGCAGCAGTGCAGCGCTTAACAGGACTCAGGAGGCCCTGGGCGATCACAACACAAGCGGCATCCTTCTTCTGTGCACATGATCTGCAGCTTCTTGTGCTGCACATGATGCAGAAAAAGGTGACAGGTGGCACATCTGGGGTTCTGTGAGTGTTCCCAGGCTTCCTTTCAGCCCAGCTCACTTTCTAAGCCAGGGCCAAGCATGAGAGGAAGACCATGAGCTGAAGAGGGACGGATTCCAAGGAGCTTTGTTGCAACATGGCACTGACTTTAACTTGGGAAAGAGCAATGTCCAGGTGGGTACCTGGAAGTTACATACTGGCTGGATATAATTTAGATGCTGATGCAAAAGTCTGACAGTGTTCCAAGCACAACTGTAGGGCACATATGGGAGTGTGGCTTGCAAGGCATTGACTGGTACTGCATGCAGGCTGAAATGCGCCAATTCAGTCTTCCCAAGCCTGCAGGTGTTTTGGGCTTCAACTCCCACCAGCCTCAACCATTGCAAACAGTGGTCAGGAGTGTGGGAGGCTGTAGACCACACATCTACAGGGCACCAAATTGGGGAAGGCCAAGCCAATGGATGCATCTTGAGTGACTGCCACTGAAAAATCATTTGGATCGTTGGATCGTCGATCCTAATGGTAAATGCAAAATATTTGCACAATTAGAAAATATGTGTCTTCAAGTACCAGATCCCTTTGAGGATTTGGTGATGAGGCTTGGTGGGGAGGGGTATTTCAGCTTTACTTCTGAATTGTGAGTTATGGCTCCACTGCTCACTTGATGCAATTAATTATAGCACGTTATAAAGTGTAACATATCCCAGAAGCAGAAACAGGAATATATTCTTCAGTGGTTCCATGGCACACTCAAGCTGCAATGGCATGCTTGTTCTTTAATAGTTTTGGTTACAGAAATAGTTATCCATGTATCTCAAATGGCAACTTTCTCCAGGCCAGTGCCCTTCTAGTTGTCTGGAGGATATTGGGAATAGTACTCAACACAACTGGAGGGTATCACACTGGGAGAAGACTGATACATGACATTATCTCTGATTTTATAAGGACCTTTTCTTCCTCACAGGCTATGACTTTGCTGCAGTCCTCGAGTGGTTTGCTGAGCGCGTCGATCGCATCATTCTCCTCTTTGATGCCCACAAACTAGATATCTCAGATGAATTCTCACAAGTTATCAAAGCATTGAAAAACCATGAGGATAAAATGAGGGTGGTACTCAACAAAGCTGACCAGATCGAGACCCAGCAGCTTATGAGGGTTTATGGCGCCCTCATGTGGTCTCTTGGGAAGATTGTCAACACACCTGAGGTGATCAGGGTCTACATTGGTTCCTTCTGGTCCCACCCATTGCTCATCGCTGATAATCGCAAGCTTTTTGAGGCAGAGGAGCAGGACCTCTTCAAAGACATTCAAAGCCTACCACGCAACGCAGCCCTTCGGAAGCTGAACGATCTTATTAAACGGGCACGGCTGGCCAAGGTAAGTGCCAGGCCCAGGTGTGCCTTTCTTCACTTCTGAAGGTAGCTTGGTAATCAGACATAAAAGGAAGGTAATTGGACTACAAATGGGCCACTCGTGAAGAAATTGTAGGGTCACTTGTGAAAAAATTAAAGGATCTGTCCCAACATACAGCAAAAGTGTTAAAATTTAAATAGGTGACCAAATGGCACCCCAATTGCGGAATTCACCCCCCAGAGAGGTTCGTCTGGTGCCACCACTTTATTCTTTTCAGCGCCAGGCTAAAACCCTTTTATTTTCCCAATGTTTTAAGGCCTGATTGTTTTAATTGGGGTTTTACTGTTAGTTGAATTTTTAGGATGCTGTGTTTTATTTTACATTTTGCATTGTTAAGCCATCCTGAGACTTTGGGAAGGGACGGTCTAGAAAAGTTAAATAAAATAAAATCAAAAAGAGCCAGAATGGATTTCTGATAAAACTCCTGCTTCATCCAGGGTGCTGAACCAGTTCCAACATCCTAGGGTTTTCTTGAACCTGAGGTTGTTGTGAGTGAAGTGGTTGGTTCTCTCTCCTGACTCCTGGACTAAATAGCCCTACATTACCATGGATCTAGAAGAGAGTTTTTCATGGCCCAGTCCACATGTCATGTTTAACAGTTTGGGAACTCACCATCCACACACTGGTTAGCTCCAGGAGGAAAAACCAGGTGGTGGGAACCAGCACACTTGCTGCATCCTCCCATGTTCATAACAAGACAGAAGTTAAAGAAAACAACCCTGGATTGTTGTGATAGGTCAACCAGGACATTTTTTCTAGGTTAGCCTGGATGAAGAGAGATAATCAAACAAATAATGACATGCACACTCCAACATACACATGTTTGTGTTGGCAGTACACATGGGCATTAGTCTTGTAACAGTTCTAATAACTGTACTGTAATAATAACCATACAAAGAGTCCCATGTGTGAACGAAGAACAGATTGGGCTTATTGACTGATTGATTTACATTTCTGTATTCCCTTTCTGCCCAGACATCCAAGGCAGTTTATAGTTTCTAAATATAGAAACAAATAAATGTTATCACATGCATACACAAAAACCTCAATTGAATATGCTTGTCTTGGGCCAGTTGAAGGTCTCCTCGGGAACTGAGGACACGAGCACTCTGGCTGGCTTCGTCCCCTCTGTGTTCTCTCAGGTACAAAGTTCTGAAGTAGCCTCAGGAAAGGTGCCAAAGGGCTAGTCCCACAGTCTTCTCAAGTTGTCAATGGACCCTGCAGACATCTGGTTGGACACCATAAAGCACTGAATGCTGATCTAATTGGTCTTTGGTCTGTTCCAGCAGGGCTCTTCTTACATTCTTATAATGCTATTGGTTTTGAGAAAGAGAGCCTTATAGTGCCTAAGTTGGAGGTACCTATTCCCTCATATATCTCTCTGTGAGCCTTTAGGAATTGCCACACATGAAGACAACATGTTCAGTAAATTTTTCTTCTCCGGTTCATGGGTAGACATGGTTGAATATTTCCATTGCTGAGTACTTCCAAGCACTCACACCCCACCAGAACCTGCTGGACTTGCTGCTCCTTCCACCGTTTCAACTGTTTGTTGGCTTGCCTGTTGTGTTGGGAAGGAGGAGCATTAGTTCCACGGCCTACTTCTTCACTGCCTCTCAGCCTGTCAAGAGAACAAGCAGTAACAGTGATGGGAAAGAGGATAAGGAGCAACAGCAGCTGGTGACAACAGTGATGAGAAAATCAGCTCACTGAAGCAAGGGCCTAGTGAGGGTATCTGACCCAGGGGCTCTCCAGAACTTAACCAGGCCCTGTTCATTATAATAAAATTTGCCCCAGGATCTTGGCATCTGATTGGATTTCCTTCACATTCAGGATCTGAGAAAATAACTTTGACAGCTGAGTGGAGTCTAGGCTACTCCATCCACCTCTGACATTATCTGTGATGTCATGCTGAATCACTGTTAGACATAACAGAATTGTTTTTGTTGTTATTTTTGGTTGGTTGATTGACTGTTTTTAAAGCTGACTAATGACATAGCTGGTATCGTTTATCCTTGTTTCAAAATTCTTGTTCAACCTTAATGTTTCCTAAATAGCTTTGAGCACATCACAGTGTCTCAGTCCAGAATACCATTAGGTTTTGCAGTTACCATTATATATGCTTCCATTGATAAATGAGGTCAGATCTATAAAAACTGGGGGATAATTCTTTCTAAAATAGAAAGGAAAAGAAGAATGGTCTCTGTATGTGGAGATACATGAACATTATATGCTAGCAATATTGTGGTGTTCCTATTACCCTTCTTTTTTTAAAAGTATACCACCTTCTGTGATGCACCAGGTCCATGCTTACATCATTAGCTCACTTAAGAAGGACATGCCATCAGTTTTCGGCAAAGACAGTAAGAAGAGAGAACTTGTGAACAATTTGGGAGAGATCTATGGGCGGATTGAGCGAGAGCATCAGATTTCACCAGGAGACTTTCCTAATTTGAAAAAGATGCAAGTAAGTGCCAGAAGCAATAGAGAATCTGAGAACAGCAATGGTGGAGAATGTTCCATTTCAATTACATGGAATAAGCTGAATTTGGCTGCTCCCTGTACTAGAAAATTCTGATTCAGAAGAAATACTGGAACCCAGAAGAGAACCCAGTTTTCAGTTTAGGTTACTGTAGAAGGGGAAATCTGCCTTTCTTCTGCCTTCCAGAATAATAGGGCAATGTGTTAAACTGTTGTGGTAAATAGAAAAAAGAAAGGAAAGTACCCGGTGTCACACACTAAACCAGTGTAACACATTAAAGGCTAATACCAGCAATGTGACCTACGTTTTTATGGATGAGACCCCGCTTTCTCAGATTCATGGGCTGGGCTCTGAAGTGGGCAGCCCTCTGTGTTGACAACCCCAAAGTCCAAGCAGTGCAAGGAAGATCTATTGTTTAGAGTAATGCTTTTAAGCATAATATTCTTACTCTGCTTCTCTACAAAGCAATTCAAAGCTGACTTATACAATGCAGGCTGATTTTGCAGTTTAGGAATACAGTGGCAAAAATTGCTTCCTTCTTGCAGTCGCACCAATAACCCCTTTCCCCCCTTGCACTAGCAAGCGCTAGTGCAAACCTTGGGTTTACACTAACCTGACATCATTAGTGCTATTGTTCAGACACCCATGCATGCCACCCAGTTAGACGTTGCAACATAATAGAATTTTAAAGTGACCTCTAATCAATGCATACCAATAAATAATACAAAATCAGGCAATTAAAATAGTCTGCATGTTAAAGCAGTAAATCCAGGATCAGCAGCTTGATGGTAAAATGTATGTCTTGCTTTTGAAAGCTGGCTGGAACTGAGAGGTCTTCAGCAATCATCGGAAAGCGAATAAAGAGGGTGCCAGACAGAGTCCCCTGCTGGGGAGTTCAGAGTCCTGGCAGGACAGCTGAAAAAGCCCATCTCGTGTGCCCTGACTCACAAAGGGATGGAACATGAGTTGGACTTGCCCTGCTGACTGTAAAGGCCCAGCAGTTTCATATCGAAATGGGTGTTTTCTAAGGTCCCTTATTCTTAACTCAGAGCTAGTAAGTAGGAATGCCTTGCGTATATTTGCCATGCCAGCGCCTTCCCCAATCTGGTGCCCCTTCAGAGAGCTAGAACAACACCACCCTGGTCATTGGCTGTATGATCTGGGGCTGATGATATTTGGTCCAAAACATCTGGAGGGTATTGGGTTAGGAAAGGTTGTCCTAGTGGGTAGAGCAACAGGAGCTGTGTCATGCCACATGGGTGAGGTTTACAACAAAATTGGGCCAGCAAGCTGTACATTTGTGGCTGGCAGCTCTGGCTTCCAACCCCCATGTTTTTGTGGAGGGATGCTGAACTTGCTTGTCACCAGACTTGCCCACTGTCTGTACTCCTGGCTAGTTCTCCCAAGAGCAGGAGCATTAAATGAATTTTGGTGGCATGTGTGGGACCCGGGAGGGTATAGCATTGGGTGGTTGCTTGGAAAAGGCTGAATATTCAAGTCCTTCTGCTCCTGCCATGTATGCGTCACATCCATCGTCCTTTGCATTTTCTCTAACTTGGGGGCTGACTGAGAAGAAAACATGTGTCTTAAATGGTTTTTTATTCATCTTAACATCCTAACCGTTGTTCCCCTCCTTCTGGAATTTTGCCAGTTTAAATGACAAGGACACCTCTGTGTCATGTGCCATTTTCATACACACCGCAAAACAAACAAAACACCATGCTGGAGCAGGAGTAAAGGAGGGAGAGCACTCCTACATCACCAACTACACCCCCTTCCATACAAATGCTGAATTCAGATTTCTGGAATTGTGCAGAAATTTGCAGTCTGACTTGATTCCAGATTCAGGATTCAGCCAGATACAAAGTCCAGCCCTTACAGCAAGTTCTTATACCTGTTTCTAGTTGCTGCCTTTATAAAGTAATTTGCCTTCTCTGTCTGATTGTGTGGTTCAGATGCAAAGCACTTTTCCTTCAGGGAACAAAACCATGCTGTTATAGTGTGTCTCAGAGTTCATCCTTCCATTAAGCTAGCTTTCAAGCTAGCTTAATGGAAAGTAGAGGCAGTGACAAAGGTTTTAGCAATGCACACCGTGGAGTTTGCAAAATCCATTGCCTTTTGCTTGTTAACTCTTTCTTGGAGAGCTATCATTTCCTCTTTCTTTTGGGACCGTGCAATGTGCTCTTCTGCATGGACGAGGAACATGCTAGTGCAGCGTATCCCTTTTCCACTGCACTCATTTGAGCTGTAATAGCCCTATGTACATAGCCAGAGCTGCAGGACTTTACAGGGAAAGCCACAGGTGGGCAAAGCAATGAATTGAGGTTCCTCAGAATTTCACTGTATTTAATTTGCTTGTAAAGATCACAGCTCGGCTCTTATCGCATGGCTTATTTTCACACAGAACTGGAGGAACACAGTGCCAGGAATATCCTGAAAAGAACAACTATTTATGACATTCATGGCCACTGTAGGCAAGAGAGAGCCTTTTTGCATCTCTCATCCAGGGCCAGAAACTGGGGCTGAATCAGAGCCATGGCTTCAATGTGGTAGCTGACGCTTCTGTGTGCAGACTATATTTGGGAAGTTTGTTGGCAAGTGGGAGCCCACAGCTGCAAAGTGATGCTGGGCATAGGCTCCTGGGCTCCTGGTATTACTCCTCTCCTATACTGAATGGCGTAAAGCACACCCTGTTCTGTGTCTTACAGGAACAGCTGCAGGCCCAAGATTTCAGCAAGTTCCATCCTCTGAAGAGCAAGTTGCTGGATGCGGTAGAGGATATGCTGGCCTACGACATTGCTCAGCTCATGGTGCTTGTCCGCCAGGAGGAGTCCCAGAGGCCTGCCCAGACGGTGAAGGGAGGCGCCTTCGAAGGCACCCTGCACGGCCCCTTTGGGCAGGGCTATGGTGAAGGAGCAGGGGAAGGAATCGACGATGCAGACTGGGTGGTGGCCAGGGACAAGCCCATGTACGATGAGATCTTCTACACGTTGTCACCCGTCGATGGGAAAATAACTGGTGCTAATGCCAAGAGGGAGATGGTGAAGTCCAAACTGCCTAACTCGGTGCTGGGCAAGATATGGAAACTGTGTGATATTGATAAGGATGGGATGCTGGATGAAGAGGAGTTTGCTTTGGCTAATCATCTCATCAAAGTCAAGTTGGAAGGCCATGAGCTTCCCAGTGAGCTTCCACTGCACCTCATCCCTCCATCTAAGAGGAAGTTGAGGGAGTGAGGCTCAAAGCAGACATTACTCCAAATGTCTGTCTTCATTTCATTTTTACTTCAGATGCAGGGATCCTGTTATAGATGCTAAAAGGCCCCTGTCCCCCATTCTAGGGTCCTGATATGGATCAGGATCCTGCACCTACTCTCAAGTAAAAATGACAAGAAAAATATGCAACTGTGTTTAAGGTAATGTCCTGAGAGGCCCCTAGAAAGCATGGGGAAGGGGAGGAGGAAAATAAAGTGGACTTGCCCACTTTGTACCTTTTGAGGTGTGAGGTCACCTTTTGGCTTATAGAAATTTCCATGAATGAGGAGGAACCTGATGGGAAAATGAAGTCCAGTATTTTTTCATAGAAACAGAGAGAGTCAGAAGGGGTCTGCCAGGCCATCTAGTCTGACCCCTGGCTCCAGCCAGCTCCGCTCATGACATGCCTACCTTTTCATGGCAGTTAACTCTTCCTTGGCAACACCCTTCTTCTTGATATGTGTTGATCCAAGGGAAGCGATGCTAAGAATTGAAGGAGTGAAGCAAGCAGTGATCTATCAACATGGGTATACGAAATTTCCAATATACGTAGGTTAGTGCTTGTTCCAAAGTACTATTTGAAATTCTTGTTGGGTTTGTTGCTGATGCTACGCACGGCAATCACTGACGGGCCCCAGGACAAGACCTTAGATGAGAAGTACCTCTGGTGGGAGGTGGGCACTTAAATGTGCATTTAATTGTTAAGCATCTTTATGGAGTAGTCTTTAATTCACATCCAGTCCTCCTGACATGCCCTTTTTAGACCTTCCCCAGTCTAGTGCCACCAGAGGTTTTGGATGACACAGATCCTGTCCCCAGACATTATGGGGCTAATGGTAGATCTGTGTCAGCTAAGCACTTATCCTTATCCTTCCATATTCCTTTATGGCATGAAGGGAGGCCTTAGCCAAAAAGTGCCACATTAGAACTCCCTTCCAGTGCTTCAGGAAATCAGGATACAAATATGCAGCCTTCCGGGCACAATGCTATCAACCCTACAGCAGATGCTCTTGGGCGGACCTCTGAACTTGGAGACTTGCAAGTGTCCAATAAGGGTGTGAGACACAGCAGCAGCAACCTCCACTGCTGCAGCAGCCTGCCATTTTCAGTCATCTAGATTTAGTTCTTGGGGCAGGGAAGGAAGGGGATTGTGGCAGTGAAGGGAACCGGGGTAATTCCACAGCCCCACCTTCCTCCCTTCCCTGATCCAGGAAACCCTCCCCTGCAACTCCAAGGTCAACTTGCCAGCTTGCAGGGACGGCTGGTGCAGTTCTTTCTGCTAGCTGGAACTTTGAAGGATCCTACAGTCTCCCAGATGAAGTCAGGAAGTTAGAGGATTGCACCCTACATATTTTCTAGTTAACAGCGCACAAGATCAGAAATGCTGCTGGGCTTCTGTGATGTAAGTCTGAGAATGGTTTAGCAAGGTTTCTATGTATTGCAAATAACAACCCAAAGCAGGTGGAGAGGCCAGTCATAGCCTCTTCCCACCACAATATTCACCTTTGATTTATCTCTGCAATAGTTGTTTCCAGCTCTGTCCACATGCACAGGTCTGGCTCAAGCTATTTCCTGCTGCTTTTCCTCTCCCTTATTTCAATTCTGTCTCTTTTTTGCCTCATCATTTTGTTGGGTTTGGGGTGGGATTGCAGCTGAATGTCTCTTTTGTTGTGATTTAAGCAGAATGAGGAACACAGAGAATCTAGCTAAACTAATTTTGTCTCTCTGTATCAATAGCGCATAGAGAAATATATCTTCTGAATGTGCAGAAATATTCTCATTGAAGTGCACTTTAAAAAAGATGGTGACACGTTAATCTTTTTTGTATCCCCTCCAAACCATGATTAAAAAATGAAGGCCAGATCTATTTTGTTTGGTGTTCCCTTGTGTGTTTTAATTGGTAGATTCTCAAAATCCTGCCCACACCTCATTTGTACAGTTTAATCCAACAATGCTTAGCATAATATTCCATGTGCCATCAATTCATCAAGTACTGATAGAAAACCATCAACATCTGTCTTCTAGAGACTTATCTCACTGGTTTGAAATCTATCTGTAAGTAAATTAAGGTTACCTGTCTGTGCAGCTATACACTGAGCTAGTGTGTAGAGCTACTTTTGCTAAGCTTGAAAGGCATGGGCCTGCAGCTGGATGGGTGACCACATGCAGAAGCAGAGCAGGGGTTTGGAATCGGTGGCCCTATAGGCCCCTTCCAACTCCTACTGTATTCTGAAGTTCAGGAACTTTAACTTGGAGTCCTGCAGTAAACAAGAGGTTGGGTCCAATGGCTTTACTGGCCCCTTCTATCTCTGCTATTCTGTGATTCTATTATTCTAGCTCATCCTGACACTCCCTACAGGCACATGGCCAACATTCAGGCAGCCATTTCACCAAACAGTTCTAGTGGGTTTTATCTCCGCTAGGAACTGGTCTTTTGTAAAGCTGATGGGCCTTGATTGCCCATTCAGGACCAAGACATCCCATTCAGGACCATGTCAGCACCCCTGCTAATACATACAGCGCAGCCCAGCTTCTGTGGCACCACTGCAAGGAGTCAGAATTGAGCTGGAAATGACCAGTGAAGCCTGCAACATCGATCAGCTCTGACTTTCTTTGGCTCTGTGGCTTCTGTAGCGACAGTACTTAGCAATCAGTGGTGGTGCAATGCAACCATACTGAGTCAAGGGTGCTTGGTTTCCCCAGCCATGACTTTTCTGTGAAGCAGCCTACAGGGTGCTGTCTTTGTACATATTTGTTGCATTCTTTTGTAAACCGCTTTAGGCTTTGTGTGAATGAGAAGCAGCATACAAAGATTGCTAATAACAGCAACAACCATGCAGACCGGCCAGTTTGAACATATTCTGCCTCCATGTTGCCATCTGCACTGGGTGCTAGAACATTTCTAGGCCCAGTTCAAAGTGCTGGTTTTCATCTTCGAAGCCCTAGATGGCTTAGGGGAGGGGGCAGGTTATGTAAAAGAGCATCTGTTCCATTTTAATCTTCCCAAGCATTAAGTTCATCACCTGAGGTCCTTCTCCTGCAATATGGTGGGGTAGGTGGCTATAAGAGAGATGGTCTTTCAATGGTGGCATGCAATCGGTGGAATGCCCTCCCTGGAAAATCCCTGTGGGGGCCTCAGGTGAAGACCTTTATATTCTCCCAGATATTTTAAGAACTGTTTTAATGCATTTAGATCATGGCATTTTTATTTTGCTGTTGCTTAACTTCAGTTTAATGTGCTATATTTTTACTATTTACTGCAGGCTTTATTTCTATTTTTATGAGATGTTATTTTTACTATTTTATTGTTTGTAATTTTAATGTATTGTACACTGCCCAGATAACTTTGATTATTGGGTGGTTTAATAGTGAAATAAATACATAATAAATATTTACTCTCCTATATAAATTAACATTATTTTGCAATTAGATCAAATGCGTACAAAACTGAGTTACATTTGAAGCAGACATCCAAGATATGCAGAAGCAAAGCATTCCATCATGCTTCAGAGGTACTATTGCTTATTTGCAAATGTTAAGGCTTTTTAATTGCAGCAGCAGTTTTGTTCCTGATTCAAAGTTTAGGTTCACACATGAAGTCCTAGAGTGCACTTCCTGGCTGTGCTTTCTTCCCAGACCAGAAAAGAACTTATGGAAATCTGGCTGGGTCAAGTTCAGGGGCACCAGAGCCCAGCCAGTCTAATGCCCTGATTACCACAACTGCCTTTCTTCCCAACCATAGCTCCAAAACAACAAGCAAATTTTGTTTGCAAATGAAATGTGCATGTGGCACAAAGGAGGTGTGCCTCTTTCCCCCTCATCCACTTGTGCATAGAGAGAAGTGCTTTTAAGAGAGTGCTTTACCATCCATCATTTTAAAGAATTTTTACTTTCATATACATCTGAAAATGAAAACTTGTTAAGGATTTAAGATACATTTTCAGCGGGGTCAGCTTTTTGTATGGGTCTATCTTAAAGAGCCACTTATAAAGAGCTCCTCAGAAGTAAGTTTGACTGAGTCTGAGTCCCTAAATATGTGTAGGGTTGCAGGCTGAATTGATTAATTTAGCTGACTGATCAATTGTAGTCCTAGTCCCAAATCTTGGCTGCAGCACCAGAAGCTTCCTAGATCCATCACAAATATGTAAAGTAGCATCAGTTCGGATATCGGAAGTGGTAGAAAGAACTATATTTCATTTATGCTTTTGTCCCCTTAATAAAGCACACTGAAGAACACAGGGATGTGTCACCATTTATCATGAATTTAGCTCCCTCTAGTGGAAAGCTGTGCAGAACATGTTAAAAGGTCATTCTACATAGAATGCCCAGCTGTGTGTGTTATATTTTAGCCCACCCTCCCTCTACAAAGCTCACAGCGGCCTGCCTGGTTTTCGCACAACAACCCTGTGATGTAGGGCAGGCTGAGATTATGTCAATGAGTCAAGGGAGCCCACCAAGCTGTCTGCCCCACTGGGGAGGTTTGGCTTGGCTTCCACTTGGCTCATGGCTACACATAAATAACATATTGTCATGGAAGAATCAAACACAGCTGCCTGAAACAAAAACATGACACCTGCTGGGGTCAGTTTCTGTAGCTGTTCCATTCCTGGAAAGCAGCACTGCTCTCTTACTCAGAGAAGAAGGAATTGAGCAGGGGAAGAGAGAACGCCAGAGAGCCCTCTGTCTCGAATTGCTCTGCAAATCCCTTGCTCTTCAAGACAGGGTCAGTTGCCCATTTTGCTGAAGGCCCTTCAGAGCAACTGCTCACTGAACAGCACATTTAGTAAGATTTAGTGCTTGGCTAAGGAGGAGGCTGGAAAACCAATTAGAATCAGCGTAAATCTGCAGCCTCGGCCTCCTTCCCTCCCAGTTTCCCAGCATGCCCCCCTTTCCCCCATTCTAGGCCCAATTGAGACCTCAGGGAGGGGAAAACCCTTTCTGTGCCAACTGTGAGCTGACAAGGTGGGGGCTCAGCCTTCCTGGAGCTGGGACTCCAAAAAATCCTATGACTTCCCAAGCAATGTCAGGAGGCCACAGAACAGCATCTTTCATTGATTATTGCTTCCTATGCCCCTAGCAGCTAGGGCCTAATCTGGCTCCATAGCACTTTGCAGGGCACAGTTCTCTCCTGGAATGCTTCCTTGGCTTGAAGGGCAATCTGGTCCAAATGAAGATAAAGAGCCATAAGAAGGCCATGGAGTAAGTTGTCCATCAACAGTTAGCACCAGTTCAGCAGACTGGTGAACTGGCTCACAGATCACCTGCTCTTTTCCACTGAGGTGCCTTAAATTTCAGGTTAAATTATAATAACTTTTCTAAATTTGAATAAATACCTAGACATTAGCAGGTTCATACCTGTGGCTTCTTTTCTCTTCCTTGTTGGCTATGCATCAATGCCCAACCTGATAAACCCTGCCACTGAAAGCCACTTCCAAGTCTTGGGATTTGGAACAACTGGGTGGTCACTCCTTCATAGTTTAAATGATCCATTCGTATTTCAGGATCTCTCTCCATGAAAGATGGAAAACATTGAAAAAGACAGCCTGGTGAAGCAATTGGACTGTTACACTGGGACTTGGGAGACCAATGTTCAAGTCGTGCCTCTACCATGAAGTTCATTGGATGACTTTGGGCCAGTCAGAGTCCACTTCACAGAGTTGTTGTCAATATAAGGAGAGGAGGAGGAGGAGGATCAAGATCATGCACGCCACCATGAGTTCCTTGCAAAAAGAAAGGAGGAGTGTGAGCATAGGCAGAGTGTGAGCATATTTTCTAGAGCAGCAAAGCAGGTGTCTAAACCAACATCAATCACTAGATGTTTTTAATTTTAAAGAGCAGTCCTTACTTGGAGAAAATATGCTTTCAGCAGGTAGCAAAGAGCACCAGAAGGCACACTTAACTATGACAAAATCAAGAACTAGTAAAGGTAGGAGCCTTTGTTCTGCTGGCAGAATAAAACATATAATGCTATTTTTTGCTGACTATCAATCTGATCATTAAAATTGCAGGCAAGAAAGGGGACATGCAGGAAAATGCTGCAGCGCTGAGCACCCCTGTGCTGTGCAGGGCCTCACCAGCCATGCATTTTCCCAGGATGCTCCAATTCACCCTCACAGGCCTTTAGCATCCTGTAACCACTTGCCAGACAACTGCAGTGACACTCAGTCTAACTCTGGTTAGTACTGCGCAGAAGAAGGACATGCTAATCCACTTCTGAATTTTCCTTCTTGAAAACACTATGATGAAACAATCCAAAATGAAACAAGAGATAGTCCAATAGCCTAAGCACTGAAATTATCTGGAATGATTGTACTGGGAAGCAATCAACAATCAAAATCTATGTAATCACAAAAAGTGTGATATTCAGTATTTCATACCTTCCTGCATACATGCCAGAGAAACAAGTCAATGAAGTACAGGCTCCAGCTACTATTAATGGATATTTTCACTGACATTTCTATATAATATTAACACTTAGACTTAGGTGAAAACTTTTTCACATATTTGAACTTTGCACAGTAACCAAGAGAACAGACTTGGCCATTTTTTCACAGGCGTTCTTTTGTGAGCAATGAGGCTGAAGGGATTTCTGGGTATGACCAGCATTATCTATATTCCTGTGGAAAATGCTGTGATTTGGCTTTCTGGTTCATTTGGGTTTCTCTGACTGTGTTGGCTATATCAGCACGCAAAACTTATCCCTGTACAAACAGTACTTTAACCTGTTACTTCTTCCCAGAGTAAACATCCATGGTCAGTTTTGTGGACACTACTTCAGGTTACTCGGCCTGCTTTTATTAGCAGAACTCCCATTCTTGAGCCGGAGAGGATAATGCAGTTCCTCACTCGAGTCTGCATCTTTGCTTCACTGGGCTTCATTTCCCTGCTGTGGTGGAGCCATCTTCTCTGGCGACCCACACGCCATGGCCAAGGTAGGACCCCTCCACCCCAGCTGCCAGTCTATAGAGCAATTCTTCACAAACTCAATCCAGGCTTGTATACATATCCCACAGTTGCTGATTTCTGCCTTGTTCTAAAGTGCTTGAACACGACAGAGGATTTTAATCATGATTAGAATGGATTTTGTGTGTGCGTGTTGTTTTTGGTCAAAAGTTTTCCTCATTTCTGCAGCCTTTGCTGCAGTAACTCAGAAACTGTGGAAGGACATTCATAAATGCACCCATCCTGGCTAACCTTGGTGGGAAAGAGCAAGTGCCAGTGCTATTTTGTCTGTCATCGATTCCCCAAAGATTTCTAGCTTATTGTGTTCAGAATTACAAGTATGAAAAAATTATTTAAAAACCAAGCTGCTTTCCACTGTCAGAGCTGTAATTCCCAGGGCTGTGGAACTAGTGGCGGTATCTACTGCATCAAAATGCACTTCAGCTGACTTTCCAGGAGTCATATTACTCCATTGCTGCTCTGATAGCGTGCCATTGGTATTATTATTATTATTATTATTATTATTATTATTATTATTATTATTATTTCATTGTGATGCAGAGGTTTGTGCAGCATTACTGGTGTAAATTCATTTATTCTATAGTCTGCCTGGAATTTCTTGAAAAAGCAGGATACACTTTTCCAAAATCCCAGCAAATAGCCCATTAAGGAGAGGGCAGCACTCCGTGGTGTCATTTCACAAACTCAAACAGCACTAACCAAACTCTGCCAAATTCCTCCATTGTGCAAGCAGTTGCACAGTGTACTCATGCCCCCACTTGCACAACTGGTTATGCTTGCTTAAACATACCTTTAATTGCAATTTCTCCTGGCATACAGTTTGGAACCCTGTTTAATCAAGTAGTGGAAAGACAGCTGGATACTGCTCTGAGCTCCAGATTTGGAGGATGAGATCTGATCTTGCAATTCCACTCCCCTGTTCCTCCTGTTCTTCCTGCTACCTTCCCTTTCTGATACTGGAGAGTGGAAAAGAAACATTGGTTGCATCAGGACATAAGTTGGCCAGGATGGGGAAAGCTCTGGCTAGGCAACATCCAAAGCTCTGCCAGCACTCCAGCATGGAACAGTGGGAATTAGACCAGTCCATGGGGAAAATGGGAGGGAAATTCTCTCTCTCTCTCTCTCTCTCTGGAAAATTCAGATAAAAAGGAGCAGCAAATTCCCATTGGAGGCTGCTGATTCCAATGTCAGTGGAGCAGTGTATTCATTCCAGGTCATCATCTGATTTGTTAATGGACTTGTTATGGTGTTGAACCTATCTGGGAATTATGGTTTAAGAATAGCTCCTTTAAAGATCAGATTAAAATCCAGAGTGGCTACATCACTGGCATGGATAGAATCGCTGAGAAAAACCCAGAGAGCTTCTGTTATTGGATGGTATAGCAATGAAATTAGTAATAATGGATAAACTGACATCTTCCTATCTTCTTTTCTAGGTAATCTGATCATTAAGGATGAGGGAGTACATTTTCCATACAAATTTGACACTCTCCTGCATATTCAACAGTCCCGGAAAAAAATGCTGAGGTCCTTCTGCAGCAAAAATCATAAAATTGTCACACTTCCTCCTTCCCAGGAGGAAACTTCTCAGTTATTGTCTTTCATTGCAGTAAACAACAAATTGCATTTTCTGTATTGCAAAATACCTGGCACAGGAGTTAAAGGCTGGGAACAGCTGCTAGAAATGCTGGAGGAGAAAGGTGTCACACCGCCAATGCCAATCCCCTATCACCAGCTGTTCGGTACCCAAAAGTCACTCAGAGATTACAACCTGTCATCCATGGAAAATATGCTGAAATCCTACACAAAAGTGATGTTCATCAGGGAACCTTTCCAGAGACTCATCTCTGCTTATTTGCATGGCTTGGCCAAAGGCGTAACCTTCCAGGAGTTCATTCAGAACATCTTATCCAGGGGATCCATGAATGCCAGTGCTGAATGGGCACCATTGGTCAACCTGTGTCATCCATGCCTTGTCCAATATGATTACATCATCATGTTTGGATCCCTTGGCAGTGAGGTGCAACATTTATTGCTCCGGGCTGGAGTTGCTGGGAACCTCCAGATTCCTGTGTTCAAAAACTCCAAAAGTCCGTGGGCATATAGGTGGTCAGAAGAGCAGATGCTCAGCAAACTCTCACTCATGGAGAGGACACAGCTCTGCCATTTCTTTCAGTCTGACTTTGCTGCATTTCACTTTCCCAGCAGCTTGCTGTGGTACTACACTTGTGTTCCAAGAAGCAATTCGATGGAATAAAACACCTTGACTGGGATGTTCAGTATGCAAAAGTGAGTGCAAAACTGAGCTGAACTGCTGAAATTGCTGCAGGAAACAGAAGGGTGGTCAGCACAGATCAGTGAACTGTTCCTGGAAAGCACTTTTGACAAAATAAGCAAGGGATGTGATCTAGTTCCTCAGTCTCAACCCATTCAAGAGAACTGCCTGAAAGTTTTGTCACCAGAAATGGCATTTTCTCCACATCTATTTCATTTATTCATTGATTCATTTAGAAACAAAGAAACAGAGTGAGTCAGAAGGGGTCTCCCGGGCCATCTAGTCTGACCTCCAGCACTTATCATGTTTCAATACCTCCCAATAGCTAAAGGTCTCTGGGTGGTTTACAAAGATTAAAGCTGAAAAAGCCCAGTATTCTACATAATGTAAAAGGCATTTACATAGATGCATATAAACAGATAAAATGGATGGATGGATGGACAGAATTGTCACAATCAAAAATATAAAATCCCAGGACCTGATTGAAAACCTTATTGTATGTTGCAAAAGACTTGAGAGTAGGGAAAGGTCTTAAATTGGCACAAAAAGGTGATAGCATTGGTACCAAACTGTTTCCCTGGGAAAATCATTTCTGAATTCTGGGCCCATCACCAAGAAGGCCCCCCACGTTTTTCCAGCTTCTGATTCTTCCATGGAGGAAGCACTCAGAGGAGTCCCAGATGATGAGTGAAGCATCTGGGTAGGTTTACACTAGGAGAGGCTCTCTGATGGGTATTGCAATCTCAAGGCCTGTAAGACTTTATAGCTCAAAAGCAGCATCCTGTATCAGGCTTGAAAATGTATGGGCAGCCAGTGCCAGTGGCCAGAACTGTGGTATATGTCCGGAGTGCTTTCAGTCTGGATGCTGCACTTGGCACAAGCTACAGCTTCTGAACAATCTTTCAAGGGATCCCCACACAGAGTGTATCCAGTCTCTAACCTGTTGCAGGCAGTACCCATCAGGGCTGGATACCCTCAGGATGGCCTGGCTGGTGACCCCTGGTAACCAAATGATCTGGTAGGCTTGGTACCTGGTTCTGAAGAGCTGTCTGTCAAAAGGGAGGCCCCCTCCTCCATGAAATCATTGTGAGGGAGGGGGAGAGAGGCAGCCTTATTAGCAATTGGAATTTGACCATTGGAGCTTGGCTACTGGGGGAAGCAGCTAAGGTGGGGGAAATTGATCTAAGCTTGTGGTGTTTGCGGAGGGGGACATTCAGTTTTTATTGTGAAACTTAACCAAATTTTATAAAAAGAAATGGAGAAAAAAGAGAAATGTATCTGTATGCATACATAGATTTGTTCTACATTGGTGACTACATATGAGATGTTTATTATATGAAAATACAGTTTTCTAGTAATCATGCATAAGTAAAAGCAGACCAGATATCCAAGTAAGCATCCACCTGAAGGCAGCATCTCTAAACTTGCTCCATTTAAAACTTGAAAAAGTTGTAATGTGTAATCCATAATCCATAGGAGTTCTACTATGGATTTCTATTTTCGGTGTTCTACACTCGGTCCTTTAGCTGTCAAAAGATGGCAGAAAATCTGTCAAAGCCTATAAGTCATATATATAATGAGATTCAAATGGACCAAAGCTTAGAGTTTGGTAGAAATGGTAGCCAGTGTGTTTCTTTTGTTTCTCTTAAGTAAACTCTCTGTCTCTTAATCCATGTTTTCGATCTGCAAATCCTTCCTTCTTTTAACCATGAATGAAGAAGCCGCATTGTGAGCATTCAGTGGATCCTGCAGCATCATTGCTAAGATACCTTCCTCACTGACTTCCCCTATGATGCTGTAACCTCAACCCTGATGCACAAATGAATAGGTAGAACTTCCATTGATTAAATCATGCAATCATTGACACATAACCAGGCCTGAGAAAAACCCCTCTTCTAGAAATCAGCATGTGCATCCTTGAAATGTAGCTGACACTGACCAGGCACCAGTCCAGAGAAAACTAGTAGGTACTTGACAGATCAAAGCAGCTCAGACAAAGAGCAATTCACCCCAGCCCCACCGCATTCTCCTCCTCTTCTATGTAACAGCAGCCCATCCTCACCCCTCCTTCAGAGCATCTTCTTTGGTATGCAAGTGGGAAAGATCACACCTTGTAACTTTTTGCTTCTATAACCTATTGGATAGTGTTAATTATATTTTGTGTAACCCTCTAATGATCATTGTATTCAAGGGTCAGCTGAAAACTGCTCAGGTGCACCATCTGGAACAATTTGTAGGTAGCCAGTTATTCTTAAGAATAAATCCTTTTGAAGAAAACTCCCCCTGTTGTGTGTTTTGGGCATGCGCACACCAAGACATGGACCTTTTGGTCAACAAGCCTGTCCACAGCGTTCACAGGGTGCTTCCTCAGAGATTGCAAAGGGCCAAGGGTGCTCCCAACCCAGCCAGGGAAATACAGGAGGTGGGGACTGGTGGCAATGATCCTCCTGAACAAACTGGATATTGCATGTTACTAATGCTGGAATCTTCCTGTGTAATAGGAAGATGGTCACATCACAGCCTGAATGAGAATTTTGAGGTGCTGGAGAAAATGCATGGCGTGCCTCTAGTTTTGGCATGTGGACACATTTGATTTTTTGTTGAGTTCCTGAACATTGCATGTCCCATTTTTATTCAGTGCGGTAATATTTCCTTCAGAAGAGGAGGTGGCCAGATGGAGTCACTGGGACGGTGGGTGTGAGCTTGGGTGGAATTCCAAGGGATGGTGGACAGGAGAGCCTGGAGGAATGTTGTCCGCGGGGTCGTGATGGGTTGGGCATGACTTTGCAACTAACAACAACATTTGCTTAAAAAGTAGTATGGAGCAATGTTCACAATAGTTTATGAATTAATTTGAGAGTTGTGATGGCATTTGAAGCACTATTAATACTGCAAGGTTTTGAACTGTCAAGCTTCATATTGTGTTAGATGGGCATTTGTCTGTATCACCTATCAGGAATTCTGTAACAATGGATTTTTGGCATTGGCAGGAGCTGGATGAGATGGGCTTTCCTGCTCCCTTACCATAGAGGTCATCCAAGGATATTCTCCTGGTAGTTCTGTATGGACCTATGACCCTACTGGAGTCCACCAGTAGGAGAGCCTTCCATATGGTGACTTCAGTTCTTTGGAACTTCCTGCCCCTGGAGATCAGCCAGGCCTTAACATGATGCTCTTCTCAGCACCTGCTGAAGACACCTTTTTCCGGGAAGCCTTCCTTGTTGACAAGCTATATTTTTAATGTAATGTTTTTATTCTTTTAGCTGTCTTATCTTTTTATTGTTCCCCACTCTGGAATTTGCCAGATGGAACAATATACAAATAAACTCTATGACTGCACAACTTTGTGACTAAGTAAGCTAGTGCCCAGTATTTCACCCCAATATTCTGAGTTACCAAGAACCCAGGATGAGGCTCTGTTTATGAAGTGGTGGGACTGTGCAGCTAAGAACTGGCTTGATTCATAGTGTCTGTAGTCATCAGAAGTTCTAGTCTTCAACCTAGGTGAGTTCAGAGTGTACCCTTTTGCTTTCTCCCATATAACATGGTTGATAGCCAATCCGTGGAAGTGGGGAACACCACTGCGTTGGACAATATGCTTTGTCTTCCACACCCAACCCTGTGTGGCATGAACATCACTTGCAAGGATCTGTAGAAGCCCATGCTCAATCTCGAGCTAGTAGGTAAGAAACAGATTACAATGTATTTTTAAAGCACATTTATTTTCAGTGTTGTTCATTTCCAGCTCAAATTCTTACACATCCTGATCACAAAGATACCAAACAATGAGAAACTTAATTAAAAGGATTCTATACATGTGCCATGCTATGCACGTTAAACGGGAAAAAGGCCTATTACTCCTAGCATATACTAGCCAGCCGTCCTGGCTGGGACATGCTGGGAACAGTTGGCCTTTCTACTGTCTAAACATGCACAAGATTGTGCCTTAAAGTAATTAAAACAAAGCTCAGTGGTTCCTAGAGACACGTCATTCTTATGAAGGATTATTAACAATTATAGGCTGTTTGTACTATGTGTTTATTTGACTTAGCATCATATTTTATGGATGGGACAAAAAGCATGGACCTTGCTGAGCATGATATTTTATGGAATAGTTAAACATCACAGATTTTTCCACAAAAAGTAATTGCAGAAGGAACCCTTCAAGACTCCAAAAACTGAGAAAGAGTCATGGGTTGGATTTATGACAGCAAATATCAAGGACTGGAAAATGATGGTTATAAATGAATCACAAGAAGTTATACCGTTGGCTACAATGCTGAATTAATGCACTAAATGTTTGCTGTGATTTGGCTGTTCTTTAATCCACAAAGTTTACATACACTAGAAGAGTCCACACAATAGTCACACTTGACCAGTCTATTTTCTTTGTACCAGTGGAACACAAAACATTTGATAGCTTCGAGGACCAACTTTCATTTTAATAACAAACAGTAGCAACAAGTAATACCACCCTACTATTAAACAGTACCACTAATTCCCTAGATTCCACTAGACATCCATAGGAGAAGTCAGAACCCCAGCCCAGACCTCAGAAGTATGATCCAAATTCAGAACTGGGTCTCCAACCTTGGAGTGCCCCCCACTGCCTTCAGAGCACCCTCTTTCCACCCATTCCACACGAGCTACAAGGTTGGAAGATAGACCTCAGATATGGAAGCCTGGGGGCACTCCAAGGGGTCAGGTGAGGAGAGAGGCTGTTGAGGTGGCACTCAGCCTCCTCACCTGGGGCATATGGCCAGAAGCTTGACATGGCCAAACCTGGTTGTCAGGTGCACTTCTCCCACCCTCCACTGGGTGTTCATAATCCTCCAATTTAGGAGGGTTATAAGCAGTCACACTGGATTGCACAGCCCACATATTAAACAGATCATTAGACAAACCAGGGATTGTAAATACAGAACCATTGAAATCAATAGGCCCTAAACTAGACAGGACTAACATAATTTCCATTGATTTTACTGGGTCTACTCTAAGTATGTCTCACTCTAAATCCAAACCAATATTGCCTTGTCTCACATCCATCCCTATCCACCTTTTTCAGGCTCTTTTCTTACACTGTGGAAATGCCAAAATCAATGAACGTTGACTGTGTCTGTGTCCTAGAAGGTATGCACCCTGTTTCCATATTGCATGCCTGATGTCAACAAGGTATCCTATCTCAAGGGCACAAGGCAAAATCAGAACCTGAATTTACATTTAATTACTTGTTCTTCTTTGTACATAGGAAGTATATAGCACAAGGAGTGCAATATGGTTTGGCCTGGGGACATGGAGTGTAGGCTGGGCAAAGGAACTTACATGGTTAGCCAATTTTTATTCCAACATCTTTACTGTTCTTGTGAACTGATGCATCTTTAGAAAAGAATTGTCCAGGGCTCTCCTCATTGCTCCATCATTTTAGGGCATTTCTTTTATCATTTAAACATGGCAATAGCTCTTCCTACAATACGTTTGAGAAATAGCCATACACTGCTCTGCAGCGCACCTGAGCTTATTGATTTTAATCCTGGATGCTATGAAAAGCTACAGTAGTCACTCTAGGAGTCGTGTAAATAGCGAGTCAATGGACTTCTACGGCTGCTCCACACACATGATAGGACAGAGAGAATGTAAGACACATCTAAACTAATATACATTCAATGGAGCGTTCATCTGACCTTCTCTGTACCGCAAAGGAGGGGATGACAGCACTTCATAGGGAGTCACCACCAGCTTTCTAATGTGCATAAAACCCACCATCCTCAGCTAGCCTCCTTTCAGAAAAACCAGTTGGGGAGGGGGGAAGCACCATAAGATGCAAGAAAAATGGACTTTCCATGACTTATCAACACCTATCATAGCTAAAGCTCTCTAGGAAGTTCATGGGATTGTTCACAAGTCTCTTGCAGTGCAATATTAGACATATCTACTCAAAAATAAGTCCCATTGAATTGGGTGCTTACTTCCAGGAAACTGAGTATACTCATGGAGTCTTATACTTCAGATTCAAGCACACTTACCCTTGAGTAAATTGCATTGAAATCAATGTGTCTTACTTTCAAGTAAATACATTCAGGGTCAAGACAGTAACCAACCATTGTGCATTTTATCCTAATCTACTTGAGATCCTCAATTTACCAAAGGAAGAAAAAACAAAGGCAGGAGCAGAGGTAAGAGCCTGTTCATGAGATGTTAATGGTTTTCCCATGAACGTGGGAAGAGTGCAACAGGGACCTGCCCTCACTGTTGTTAGCGATTATCCATCCAAAATACCAGGGAGGAAACAGAAGAAGAATTGGCTGCATCAAAAGCTGTTAAATTAGGATTTCTCTGAAAGTCACAATTACACTTCAGAAGTGAACACATTCACAAACAGGCTTAAGTATTTCTCTGACCTTCGCCTGAAGCTTAAATGAACTTCATCACAGTTTCTGTTTCACAGATTGCAAAACCATCATTTTTCCCCTTCTTCATTAAGTCCCAGCAGTAATCCATCAGCAATAACCCTTTTCTTAGGCAACCGATGATGTAGCAATTGAAGTACAAGGGTCCATGGATCAGCAGGGCAAAAACAAGAATGGGGATCTGTTTGCAGCAGTGAGTCTTTTTGGTCCCTCATGATGAAACCAGCTGAACCAGCTGACATGGATTCTAGATATCAAGTCATTCATACTCTCACAGACCATGGTTTGAAGGTGCCTGGCTCAGCAGATGGACACTGCACAAAAAATAAGATTGAGATACTTGAAATGGAAGGGGAACAAACAGTTGCCATCACAGAAAACATCTAGGCCCAATCCCAGATTTGACCTGTCTTGGCAACTACAGAACACATTGTCTTCAGATTTAATCATTTTTCACCCATACAAAGCAAAACTGAGTATTGTAGCTGTTTGACTTTCATCTACTACATGGTCAGGGTACAATGTGATCAGCTGCCCTATTTTAGAGAAGACAGTCCTCTGTTTGGAGGTGCCCTCCATTTGCTGGGTCACAGTCTGGATTAACGTAGATGGGTTAGCCCCTCAAGAGCAGACTAACTGAGCACACAAGTCACCTGGTCAGTCCTCCTTCCATGGTGAGATGTCTCATATGTCTAATTTAATTATTCTTTCTACAGTTGTATTTATCCTTGCAGAACAACATATGCACCTCTTATGCAATTGAGCATCCTCCTTTGTCCTCTTTTTGGCTGACGCATTTCCTCTTTCTAGCAAAGCATTAAGTGGGTAGCAAATCAGAGCATAGGGCAAGGCCCCCAGTTTCTGGTGCAATCCTGCATAAATGCCAAGAAAGATGAAAGCGTCTGGTACAGAGTAAAGAAGCAGGTCCAGGCAGAGAACAGCTTTGGAAGGAAGTGGTGAAGTTAAACCTGTTTGAAAGTCTCGTGTTCATTTCAAAGATTCTGGCACTTGGGTGGGCTTAGGGGATGGCGCTTGGGTGGGTCAAGGACAGGGTCTGCACAGGTACACATACAGTTAGGCAGGTGCATTAGAATGAAAGATCAACTTTGGGCATGTAGAAGCAGGCCACCTGACTATACTTCAACAAAAATTGTGGAAACTAGTGAGGATGCAGGAAAAAATGGCCAGCCAGAAAGACAAGAAAAAAGCCCATCTGGCTGGCAACACAACACACTCTCATGCAGACACCCTCCCATCAAAAGTCCACTTGAGGTGTGATACACTGAGAGGTGGAGCAGTACAACAGCTCAGAGAGTGAGCTGTGGCTCAGAAATCCCTGATTTGAATGTTGCATTGGGCATAAACTCACTGTGTAATCTACCTTACAAGATTTGGGTAAAGTTTGCAGCTAGATAATGCACAGGTAGCACTTTGGACTATACAAATGTTAAGCGTTGCTGTTCTTATTGCTTAATATAAGGGTAAATCATTAGCACAGAAAAGTGTTCCCAGCTGTCCCCCTAGTTCACAGTCAGCGATTGCAGAGTGTTGAATGTATCATATTACAAAAGAGAAAGACACGTGGCACAGACAAGTTATCCTACCAGTTTGGTGAAGACATCAACGCAAGCATTGCGAATTCTCTCTGGGGTGGCTGGGCTGTCCAGTCGGAATGGCCCTTTTAACCCTGACTCTTCCCTGGCAGAGACAATTGCATCCTTGATGGCATAAAAGACGGAGGCTGACAGGAACAAGGGGGGCTCACCCACAGCCTAGAGGGAGTCAAGAAAATCAAGCACTGAATCAGGCACGGCTCCTGCACAACTTACAGCAAAATGCTCATTGTATCGATTGGTCATAATCAATATTCATAGCAGGAAACTTTTCTTCATTTATTGATTCGTATTTTCACCACAAGTTTCACTTTAAACACACAGTCAAGCCACATATTCACCATCCCTTTCACAAACAAGGTAATGACCAATAACCATCCAAGGGAATGGAATAAATGCAGGAAACACAGAATGAGCCATTCTAAAGGTTCATAGGAAATTCCCCACAATGCCCCAAGTTTCAATGTTTAGATGCGGTAGATATCCTCAGAGTAAGGAAACCTATAAAATGTTATAGCAATTGTAGCAAACCCTATTAAAACACACGGGAAATTTCAGAACAACTTTCTGTCTTTGGCATAACCCATGGACATGCAATAGCCTCTTTCTTCCTCACTTGTATAGGAGTCCCCACTAGACTAGTGCCAGTGAAGATCCATCACCATCGCCTAAGCTGGTTAGGGCTGGTGGGCGCTGTAAACAGAAACATGTGGTGTGCAATGCTTGCGCATCCCTGCTCAAATGGTACAATTACCTTGGATGAATAAATGGCTTTTCTATTTGGACAGTCCCGGAGAAGAGAAACATAGAACTCTGTTGGTATGTCTCCAAATGCAGGGATTTTGTACATTCCTGGCCCTCGGGTGTATAAGTTGCCTTCTGGGGAATAGCGCAGCTCCTCTAGAGTAAATAGCCCAATTCCTTGGACAAATGCTCCTTCTATCTGCAAAAGTAAACCAAGACTGAGTCACTTTTTCCCTTAACAGAATGGAACAGAATCATACAGTTGGAAGGGAAGGTCAGGTCCAACCCCCTGCTCAATGTAGGACTCAAGTCTCCCATCCAAATACTGACCAGGCCTGACCCTACTTAGCTTCCAAGATTAGGTAGGATCAGTCAATTCAGGCTATATGGAATGTCAATTAACCCCAAAGTGGAAGGTTTCAGACTGCACTGTTTCACATAGGTGCCAAGTCAATGCACCTGTAGCACAATATATTCAGGGGAAACCAAACCAGGGAAGGTTGTTCTAAAGGAATAAACTTCACTATCTTCAGTTGTTGAAAGTGCTTTAAAATTAAGTGCCATATCTACTGCCAATGCATTATTAAATAACAGTGTGGCATCCAATCTTATCTTGAAGATAATGGTTTTCCCCTTTTTCCAGTTGATGGAGAAAACTGCCCCATGGGATAAAAAGAAACAACATAAGGTAATTATAAATTAGCATCTAAAACCTTCCAGAACAAGCAAGTTCATGTTTATGCCACTGTTTGTCAGGCTTGTTGCTGCTTCTTAACTAATTTAATTTGCTTGCATGCACATCCTGCCCCCCAGAGCAGAGCCCTGTTCTGTCGCTTACCTGCCCTATATCTATAGCTGGGTTCAAGCTGGTACCAACGTCCATCACAATGTCTGTTCGGAGGTTCTAAAGAGTGGCAGAAGCAAAGACTAAATAAGCACAGGGTTAACCATATACAATTAACTAAACCTTACTTCTGTCTGGCTCTGTGTTTTCATAAGCATTATAGGTGACGGTTCTTAGTGCTGAATAGCCTGAGCTGAGCCAGGCATGAATGTGCCCTGCTTTTGCCTAAGGCAAGACATTGGTTGCATCCACTGATAAGACAAGCCACACGGCAATTGCTTGTTGCTATGCGTGGTCCATTTGGTTATGGCGAATCCCCACAAAGAGCCAGCGGTCTGTTCCCTGCTGTCCTTGCTTGGCAGAACATGTGAATAAAGTTGCAGTGTTTTTCCACAGTTTCCCCATTTACTTCAGTGAATTCATATGCACCATGGAATGCATGAAGAAAAGATGGAGACTTGTGGAAACTACTTAGAGTGGTTACCATGCAAACATGCGAACCCAGGACACAATGTAAGAGACCATGCTATACAGTAAGCATGCGGCCTGGTTTAGCATTATGTGTGAACACATCCATTGTCTCTCAACCAGGACTCACATTCGCACGTGTAATGCAGCAATAAGAAAACTGACATAAATTATGACAATGCTGTATGGACCCACAAGATAGGAGAGAGGGCACTGGATTTCGGTTTAATCATTCCTAGAGCAGATCCATTGAAATCAAAAGTCCTTGAATAACTCAATGCCCATTGATTTCAATGGTTCTACTCTACGTGTGATTAAATTTTGGAAGTGACACATAGCATGGTTGACTGGGAAATTATGGGAGTTGGAGGACTTTTTCTGCCTAATATAAATTATCAGTCCCTATCAGAGCAGCCTTCACAGCTTGTCAATTCTGTGCAGAAACTATTCAGAGAAACCCACCATCAAGATGAACTACATGATTATTATAAAATGGACTGGGGGTACAGAGAAAGAGAGAGAGAGAAGTTAAGACCCTTACTCAAGGACATGTATGAAGGCCAGAGCAGAAAACAATTTTTCTTGTTAAGTATGATCAAATTATTACATTAGATATATAGAGTAATACATATTTTCCCCATCAAAATGAACCAAATAACTTTTAATTGTCTGCCTAGCTGGCTTACCTTGTGGTCACCTGTCAGGCAATCTATCTCAACCTCAGAACAGGCAACACCATAAGTGAAGTAACAAAAGGGCGTCCCTGTATTTGTCTTGAAGTCATATCCAACGTCAGGAATTCTTGAAAGAAAGAGAGAGGAAAAGATCAAGTGAGCAGAGATTTCATTTACCATTCCACTGAAGTCAAGCTCCTCACCACCACCACCACCACCACACACACAGGTGAATCACAACCTGATGTATAAAACTGAAGGCTATTGGATTCAAAAAGGTGAGCTAATTTTGAGGATCAGGCTAGGATCACTACAAACTAATAATGGATGGCTATTGGTGCTGTGCTACCATCATCATCATCATCATCATCATATTGTATGTATATCCTTTTTTCTTCTGGTGAGGAACCCAAGACGGCTTACATGATCTTTCTCCTCCTCAATTGTATCCTCACAACAACCCTGTGAAGTAAGTTAGGCTTAGTCAGTTCTGGCCCACGCAGGGAACTCAGATAACAAAATGGGGACTAGAACCCAGATCACCTGGGTCCAAACTAACCAATTTTCCACACCAGCTCTCAGTATGGCGTGAGCCTACCTATGCAATAAGTTCTTCCTCCAAGGCCCTCCTCAAGGTGCCATCTATGAGTGAAACTTGGAAGGTAGGGAATGCTTACCCCAGCAAGGCCTACCTGGCACCATGATACTTATCTTTTGACCTCCATGTTAAGACTTTTCTCTTAGTTCAGGCATTTAGCAGCTTATGATGCTATTTTAATCAGGTTATTTTTTTAATCTGGATTATTTTATTGTTGATAGTTTACATTTCTTGTAGATGTACATGTGTTTTTGTGTGTGCTGTATGTTTATAAGGCATTTTAAAGGCTTTAATCTTTGTAACCCATCCAGAGTGCTCCGGTTACAGAGCAATATAGAAATTTAATGAATGTACTAATTTTTTAGGGGGCTTCTGTAGCTCAATGAAGCTATGAACTATGCCGTGCAGGGCCACCCAAGACGGACAGGACATAGCAGAGAGCTCTGACAAAATGTGATCCACTGGAGGAGGAAATGGCAACCCACTCCAGTATCTTTGCCATGAAAACCCCATGGACAGTACCAAAAGGCAAAAAGATATGATGCCGGAAGATGAGCCCCTCAGGTCAGAAGGTGTCCAATATGCTACTGGGGAAGAGCGGAGGGCTAGTACTAGGAGCGCCAGAAAGAATGAAGCGACTGGATCAAAGCCGAAAGGACACTCAGTTGCAGATGTATCTGGTGGTGAAAGGAGAGTTCGATGCTGCAAAGATCTATACTCCATAGGAACCTGGAATGTAAGATCCATGAATCAAGGCAAGCTGGATGTGGTCAAACAAGAGATGACAAGACTGAACATCGACATCTTAGGAATCAGTGAACTAAAATGGACAGGAATGGGTGAATTTAATTCAGATGACCATCAGGTATACTACTGCGGGCAAGAATCCCTCAGAAGAAATACAGTAGCCTTCATAGTCAATAAAAGAGTAGGAAAAGCAGTATTGGGATACAATCTCCAAAATGACAGAATGATCTCAGTTCGAATCCAAGGAAAACCATTCAACATCACAATAGTCCAAGTCTATGCCCCAACCACTGGTGCTGAAGAGGCTGCAGTTGACCAGTTCTATGAAGGCCTACAACACCTTCTAGAATTAACACCAAAACATGATGTCCTTATTATCATGGGGGATTGCAATGCTAAAGTAGGAAGCCAAACGATAACTGGAGTAACAGGTAAGTTTGGCCTTGGAGTACAAAATGAAGCAGGGCACAGGCTGGTATAATTTTGTCAAGAGAACACGATGGTCATAGCAAACACTCTTTTCCAACAACCCAAGAGACGACTCTACACATGGACATCACCAGATGGTCAACACAGAAATCAGATTGACTATGTGCTCTGCAGCCAAAGATGGAGAAGCTCTATACAGTCAGTAAAAACTAGACCAGGAACTGACTGTGGCTCAGATCAGGAGCTTCTTGTTGCAAAATTTAGGCTTAAATTGAAGAAAGTAGGGGAAAGCACTAGGTCACTCAGGTGTGCCTGAAGAACTATGGATGGAGGTTCACAACAATGTACAAGAGGTAGCAACTAAAACCATCCCAAAGAAAAAGAAATGCAAGAAAGCAAAATGGCTGTTCGAGGAAGCTTTACAAATAGCTGAGGAAAGAAGGGAAGCGAAAGGCAAGGGAGAAAGAGAAAGATACACCCAACTGAATGCAGAATTCCAGAAAATAGCTAGAAGAGATAAGAATGCCTTCTTAAATGAACAGTGCAAAGAAATAGAAGAAAACAATAAAATAGGGAGGACCAGAGATCTCTTCAAGAAAACTAAAGATATGAAGGGAACGTTTCAGGCAAAGATGGGCATGATAAAGAATCAAAATGGCAAGGACCTAACAGAAGCAGAAGAGATTAAGAAGAAGTGGCAAGATTACACAGAAGAACTATACAAGAAAGAGCTTAATGTCCCTGATAACCACAATGGGGTGGTCACTGACCTCGAGCCAGACATCCTGGAATGTGAAGTAAAATGGGCCTTAGGAAGTCTGAGCAACAACAAAGCTAGTGGAGGCGACAGTATTCCAGCTGAGCTATTCAAAATCCTAAAATATGATGCAGTAAAAGTGCTACACTCAATATGCCAGCAAATTTGGAAAACTCAGCAGTGACCACAGGATTTAGTTTACATTCCAATTCCAAAGAAGGACAATGCCAAAGAATGTTCAAACTACCACACCATTACATTCATTTCACATGCTAGCAAAATTACGCTCAAAATCCTACAAGCTAGGCTCCAGCAGTATGTGGACCAAGAAGTACCAGAAGTACAGGCAGGATTTCGAAGAGGGAGAGGAACTAGAGATCAAATTGTCAACATGCGCTGGATCATGGAGAAAGATAGGAAGTTCCAGAAAAACATCTACTTCTGCTTCATTGACTATGCTAGAGCCTTTGAGTGTGTGGATCACAACAAATTGTGGCAAGTTCTTAAAGAGATGGGAGTACCAGACCATCTTATTTGTCTCTTGAGAAACCTATATGTGGGTCAAGAAGCAACAGTGAGAACTGGACATGGAACCACTTCCTATTTAACTTATATGCAGAGCACATCATGAGAAAGGTGGAGCTAGATGAATCACCAGTTGGAATTAAGATTGCCTGGAGAAATATTAACAACCTCAGATATGCAGATGATACCACTCTAATGGCAGAAAGTGAAGAGGAACTAAAGAGCCTCTTGATGCTGGTGAAGGAGGAGAGTGCAAAAGAAACTCAACATTAAGAAAACTCAGATCATGGCATCCGGTCTTCTCACTTCCTGGCAAATAGATGGGGAAGAAATGGAGGTAGTGACAGATTTTATTTTCCTGGGCTCCAAGATCACTGAAGACAGGGACTGCAGCCAAGAAATTAAAAGATGCTTCCTCCTTGGGAGAAAAACTATGGCAAATCTAGACAGCATACTAAAAAGCAGAGACATCACGCTGCCAAAAAAAAGTGCGTATAGTCAAGGCTATGGTTTTCCCAGTTGCAATGCATGGCTGTGAAAGCTGGACCATAAGGAAGGCTGAGCAACGAAAAACTGAGGCCTTTGAATTGTGGTGCTGGAGGAGACTCCTGCAAGTCCCTTGGACTACAAGGTGATCAAACAATTCAGTCCTAGAGGTGATCAACCCTGGCTGCTCTTTAGAAGGCCAGATACTGAAGGTGAAACTCAAATACTTTGGCCACCTAATGAGAAGGAAGGACTCCCTGGAGAAGAGCCTAATGTTGGGAACAATTGACAGCAAAAGAAGGGGACGGCAGAGAATGAGGTGGCTGGATGGAGTCACTGAACCAGTCAGCGTGAGCTTAAGTGGACTCCAGGAGATGGTGAAGGACAGGAATGCCTGGAGGAATGTTGTCCATGGGGTCGTGATGGGTCGGACATGACTTCGCGACTAACAACAGCAACAGGACTATGCATCACTGTAATCATTTCAGTGCCTCTCCCTCTCTTCTTCTTCACTGCCTTCACTGCCTTCCTCCTCCCCTCCCCATCTTATCCACCAGCCACAGCAGATGTTCAGCTGTTCTCCCTCTTGTGCAGCCTTCCCCAGCCCAGGTCCCTCAGAAACGTTGCTTCATACTTCTAAGGGCATGATGCTGTGTGCTTCCAGCATTGTCAGGGGAGCATACAGTTATTTGGAGTCCCAGCTACAAGGTCCTCTCAGACTGGTGCAAGGACACACACACACACCTCTGAGAGCCAACTCAAGAAGAACTGTGTTGGCCACCTCTCCAAGGCTGTCTATCGGCTTTGCAGAGAACTAACAGGGCATGTAGGGGGTGGCTAAGGGAGGAGACTGGAGCTAACAGCTTATCTCAATGGCCATCCCATCCAAATGCAGTGCCGGGGCATGAGAGCTGGGCCAGTGAAGACCGCAGCTGCAGCTCATCCCTGCATTGGATATATGGGAGCTTCTCTGTTCAAAGGTCTCTGCAGGATCAGGATGGAAGACTTTGGATTGTTCCACAGTAAATCAAATAAAAATAATTTAATCTTTAGCCATCCATTTTAAGTGTAATGATGCAAATGAAGGGAAATGCTTTGTGTGTATTTTTCATTATGGATCAAGCAGAGTTTGGGACTTCAACACAAAGGGGGAGTACACTCCTGGCGCCAGGTAAAGACCTTTTTATTCAACCATTATTTTAATAATCAAGGGTTTTAGATGTTTTAGGATTTTTTTTTCTTTTTCCTCTCTTCACAGTCACATTTTCTATTCTTTCCTCCTTTTTCTCAAGTTCATGATGTGTTGTTTTATATTGTTTTAATAACTGAGGTTTTACATTGTAATTTTATATTTTGTAAGCCATCCTGAGCACTTGATGGAAGGACGGGATATAAATGCTTGAGATATAGATAGATAGATGTATTTGACGTGTTTTTATCCCATCCTTTACAGGAGTCTCAGGACTGCACTACAAAGCAAAGTGGCAGCATACAATAGATTATAATTCTAATAAAGCACAATATTAAAACCACAATTAAGTCTTAAAATGAAGAGAAAATAAAAAGGTTTTAGCCTGGCGCCGAAATGTATAAAGGGACAGTGCCAGGAGCACCCTTCTGCAGAGCAGTTTCTAGAGTTAACAGGCAAATCATGTTTACAATACAAAGCATTCATGAAAGAGGTGGCTGAATCATTTATCTTCTTCCTTGTCCAAACACTTATTGAAATTAGGACTTACAACAGCCTTTCAAAGGCCACCTGGAAGCTATGCTGACTCACCTATAAAATCCTGTAGCGGAGAGGCTCACACAGTTATGGTAGGCTGCTAACACCTGATGAAAGAATACAGATTTCTTTTTGAAAAGCTAGTTCTCTTTAACTAGACTGGCTGCCAGTTATTACAGAAACCTCAGGGCAGAGGTGTTCTTTAGCAGGGCAAGAAATGAATGCATCCCATCTATGTTCCAAAGGAACAGCATCATTTATTTTTATTATTTATTTATTAAAACATTTCTATGCCACCCCTTGCCGAAGCCTCGGGGCGGCTCACAGCACAAATAAAATACAATAAAATACAAAAATAACAATATAAAATTAACAATATAAAATAAATAACAATATAAAAGAAGTCGCCCTGGCCAGATAAATAAGCAAATTTTGTTAACAATTAAAATGACGTTTAAATAAAAAGGTCTTCGCCTGGCACCGAAAAACAAATAACGACGGCGCCAGGAGGACCTCTCTGGGGAGCGCATTCCATAGATTGGGCGCCACCGCAGAGAAAGCCCTCTTCCGAGTACCTACCCTCCTAATTTCTTTCACGGAGGGTTCCCGGAGAAGGGCCTCTCCCGCAGATCTCAAGGGGCGGCCGGGCATATATGGATGCAAGCGCTCCTTCAGGTAACCAGGACCCAAGCCGTTTAGGGCTTTATAGGTCATCACCAACACCTTGAATTGGGCCCGGACTTCAATGGGAAGCCAGTGAAGCTGACGGAGGACTGGAGTCATGTGAACATAACGCCCAGTCCCCATCAGTAGCCTGGCAGCTCTATTTTGAACCAACTGAAGTATCTGGACCGTCTTCAAGGGAAGCCCCACGTAAAGCGCGTTACCAGGAGACTCTTACACCGCAGGCAAACCCTCCTCAAAGACAGGGCACAGAGCACTTCTTGAAGAGTAGCTACAATGTCAGACAGTCCCCACTAACTCCCTTGGTCCTTTCCACAGCAGAACATAGGACAGATTATGGATAATTTGCTAAGGGTTGCAAATGCACACACTGTAATGGCAGCAACATACCCAGTCTTCCCAGGATCCTTTTGGGTTAGCAGATTTCATTGGTTCCAATCTCTTTAAGATCGTCTGACAAGCATTCTAAAAGAAGAAGAAAGAACTCACAGCAAACAGCAATGCATTAGAAATCCATATGTGTTGTACCCGACAACTGCAGTTAAGTAGACTCATTTTTCTTAAGCTTAAGAACAGGTGACTGCCCACCACATATCCTCTGCTCCTTTGTGATAGCACTCGCTCTGTGTTCCTGTGAAGGCTCCGGATCAAGAGTGAGCCAAAATTTACTGTTTCCCAGGTTAGAAAAACCCAAATTTCATCATAAAGCCAGACAACCACATGCCACAGATTCTCAAGTCCCTACTGCTGGTCACTTTTAACCATACTAGTCACCCTAAAACTAAGTCACATAGGATCCTACAATCCTTGCTTTTATAAAGCAAACCAGACAGACTTTTAAACAGGGTACAAACATACCACAACAGAATGAATATTATTAGTGATACCCTATTAGTCTTTCAATCCAATGGCTAAATTCAGTTTTGCAGGGTAGACTCCTGTTAATGGCAGGCTTAAACACAAAGCAGGGTATGTCAAAGGGTAAAAGGAGAAGACCAAATATATTATAGTTTAAAGATGCAATGAAATGCATGCTGAGAGAGAAAATCATTGAAAGTTAGACATGGCAAACTTGGAGTTCATTGGTTTCAGTGGGTCTGCTTCAGATATGACTATAGCTGGTTCCGATTCAGAATATAATATGTTAAAAGAGAGGTGATTTTATTTTTCAGTGGCATCACATATAAGTGTACACTCACAAATTGCTGGCCCTTGAAACATTTCCAAAACATGGGCCAATTCATACTTGTGAAGATACAAATATCTTGTTTACAGTTCTCCCTGTAGATTGATAAAAAATATACTGATGGAGCTGTGTATAATGAATGTTCCTTACTAAAACAGCCATCCCATTGATATCAGAACTGACGGAGGCAGCTGTTGGAGATGCGTTTGGCACGGTGTTGGTGCTTGTCTCACTGATGTGGATCTTGGAGGTGGGTATCGCCAGAGCCCTGCTGGCAACCTGCAAAGACACAGCACAATCTCATTCTAAGTCCACCAAGTTCTGAAGCTCCTCATCACACCGTATTTCATGACATTATGAAAGGAGCATCGCCCAGTTAAGCAATTACAGAATACACTGCTTTGGACTAAACTGATCTGTCTTCATTTGTTGTTGCAAGTAAAATCAAAAAATTCCACACAAGAAAGATTCCACACTCCCAAAGAACATCTCATTTTCAAGCAAGCATTGAAAATAATATGTTATTCATCAACCAGATTTTCTCAAAGTAAGGAGGAAAATTCTTTTACTTTCCTCTTTATTAGGATTTTCCTATTATACTGGAGATATTTAAATAATAATGGCCACAGTCCACAGGAACACAGGAGGTTAAGTAACTTGGACATCTCATTCTTTTGCTTCTTTTCTCAGAAATAGTCCAGCCCTCTGCCTATCCGAAAAGTGGCTTCTCACATAACATGGAGGAAAAAGGGTGGTGTGGAAATTTGCTTTGGAAACGAAGGGCTTACTAGGTAGTCAGTATCTCCTGTCATATAAACCTAGTGGAGCATGGATGATACATTTTAAACAGCACCAGACCATTACATATGCACTCATAAGTTACCTGGATCATCTTGGTGTGTAGGCCCTGACCCATCTCGGTCCCACCATGTGTGAGCAACACAGAACCATCTGTGTACACGTGTACCAGTGCACCAGCCTGCCACAGAAATTAGGGGGAGGGGTTGTCAAAAACTATTTATTCACAGTTTGAGGGCATGCTTTACAGTCATAGTACATTTACAAACATTTTCTTCATTCCATATTTGTATATGTGGCTCTAACCATCTGCATGGCCTCAGAAACCCACCTTCGTCCCTGTTAGTTGAGCAACTGAATAGAATGTGACAATATAGGATGCAAATAATCCTTGCATCTCCTTTCTCTTTGCAATCCCACATTCAATAAGAATATATGCAGCTTGTAGACAGGGGCTGCCACCGGGACAGTGACAGCCATCATTGTCATCATTTATTTGTACCCTGCTTTTACTTTTCAAAGGAAGCCTGAAGCAGCTAACATTATACAAAAAGAAGTACAAGAATATCATAAGACAATTAAACAATACGGCTGAGAAAATGGGCTGGATGAGTGCCAATAAACTGAGACTCAATTCAGATAAGACAGAGGTCCTATTGGTGGGCTGTTCGGGTTTTCAGGTAAGTGATTTTGGTCCTGTCCTGGATGGGGTTGCACTCCTTCTAAAGGTCAGGGTCCGCAGCTTGAGAGTGCTCCTCGCCCCGGACCTGTCCCTGGAGGCCCAGGTGATGGTGGTGGCAAGGAGCACTTTCCTTCAGCTTCGGCTGATCCATCAGCTGCATCCTTACCTGGAGGAGAACTGCCTAGCAACAGTGACACACGCACTGGTTAGCTCCCACTCGGATTACTGCAACGCTTTTATTATATGCTTTTCGGTGCCAGGTCAAGACCTTTTTATCTGATCAATATTTTAACATCAAGCAATTTTAATTGTATATGATTTATTTAATTTATTTTAAATATGTCAGTTTTATGCTCAGTTCGTGGAATAGATAATTTGTTTTGTTTGGGATTTGGAATAATTCTGCAAGCCATCCAGAGATGACAGTGATGGACGGCCTATAAATTTCCTAAATAAATAAAAATAATAAAGGTTTTTGGATGTTTAATGAACTTTTCCCCACAGTTGCATTTTCTATTCTGTTCTTTTCCTCCTTCTCTCTTTCCCTTAGTTTTATGATGTGCTGTTTTATATTGATTTTATATCTGCTGTTTTATTATTGTATTATTGTAATTCTAAATAGTTGTGAGCTGTTCATCAGAAAGGATGGAATATAAATGTTTGTTTAATTTAATTTAAATTAAAAAATCAACTAACAATACAAAAGTTACAGTGAACACAAACAAATTTTCAAATCAGTACAAAAGAAAACACTGCACTTCCTTATTTTTCCTCATCTCATGCTAGTTGAGGGGAAAGAGTTTGGTGCATGGGGGCACCATGTGCTCCTCGATGCCTTTCTCAGAGTCCACCAAAGTGTTTTACCCCTACATTATTAAATTTTTTACACATTTTCTTACTGGCAGCTGGGATCACTTCTGGACAAACTGAGGGCCTCTGTCTGCTGCCATCTTCATTTCCCATTAGAGCCTCTAGGCCACAAGTCGAACTCAGATATCCTTAGGAAATAAAGATGGCTGCAACTGTGGGCAGTGCTTTCCTTCGCAACCTGTGCAGCCATCAAGAAAAAAGAAAGAAGGGGGAAAAGGAAAAGGCCCTGAACTGTGTTCCACCTGTACCTCGCACACTGTTGTCTGGGTATGTTATTTGTCCTTTCTGACTAGCCATGCCTCCCATGAAGGCTACTTCAGAGTGGCACCCACAAAAGTTCCGCAAATTGCCAGATAGGCTCACAGGCCCTAACAGTTGGTCTTTCCCTGGTTAGTGTTTAAGCAGAGCCAGTATCACTGAAGCAAAACAAAATTCAGTGAACAGAATTCATAGCATTTACTTAGAAGATGAAGGCAAACTGGAGGGCAGCATCATAACCAAGTGTAAAGTTCCGTGCCTTGAATGTGATCTAGTCCAAGCTTGGAACTAAAATGGGCATCTAGTGGTACTGCTCCAACTATTTCCTTTCCAGGGAATCTTAAAAAGGTGGAGTGAGCATTTTGGCAGAAAGGTGATCTAAGGCGGTAAGCACTGTGATAGTTAATTATAATATGTAAACACTGTGATAATAAATGTGCTTGCTGACCTGATTGAGAAAGGGAACGGTGAAGCTGATGCCAAACTTGGTTGGAATTATGGCCATGCCTCTCTTCTTCCAGCGATTCTGCCTGGGAGAACAGGAAAGTGTTATTCCCTCATTATTTCTCAGCATGCACCCATCTTAAACAAGACTGAAAGCTTTCTTCTGTGTGCCTTCTCCTCCTACAGAGTTTTGCATCAGAACAAACTGAACACAAATAGGAAGGGTGCAAGGAGGACTACAGTAAGCAAATCATCGTTGCGCTCTTCATTTGGTCCCCCACATTTCATTTTGAACTCAGCACGGCAAGGTTATGCGCAAGTGACCTTCTCCATGCACTTCAGTGAGCACCTTTGATAAGCTGCAGAGAACACAATCCAAGCCACTGGATGTGCAGGTCAGTTTAACCTGCTTTGCAGCTCTCAGTATGAAATTAATGCAAACAGGGAAAGCTGAAAAACACAGCTTTATCTCAACACTTGGATTCTAGATGACAAAAATGAGATCTACCAGTATTTTTGAATACACCTCAAATCATTCTTGAAAGTAAAACACCTACTTGTTAAACTCATCAATGAGTTTCCTTCTGGAATGATAGTCTGAATTTCTGAGGCATTCTTCCAAGCATCTGGGCACTGTGAAGCCTTCTAGCTTTTGATCAAAATGAGTCAGATCTCCTTCATTATATAGATTGAGCTTTCGTACCTTCCCAAAGTAAAAGACACAACATCAGCTTGTGTTAACATCATAAAAGCACATGAACTTTTGAATTAAAGAGTGGCTTTAATAGTATATTGTTTACTGGGCACCTTGATCCAAAGTTGGCATCCTAAGTGTACAGATCAATGGCACCAACATTCTGTATAGTGATGAGCTGTTAAATAATAGGGCACAACACCTCTGACAGGTATGATTTTGACATCCAGCACATAAAGAACTCATTTATTTCTAAATAGAAACCACAACTGGACTGGACTGGCTGATGAATGTTCCCTTGCTTAAAATATAATTTTTGCTACCTTCGTGTCCATTGACTGAAAGATGCATGCTTTAGAGAAATGGCAGTTTTGGAGATATATCTCTTTGAATGCATACCTCTTCTGCTGGCAGCCCACACTTCAAGGCAATGTCACTCATCCAGCACTCGGCAATCATCATCCCCTGGGGACCCCCAAACCCACGGAATGCTGTGTTGGAGGACAAGTTAGTCTTACAGACTATGCCTGTGCCTCTGAGGTTTGGGATGTTGTATGTATTGTCCATGTGCAGCACTGCTCTGTCCATGACCTAGTGAGCAACAAAAACAAAACAGGTAGAAAAATCATCTTATTTAATAGAATTTGAGTGGGTTTTTTCTGATTCTATAATCTTAGACAGCACCAATCAGTAATATTTGGCACATTTTTCATTCACATTACAACTGCAGAAATGTAGCCTTGTAGCATTGAGGTGATGTCGTTGATGATGATGATGATGATGATGACGATGATGACAATGATGACGACGATGACAACAACAAAAAACTATTACTACTACTACTACAATGGCAGGATTAATTTCTGGAGAGGTAGGTATCTGAACCAACATTAGTTTCAGTGTTTAAATGAAGCAACTTCATGGTGGAGCAATGTTGTGGAAGAACAGCATGTCCGTCTGTCTGTGAGCATGTGTCTGATGTGCAAACATGGTGAACCTTCTCCCTGCCCATCAGTTTTATGCTCCAGACCACCACAAACTTCCCAGCCACTGTGTTCGCCTTAACAAAAATACATCTAGAACCATTCTAGAAGGTAGTTTTTGGGGGAGATGGTTTAGAGTGGAAAAATAACCCCTTCCATCCCTACTCATCATGCAGATGTATGCAGATGTGCACACCTGCACGTCACTCAGGTGCTCATGATTGCTCTGAAAGGGCTTTATTCCAAGCAAATGTGTCAAAAATGTTTTGTCCATTGCACCTTGTTACTGAACTACTCACTCGCTGTTACATACATGCAGAACAGCTCTAAAGTAATCTTTCCCAACCTGACGCCCTTCAGAAGGACTTAAGAGCATTTAATTTATTTTTTTATTTATTAAAACATTTTTATGCCGCCCCATTCGCCGAATGTTATTGGTGCTACAATCCATGTGGAGGATGCTTAAGCTGGATATTTTAGCATTTTAATGGAAATTGTTAGCTGTGAGTTATTATTACATTGCAGTGATATTCCACCTGTCTTCCTTTTGCAAGGAACTTAAGACAGCTTACAAGGTTCTCCTCCTCTCCACTTAAAGCTCAAAACAACAACCTTGTGAGGTAGATTAGACTGAGAGGCAGTGACTAAAGCCCAGAGTCACCCAGTGGGTTCCATGGCTGAGTGGAGACTAGAACCCAGATCTCCTGAGTCCCAATGAAGCACTCTTAACTACTACACCAAACTGGATATAGTTTCTAGCTCTCTCTAACTGTCTCTAAGAGTTAGAATCTCTTAGGGGAAAACCCTATGCATGCTTATTTCTTTTATTTATTTATTAAAACATTTTTATGCCGCCCCATTCGCCGAAGCCTCGGGGCGGCTTACAACAATAAATTAAAACAACATTTTAAAATATATACATTAAATAAAATACAAATATACGATATAAAACATACAATATAAAACAAGCCTCCCTGGCCAGATAAAATTCAATAATATTAACATTTAAAATACTGCTTAAATAAAAAGGTCTTCGCCTGGCACCGATAAACAAATAACGACGGCGCCAGGCAGACCTCTCTGGGGAGCGCATTCCATAACTTAGGCGCCACCGCTGAGAAAGCCCTCCTCCAAGTAACCACCCTCCTAACTTCTTCCACTGAGGGCTCCCGGAGAAGGGCCTCTCCCGCCGATCTCAGGGGGCGGCTGGGCATATATGGATGCAAGCGCTCCTTCAGGTAACCAGGACCCAAGCCATTTAGGGCTTTATAGGTCATCACCAACACCTTGAATTGGGCCCGGACTTCAATGGGAAGTCAGTGAAGCTGACGGAGAACTGGAGTCATGTGAACATAACGTCCAGTCCCCGTCAGCAGCCTGGCAGCTCTATTTTGAATTGAAGTATCTGGAGCGTCTTCAAGGGTAGCCCCACGTAGACCGCGTTACAGAAGTCAAGACGGGAAGTCACCAACGCATGTGTCACTGTCGCAAGGCAGTCGTTCTCCAGATAGGGGCGCAGCTGATGAATCAGCCGAAGCTGGAGGAAAGCGCTCCTCGCCGCTGCTGTTACCTGAGCTTCCAGTGAAAGCTCCGGGTCGAGGAGCACTCCCAAGCTGCGGGCCTTGTCCCTAAGAGGGAGTGCAACCCCGTTCAGGACAAGGTTCAATTCACCCTCTCCGAAGCCCGATCCGCCAACCAACAGGACCTCCGTCTTGTCTGGATTGAGCTTCAGTTTATTGGCCCTCATCCAGCCCATTACCTCGGCCAGGCACCGGTTCAGCACAGCCACTGCCTCACCTGGATTGGTGGAAAACGAGAGGTAGAGCTGGGTATCATCAGCGTACTGATGGCTCCGCAGCCCACACCTCCTGATGACCTCTCCCAGCGGTTTCATGTATATGTTGAACAGCAAAGGGGACAAAATGGACCCCTGTGGTACTCCATGGCATAGCTGCCATGGCGCAGAGCCATAGTCCCCCAGCACCACTTTCTGGAATCGGCCATTGAGATAGGAGCGGAACCACTGCAAAGCAGTGCCTCCGACCCCCAATCCCGCAAGCCTATCCAGAAGGATACCATGGTCGATGGTATCGAAAGCCTCTGAGAGGTCCAGGAGAACCAACAGGGACGCACTCCCCTGTCCTTCTCCCTGCACAGGTCATCGTACAGGGCGACCAAGGCAGATTCAGTACCGTACCCGGGTCTGAAGCCGGACTGCAGTGGGTCCAGATAATCAGTTTCATCCAAGAGTGCTTGGATTTGTCCCGCCACCACCCGCTCTAACACCTTGCCCAGAAACGGGATGTTGGCCACTGGTCTATAATTAGTGGCCATCTCTGGATCCAGTGACGCCTTCTTCAGGACCGGTTGGACTACTGCCTCCTTTAAAGGGGCAGGCACCCAACCCTCCCTCAGAGAAGCGTTAACCACTTCCAAGATCCAGGTTCCAATCCCGTGCTTGGAATCATTTATTAACCAAGACGGGCAAGGGTCCAAAAGGCAAGTGGTTGGACGTACTCGCCCAAGCACCTTGTCCACGTCATCGGGCCACAGTAACTGAAATTCATCCAATAAATCTGGACCAGACGGCAGCGTTGGTGTCTCCTTTGAAACCTCTGAATCAATAGTGGTGTCCAGCTCGTGACGAATCTGAGCGATTTTCTCCCTGAAATGCCTGGCAAAGTCGTCACAGCGGGCCTTTGAGGGTGGAATCAGGTCTTCCTTCGGACCTGGACGAACCAGGCCTTGCACCACTCGAAAGAGCTCCGCCGGACGGCATTGTGAGGAGGCAATGGAAGCGGAAAAGAATCTCTTTTTCACCGCCCTCACCGCCACAGCATAGGCCCGATAGTGGGCTCTTAAGTGTGTTCGGTCAGATTCATCCCGTGATTTCCTCCACCTACGCTCTAGTCGTCTCCCAACCTGCTTCATCGCCCTCAATTCAGGAGTATACCAAGGGGAAGAGCGGGCTCTGCCCGGTGGGAGAGGACGCTTAGGAGCGATCATGTCTACAGCCCTATTCATCTCCCCATTCCACAGTTCGACCAGAGCCTCAACAGGAGCACCCGTCTTGTCAGCCGGAAACTCCCCCAGGGCCTTCAGGAATCCTTCCGGATCCATCCGGCTCCGGGGGCAGACCCACACAATCGGGTCCACACCCTTACAGAGGGAGAAGTCACTCTCGAGCACAAACCTCACCAGGAAGTGATCTGACCATGACAGGGGAGTCAAGCATAAATTACTCACCCTCAGACCACCCTCTTCCTGCTCCGTCGAGAAAACCAGGTCCAGAGTGTGTCCCCGTTCATGGGTCGGGCCGGTGACATGTTGAGACAGCCCCATGGCCGTCATGGAGGCCATGAAGTCCTGAGCTGCCCCGGTCAGACCAGTCTCGGCATGGAGATTGAAGTCCCCCAGGACCAACATCCTGGGGGTCCTCAACACCAGGTCCGAGATGATCTCCATCAGCTCAGGCAGGGAGACTGTTGGGCAGAAGGGTGCACGGTACACCAACAGAATCCCCAGTCTGTCTCGGTTGCCCAACACCAAGTAGAGACACTCCAGCCCTGGTCTCGAAGGGACCGGAAGTCCCGTGAAATGGATGGAGGCTCGGTAAACCAAAGCGACCCCCCCTCCCCTCCCCTCCGGCCGTGAGCAGTGCTGGACCAAATACCCGGGCGGGCACAATTGGGAGAGGGCAACATCCCCCCCTCCTGCCCAGGTCTCCGTTATGCAAACCAGGTCGGCCCTCTCATCCACAATCAGATCCTGGATGAGGACAGATTTGTTATTGACTGACCTGGCATTAAGCAACAGCACCGTCAGGCCCGAGGGGCGACTGACGAGACTCCCTGGCACCCTCTGGCTGGGAGCAAAACCAGAAGTAGGGACAGAAGCTTAGGAAGAAAAACTTTAGCGACTCCCAGCATGCCCCAGCTAGCCATGGTGGGCACTCATGGAAGAAGCTGCAGCGCTTTTTCTGGCCAAGCATACATACGATTGTATCTTTACAATAGCAGAGGTTCACAAAATTTTTGCCAGCAAAAATGTCTGGTCTTAAATGGCCACCTGGGGGCAGAGAGAGGGACTGAAATGTTCCTGCAAGAAGCCTCATTGTACCCTTTCACTTTTTGCGCTCTGCTTTCCAGCTGCTGCTTTGGAGCCATCCTCGCGCCTGACCCCACCTCATCCACAAGCTGTCCTCCAACTCTTTTCTTCCCAAGTGGCCCTTGGCAATTAGGAATCATGTAAGAAACAAGATAGAAACAAGATACAATAGAAAGAGGAGATGCAAATATCTTCCATGATCAAATAAAGATAAGCAGAATGTTTCTTCAGCTTACTCCATGAGAAAGATCAACTGAGTTCCCTCCATTGCTATAATATGTCACATCAAGACTAGTAATCCTTCCATTCTTCTTGAAGCCAACCTAGGAGCAGAGAAGACGAAAACCATAATTTGGCAGAGTTCGGCTTTTCCAGTTACAGATTTTTTTGATGTTGAGTAAACTCAGCTGCCTAGACCTCAAAATCAGACCTGCTGGAAAGCTATTGATAGTAATGTAGCCCTCTTCTCCTAGGCTGGTCTTCCTCAGTGCTCATTCTGTTTGGGGATGATGGGAGTTGTATTCCAACGTATCCCACATGGTGAGCAAAGCTGACCTAAATGAAGCAAAGTGAGCCCATTCACCCAATATAAACACACCTGGGCACTTTCAGTCCTCTGATGGGATACAAGAAGCTGCATTTTACCAAGTTAACCATTGATCTATTCACCTCCACAGTTTCTAAACTGAGGTGGGCAAATTGCAGACCTTCAGATGATCTGGCTTTCATTTCCCTTCATCTCTCATCATTGGCTCTAATTCACTGGCAAAAGCTTAGAATGTGGAGTGCATGAATTCTGACTAGTACAGTGCAATGGCATGGCAGTTGCTTTCAGCTGCACATCTGAGACACTGCCGCCTGTTGCACTCATTGATGTCAAGGTATAGTTCTAAAGCTGCTTTCTTTTCACCTTATACTGCCCCAGAAAGGGATGTCTTCCACCAGAAATCAGCATATCTTCATCTCGATCCAGCATGCACCGTACTGGGCAACCAACCCTGTAAAGACATGGAGCACAGAATAAGCCTGTAGCATGGACATTGTTGACAATGTTGTCTTGCAATCTGCAAGGGAAGCTCTTTTCCTTCAACTCGTTGACAGCAGGGGAGAACGCCCATCCCGATGGCGCCCAGGCAACATCTCCTCTTTCGGGGGACACCCTCTACATTCTCTGCCCTGGCAAAGGCAATACGGCAGGGCTTTGGGAGTGGTAGGTTACCCAACAATCCCCCTTCCAGTTGGAACTACTCTGCCTGTTCTGATATCTTTCATCTTACTTTCCCTGAATCTAAGCAAATGTCAAATTCAGACAGCTGATAGCTCCCTCTAAATCATTTCTACATTTTAATTAATCTCTACTTTTCCTAATCTTCCTCCAGCTGTCAATACATGAAACATTAATTCCATCTCCTACTTTGTTCTAAGTTCATTCAAATGAGAGGCATAGACTTCAGTAACCTAAAGTCCCTGTTATTTCGTCAATCTTACCAGTGATCTATTTCCAAACTGTTTAATTAAGCAGGCAATGTTATGATGTAACCATGCCAGCTTTAAAATAATAATTATGGGTCTTTTTAAAGTTCTGCTCTTTTCCTAGTCTGAAAAGAACCCTAGTTAACCATCTGTGAGTCTAATTTGGTGCCTGGATACTCCACCATTTTAAGATCCTGGTTGGGATTTCAGAGGTTCTAATACTACCTTTTGATTAACTGGAGCTTCATTGGATAGCTGCATTAGATGCAGATCTGATGTACTGGACTAATAAAACACCCAGCCCTACCAATTTTGAAGACTAAGGGTGCTTTCATATTAGGAATGTATGGATTTTGTTAAATTCATATGGATTTTGGATAAATATGGATTTGGTAAATCCATTCCACCAGAGTTTCATGGATTTTACATGGGGTCCTGAGATCATTGTCTTCTATGGTAATCCTTCTGTGTTTTTCCATCATTTCCTCCATTATTTTCCTATCATAGAAGAGCCATTAAGCAAAGCCAAATGGAATAGCTGCACAATGTCTTTTGATGCCTTAGGAACCATCCATCTGCAACAACCCCATGGATCTTTCCTTAAGAGTTAAGCTATTTAATGTCCATCCCACACAATAGGGGTGGAGCACCTGTGTTCTGTGAGACTCCAACCTCACCAGTCCCAACTCTTATAGTCAACGGAAATATGAGATAAGAGTTGTAGTCCAACATGATCTGGAGAACCAAAGGTTCCCTACTTCTGCTATATGAGTAGGAAAACTATATTTCAATAAACCATGAACTTACATTTCATGTACCTTCCCAGAGACTTCCAATGATAAATATCAGTGAAATTCTTTTGAGAATCCTAGGTTGTCTCTTAGTGAACTATTGCTGCCTACTCTCTCTTCACAATAGGTTTGGAGTCACTAAACTCCTCACCCCCACAATCCATTTTTTTAACTTTCTTTGCTTCCTTCCTTCCTTCCCACCCTCCCTTTGTTTTCCTATGACATCAGTTCCCAAGAAGCAGAAACATGAGTATGAAGTCTGTGTTGAGAAGGAAGAAATATTCTCATTACTCTGTTGAACCAGGACTCTTGTGATTGCAAAATTTTGTCACCTATCAACCAGTGGACAAGTAATCCTTACCTGTAATTGCATGAGATGTGCCATAAGGAGCCATTATTTCTACTAATCTATATACTATAATGAACAGCAAACCAGTTGCATCAACTGAGAAGAGGTTTCAGTATCCTCTCCCAGTTACACAGCCCAGGTTCAAGCACATGCCACTCTTGAGCATCATGGACGAGAGTGGTCCTTCTCTTCCAAAACCATGTAGATAGCCTCACCTGTGATCCATCTAAATGCCCCATCATATGGTTGCCCAGTTCTCACTGTTCTTTCCCTCCAACAAACAGGTGGGAAGATTTCACTAAGAATGTGTCTATGCACTGGGACATTCAAAAGGCACACCCTACAGATGTATGACAATACGTTGTACATGGTGCAAAAACCGGCCACATGGGGAGAGAGACCCTGCCCTACGTGATGCCAAAGACCAGTCCAATTTCTTAAACACAGCAGAGTTCTGGATTTGTAGTAGGAAAAGAAGGGAGGGAATCATCCTGCAAAGTACAGACAGAAGCTCTAGACATGAAGCTAATCCATTTTCCCAGTCCTCTTAGAACAAACATCTTTTGAAAGCAGGTTACCCTTGGGTAGCCAAACAGAAGTTCCATTCATCAGAACTTACTTGACCGCAGCCACTGCTACAGCTGTGGATACAATTGTGTTTCTTGTCTCTTTTCCTCCAAATCCTCCACCCATTCTCTTCACTCGGACGACGATTCTATTGGATGGGACCCCTAAGGCTTTGGCAACAAATTCCTAAACAAAACCAGATATGCGCATCAGCCTAGAAGCAGCATAGCAGAACAAAACATAAAACCAGTCCTCCTTCTGCACAGGTGTGTGTTTGTGTATGAGAAATACAGTGAAAGGCCAATAAATGAACATTTAAGTGGCATTTATGTGAAGACTTCACAACACCTTTATCAGGGCTACTTGACTCTCATAAGCTACATATTAGCATCAAGAAACTAGAATCCCACGTCTCTTGGTTCTCTGCTTACCAATACAATACAGTATGGTAAGTTAGGTGGACATGCCAGATTGCTAGCACTAAAGCAAGGGTACATTTTTGACCACTCCCTGTGCAGCCCCCGAAGCCAGCAGTCTCCCTCTTCTACATAGCTCAGGAGAGGAACTGGGCTGCCGGTGGGTGAGGCAGGGACACAGTTCCTTGGCTTCTGTGATCACTGATTTTCCACTGCTACGAGTGCTTGATAAACGGCAAGCTCTGTAGCACTGAGGCAGAAGAGGCTTTGGTGAGCAGGGTGGAATGAGCTGGATGGGGGAATATGGGTATCTATGTGTGGCCCCAGTCTAACACAGAACGTAGCCCTCAAAAAGGTTGTGCACCTCTGCACAAAAGAACAAAATGAAGTGCTTTTATTTATCCATAGACAAACAACAGATGCTGTTGCAAAAGAAGGGTTTTTATTTTCATCTAGAATACTCTGTTTCAGCTCAATTGCTAGGATTTTATGCTTTGCTTGGTTGCTGAGTCTGAATGTAAAATGAGTCTTCAGAACTACTGTGCAGGTTTATAAGTGCAAATAGCAAAATTGCATCAGCTGGTTGCATGTGATGGGAGGGAGAGGTGAAAAGAGGTCAAAGCAGACATGAAGTTGGAATTTAACCCTTTCCTCGCCTTCTGCCCTGAGAAAATCTCTGCAGCACTTCTAAGCAGTTCTGAAGCACTAAGGAGCACTTGTCAATGATATTTTTCATGTTTATTTCACACACCCCAAATGGAATGTACCACAAGAGGATGACTCACTTGTGTCTTTGTTAGATTCTGGGTAGATACAAAGAGCTCCATTTCTCCATCTTCTCCTTTTGGCACAGCGATAGTACAATGAGTCTCCAGATAAAAGTGCTCCTGGCCACCAAGGTACATCTCCCCTGCAGGGGGCAAAGTTGGAAAGGAATAAAGGGAGCTCAGAGGGTCATTTTCTGGGATGGCATGAGAGTTTGTCAAAGTCTGGCTCAGATGCAGTCGCAGGGAACCCAGAAGACCGAAGCCCAACCCCTGAATGTCCAAATGCCCAGGAGACAGTGTCTTGCACTCCCTTCAGTCTTTTCGTTCCTCCCATCCCCAACCAAACCATCTCTTCCAGAACACACACTGCCATTTCCCTTTCCTCCTTACTTCTCCTTAACAGAGGAATGGCAGCAAGAGAGGCTTTTTCCTCTCCCTCTCTGGGTATCTCTGGGCATGGGGATTCTGAGAAGTGTAGCTCTCTCAAAGAACTCCTTCTTCCAGACTGCACCATACCCTATCGCAGCATTAACTGCCATGTTGCTAGCACCCAGTCACTCATTTTGGCTCAGGAGATGTTTCTAGATTTTCCCTGATTTGGGGGCAGAGAGAGACTGGCAAACCCCCAAGCCAAACAAAGGAGAATTTCAGAAGGTTCACCCTTTTCTAATTAATTTTCAAGCACAGAATCTGAGCCATATGATGACGACATGAAAGGAGAACTTTGACAAATGCATATTGCCCTATTAAAAATAAACATGAAGCTCACCTTCTACAATATGATCAGCCTCTTGAAATCCTTTCTCGATGTTTCCTTTCACAATTGTCCTATCAGTCTCAAAGAAAGACTGTTTCTCAATAGCCTCCTGTACAAATCAGATGTGGACAGTAGATATTTGTAACGGCTGACTTTGCCTGAGCTATCTAGACATCTGAGAATATCTCTGTGCTGGGCTTGGTATAATATTGCATCAATAAAACACAATCTAGCCTATTTAGTATCTAGGATGGCCAGGTGCTGTAGAGGACCGGGCTCCTCTATACAGCTGTATGAAACAAATTTTTTAGCAAGTGACATTGTGCATAGCACATGACTGGGTGCAGCACAAGCAACATTCCCTGCTTTTCACAGGAACCCTGCCACCAGCAATTTAGTTGCCTTAGCTGTACCTCTTGTTCACCAGAATCAGCCCCGCATGTCTAGAACCCAACACGACCCAACCCAACCGTCACAAGCAATTAGACCACTAAAGCTAAGTAAGTCTGTGTCTGACCAATGCTTGGATTGAAAGCCATCTGGGACCATCTTCCTGGAGATACAGTTTATATGCATCAGGGTTATGGGGAATAATAGCCTCTTTGCATATAGGGCTCTTTTCCAATGAAATACCCACACCAGAACATGAAAAGCTCTCTCAATATAGAGAATGCATAGGCTGAACTCAGATCGGGCAGCATCCAGCACAGCAACTCCACCTCTGCAGGTACTGTTGTGCTCGTAGAAGCAATGTGTACAGATTAATCTCTACCTTGCTTGCTTTCTCTTTCTCTCTCTCTCTCTCTCTCTCCCCCCCCTCCCTCCCCCTCTCCCACACACACACCTATATCAGAAAGCCGAGCAGCTGCCTCCAAAGACATCGCTTTTAGAAGGACCTAGGCTAAATCTTCAGGAGTTCGGGACTGAGAGGAGCATCACATTGGTGTTACTGTCTTACCTGAATGGTGACAATAGGTGGAAGATCTTCGTATGTGATCTTCACTGCTCTTGCGGCTCTTCGGGAATGTTCTTGTGTGTCTGCCAGCACCCCACCAATTATGTGGCCGACACAGGTGGCCTAAGATTCAAAACACTTCAGTTTATTAACTGACTTCTGAGAAACTTGAGGCGACCATTCTTGTTTATCTGGAACATTTCATTTTTTGATATATTTTTTGAAATCCAATGTCAATTAAATTGGACACAGTTTTGAATGTTGGATAAACTGTTGTACAACAGTTTGTTGTTCTTATGGGCAGTCAAGCAATCTCCAACTTAGGATGACCCTATTATTTTATTGTTGTTATTTAAGTTGGACAGGATCCTTTATTATTGTTATTTATTTCATTTCTATACTGCCTGTAGCAGAAGTTCTCTAGGCAGTTTACAACGAAGTATAATAACAATAACATACAGTAGATAGTTATTTGTTTTTTGGCACCAGGCTAAGACCTTTTTATTTAAAACTCATTTTAATTGTTAATTTATTTGTATTTATAGGATTTTAAATTTTTTAAGCCGAGATGCTCTGGGTTTTAATATTTTTACTGTTTAATTGTTATAGTTATGTATTTTGCTTTTGTTGTGAGCTGCCCCAAGGCTTTGTTGCAATGGGGGCAGCATAAAAATGTTTTAAATAAATAAATAAAGACATTAACAATGATTCAGAATGAATGAATGAATGCCCTTTCTAATATCCTGTCCTTCACAGCCCTGCTCAGCTCTTGTAAACTCAAGGCTGTGACTTCCTTTATACAGTTTATTTGTACACCAGCAGGACCGTGTGTGTGTGTGTGTGTGTGTGTGTGTGTGTGTGTGTGTGTGTGTTACCAGAGTATGTGACTGCTCATTGCTATCACTTAAGGCTGCAGTTTTCCTTAGAAGTAAGTTACACTGAGTTCACTGGCTAAGCATGTATAAGACTGCAATCCCAAGGTATGTCTGCACCTGCTCAGTTTTGTATGGTTCATCCATTCAAACAGTGCAAGTTTGTGCTCTGCACCATTTTGTCACTAAATTTCCCTCATTTTCTGTTTTCTAGTTCCTGTCATAGCTATGTGGGAGTTAACACTTCATTAGAAAATCACCAAAATCCTCACAATTAATGTGCATAATATTTGTCATTGCAGCCAGTGCCCCACACCTCTTCCTTTATTATGAAGGATTCTCCTTTTAAAAAAAGCACAAATCTACTACAATTACTCAACCAATTCATTCTGTTAATTTTTGGGTGGCAGGCATGAGTGAAAAAGTACTGAAAGCTTCCATTTTAGGGTGAAAAGTTGGCAAATATTTGGCAAATTAACTTCACTCTGAATATACAATAAAGTAATGTTAACTTCTTAGGGATAAACTTCACTCTAAATATACAATTAACTCCTTAGGGATAACATTTTATGAATGAAGTGAATGAAGCAAAGTTGCATACGGTGTCCTTTGCAAAGACAGTTTCATCATTGGCAATCCCCGTGACGTTGCTCCCTGGAACATCCTCGGCAGAGACAAAACACACAAAGCCAGGTACCTTCTGGGCCTCAGTGGCATCAATAGAACTGAGGAGCAAGAGGAGCACAAAGACGGATTACTTCATGCTATCTAACCACATCTTTATTTATGTATTTGATTTTTATCCTGCCCCACTAGCCATACGGCTCACCGGGCAGGGAGCCTTTTGCAGGCTGAAACTGAAGAAAGGACTTCCTCAACAAAGTTCTAAGTCCTCAGTGTACATATGCGAAGCTGTTGTGCAGCAGGTGGGTGCTTCTACCCCTGCAGATTTTGAGCTACCCTCTGAGATGTGTGCGAGGCACAAATATTCCCTGAATTCTCATTCTAGTCAAAAGCAGATGGAACGTGGTTTTTGGAGAGCAGCAGGCAGAGACACCCTGTTCTTCCCCAGGGCCCTTTGCAACATAAAAACCACCATTAGTCTAGCCTAAGTCCCATTCAATTCAATGGGCCTATTCTAAACAGGACTAGTATTGGATGTAACCCTAAGACCCACAATTTGGTAACTGTTTGAAAAAGCAAAGATTTCCCTTACTGAAGCAGTACTTACACAATCACTTGTGTAATCACAGTTACACTTACACAATCTTAGCATGGGCTTTGGTGCTGGTGACCAGCGTTAAGTACAGCTCATTCTCATAGTGAGGAATGTCATCACAGTAGACGGCCTCCCCGCTCGCCTGTTTGCCAGCTGAGAGGTGCACCAGAGGTCGTCCGACAGTGTCTTCAACAGACTGCCCAGGAGGCACTTCCTGTAACAGAACCAGAGGATGGTAGTCCATTCCTGGGCTGTCGCTCCAAGATGAACAAGCCCAGCGTGGATACATTATGCCACTGAAATACTGCATAAGCTCCAGTAGCAACAGCAGGGAGGTGTAGAGAAATAATATTCAGCATATACAAACCCATGGACAGCTCCTTCTATCTAGAGCTGAAAGGAGGAAGCACTTACACACCCAAATCCACAAATCATTAACTGAGAAAAGGGAGGAAATACTAAATATCGGACTTGTTCAGTGTAAGGCTCAGGGAAGAGCAAAGGCCAAGCAGGTTTGTAAAATGAAGCAAAAGGACAGCACAAGGTATAACAGCTGTTGGAAGGTTGAGCACATGATTCTGTGTACTTACTTGGAACAGCTGTACGTTATTGATGGGATCTTTGCGAAATAACTCAGTGGCACTGGCGTAGCTCGAGGGGACCATGTCACCTAGATTGTTCTGCAAAAACATTTTGGGGCACAACTTTAATTTGATTTCTCCTAGAGGAAGTGACATCTTTTCATCTTATAACCTGGGCAAGAGCATTACTATTTTTTAAAAAAATTGAGAAGCCCCTTCCAATAGCTAGCACTACCTGTATTACTTACTGTAAAGAACCCTTTGTGGATACTTTAAATAAACATTTACTTGGGACTAAGTATCATTAAACCCACTGGGATATATTTTAAGCAGACATGTGTAGTATCACCCAAAAATGCTATTTAGTCCATCCCATACTCTTTGGGGTCCTTTCCAGATGTGCCACATCCATCCTTCCACTCCCGTAAGGCTTCCATGACAAGCACACACCCAACAGTGATAGGTTGAACGGTACTTTGCTTTCATATCCCAGGAAGCCTCTTCATTGGAGGTTCTCAAGCACTGTTTAATTCTGCTTTGGACAATTTAAGGTATTATGAGTCCATCCTATTAAGAGCTTCTCTACATGAGTTGTTTCTCACAAGCTCTCCATTGCCCACCCACAGTTGTTTACAGGTTCTTTAGACAATGGCCAATGTTTTTAAGACCACCATTGCAGGGAAATGCAGCATCATTTTTGAAAGCAAAACGAAATGCATTGCTTCACTTGTGTAATTGCATTATTCTGCTATACCACAGCACCACTAGTGGTTATGTAGCAGAAAAGCAGGAAAGGAAAAGCTTTGTAGAGCTCAGTCCTCTGTAGCAAAACCAAAATCAGATGCAGCGGATTAACAGCCTTGTGTAGAAAAGCGCTAAATACATATTGCAAAATTCTAGTGGTAGAAGTTCTCCAGGATGTCTGCTGAGATAGCAGGAATATCAAAGAAATGTTTCTCGACCCTTCCTAACATAAAAAGAGAAATTCTAAAGTACACAGAACCTAAGCAGTTGCCAGAATGCCCACCAAAAGACCAGTTCCCCACAATGCCCCAGTTGTTTGAGAACTCCCAGAATTCAACAGAAGCAGCATCTGTCTCATGTGCTGTGAATTCTTGTTCAACCCTCATTCCAGGAAGACGATGGAAGCACTCACATTCTCACTGAGTTCTGAGTGTAATTTCTGAAGCACGGTGAGATAGAACTTGAAGAAGAAGCTGAGCACAAGAGTCCGCCGGAAGTCCACCATGCCGCCCGGAGCTGAGGGGGACAGGTTCATCTCACCCGCCAGTCTGTGGCAGGCTTCCTGCAGAAGATTTTCTTTCCACTCCCTGCCAAGAAGCACACCACAATTAGCCCCAAACTTTCATTCACTTGCCTTACAGCCCATTTGGTACAAGCCTTTAGGCTTTGCTCATGTTCAAGGCACCTGCATTGCCAACAGCGGCTGTGGTAAGCAGTGTGGCCAACATAGACAGGTGCGCAATTTGGGAGTGCTCCTCCACCCGGAGGCATCCCTGGAACTCCAGATGGGTGCTGTGGTGAGGGGTGCTTTCCTTCAGCTTCAGCTGGTTCATCAACTGTGCCCTTACCTGGATGAGCAGAGCCTAGCAATGGTGACCCACACTCTGGTAACCTCCCAGCTGGACTATTGCATCTTGCTGTATGTGGGGCTGCCCTTGAAGATGGTCCCGATACTTCAGTTGGTCCAGAACAGAGCAGCCAGGATATTAACAGGGACTGGCAGATATGCACACATAACACCGGTCCTTTACCACCTACACTGAAGTCCGGGCCAAATTTAAGGTGTTGGTGATAACCTATAAAGCCCTAAATGGTTTAGGACCTGGTTACCTGAAGGAGTGTGTCCTCCTCTATGTACCTGCCCGCACCTTAAGATCTGGGTTGAAGGTCGTTTTTGGGAGCCCTCTTTGAAAGAGATTAGGAGAGTGGCTACCCAGAGAAGGGCCTTCTCAGTGGTGGTGCCCCAGCTGTGGAACATGCTCCCCAAAGAGGTGCATCTGGAGCTGACACTTTATTCTTTTCAGTGCCAGGCCAAACCTTTCTTATTTTCCCATTATATTAAGATCTAATTTTTGTTTTAGTTGGTTATTATTATAGATATGATGGTGGCCTTTGTTGCTGGACCGTTCTGAGACTTCTATGTATAGGACGGGATACAAATGTTTTAAATAAACAGACAGACAGACAATACGTGGACAGAAACTGCCAGCAAGGGGTTCTCCTGTATAATATTCTCTCACTCACCAAACTCTTGTGCAGGAGCCCTGTAAGAACTTCCCCTATTGTGTAATATCATGATTTTGTTCCAATACCTCCCAACAAGCTCCTGACACGTCTTTACAGCCAGTACAGTGGTGGGAGCCATTCCTCCATAGCTCAGCTTGATCTCTTTTACTCGATCCGTCCCCTCTTGAAACAGGACCCTCAACCCGCAGGTCACAATGGCAATGTCATCCTCCCGCCGTGAAGCTTGCTTAAATGCTGAGAAATATTCGCCCTAGGATGAGAAACAGAAACAAATGCTTGCCTCCATTGCTCACCTTGATCACAGGTGGGAGCAACAGAATACAGGCAGACCAAGAGTCCCTTTCTAGGAACAGAGGCGAAAATAAGAGAATTGCTGTTTCACAGGATACTTCCAAGACATGGAAGCAGTGGCAGACATAAGCCAGAATGGCATATATGGAAAAGGGAGGGAGGGAGGGAGGACCAAGCTCTAGGAGTGACAGGATTAAAATATGCACACCACTTTATTTTTACTCTGCACAGCAATCCATATGAATAGTTCCATGTTTAAGAAAGACCCTAAGACACATAGGTGGACATCTGGAAAGGGAACTGGGCTGTTCTGCATTTTGTGGTTCTTAGGGCTTTTGTGTTTCATGTTCACTTTACTGTTCTGTGGCAGCCCCTCAGGTGAGATAGTACGAAAATCCGTGACCTTGAGCACAATTACAAAGTAAGAACACGCACACATGCACAGCAGAGCTTGCTGTGGCCAGATAGGAAGCACAAGGAAACAGGAGGGATTTCACTACCCCACTGTTATACTTAAAAGCACAAGGGTTAGCCCTTCTAAGGCAGCAGCAAGCAACTTGTGGCCCATCCGATGTTTTGGCCTGCAGCATCCCTCAGCACTAGATGGCATAATCAGGGGTGAGGAGAGTCCTAGGCGAAACAGCCTGGAAGCCCACAAGTTGCCCACACCTGTCCCATGCACACCTGTGGCTCGGAAGGAATGGTTGCACATCATTGCAAAGGAGACGAGGGTCCTTCTGAAGATGCTGTAATGCTGGGAATCCTTGTTTGTTAGTTTGTAGATCATAATCAAAAATTCTGTGTGGTCAGCGATGCTGGTCTGAAGGGCATGAAGGATCTACCTTGTTCTGGGCTCTGGGGCAAATTCCTCTGTGATCCCTTTAGATATCTCTTGACGGGACAAGCAAATTTCACCTGAGGGCACTAGGACCGTTTGCTCCAGCAGTTCACTGTGTGTGTGCTTGCCCTGTTTCTTGCAGATGCAGAGGGCAGCTGAGGCCAGGAAAGCTGGTTTTCCGCTTGGACACAGCTCCCCTGCCGTCGCGGTGGTGAAGAGCAGCACAGTGCACACCACAAGTGCCTGCAGAACCAGGATCACGTCTGTGGGCACTTGCAAAGCCCCTGCAATCTCACAGCAGAGCTGGAGCTCTGAAATGGCTTCCCTGGGCCACTCAGCTCTTCTTCGGCAGCCGGGGCTTTTGCGGCAGCTGCAGTGTGGGTCTGCCTCCAGCCTTGCCATGCCTTCAACTGAGGCCCGCTGCTGACTTTGCCCTTGCCTGAGATCTGACCCTTGTCCTGCAAGATACCTGATGTCTCTGGCCCTGCCAGCCTCTGAACTTGGCAGGCTGAGCATCCTCTGCAGAGCAAGGGATGCTTTGCGAATCAGCCAGGTTTGGCCATCTAGCTGAGGTACTTCAGGTGGGAAGCAGGCTGGAGCCCAGCCAGGGCACCCTGCCTCCTGGCAACCCTGGTTTCCTCCTCTGCCCACTCACTGGATCATGCCCTTGTCTAAGGACTTAGTTTATTTTACCTCAGATCTGAAGAATCCTACAGCTCCCCAGGCAGTGCCTTAGGGGTCATATGGTCGCTCTCTGAGGGCGTGTGATTTGGAGTGGAAAAAATGGAGTGTGGGAAAAACCTTTCCTTGCTGAGCTTTAAATAACCCCCACCCTTCAAGTTGCTTTGTCATCAGTGAAGCAAGTGAATCCTTTGCACGCAACGTCTAGCCAACCCCTCCTTCCTTCCCTTTCAGTTGTTTTGCAGCCCTTTTGGGGTGGCTGCATCATCAAAAACCAGGACAGAGGAATACACCGGTTGGCCTGAAATACGCATGTGTGCATTTAGGTTTATAAACTTTGAAATAACTACTGTAATTGAGAAAGCAATGCAGTACCTTAGTGGGGAAGATGGTGAGCAGGTGAAAGGTGTGTGATCAGGAGGCTGGAGTCAAAGCCTCTGGAGGAGAGACTAAAAGAACTGGGCATGCTTAGCCTTGTGAAAAGGAGACTGGGGGAGGTATAATAGCGCTCTTCGAGTACTTGAAAGGTTGTTGCCACATACCATTCCAGGTTGGGATCTCTTCTTGGTCATTCCAGGGTGTAAGGCATAAAATAATGGGCTCAAGTTACAGGGCATTAGATTCTGCCTGAGCATCAGGAAAAGCTCCATGTGAGAAGAGTACAGCGATGGAACCAATTACCTAAGGCGGTCTTGGACTCCCACACTGAAACCAGGCAGCCATCTGTTAAAGATGCTTTAGCGTGGAGTCCTGCATGAAGCAGGAGGTTGGGCCCCAGGAGGTTGGGCCCCATGGCCTTATGGGCCCTTTCTATGGCTTTATATGATAAGTTGCACATAGTTGCAACAGGGCAGAAGGAATTCTTAGACTAAAAGGAACACAAAGAGGATCCCCTCCAACACTAAATGGGAAAATGCAATCTCTGCTCCCCCCATGAGAAAATGTGGTGACATTCTCTCCCTTCCTGTGCAAGAGACGATGAAAGCAATACTCCTTTCACAGGGAGGGAAGAATTTTATGGTAGCAGAGGGCAGGGCCTGGCACAGCACTGATTAGGATAGCCAAGAGATTAAAACGGCATTCACGATAAAGGCATTAAACTGTGTTTGGAAGACAATGTGCATCCCAGTCTCCTCACCTTCCTGCTGAATGGAATCTCAATTGAGACCAGTATTTCTTGAGGCTTTAGTATAGTCTTTCTATAGCTAGTAAAGAACGTTTCGTCCATCTTTATAGTCCTGCTGCCCTCTGTAAGGAAAGAAGAAGGTGGGTGGAATGTGCAAGCAGACCATTTCCCGTGCCGTACCATCTATCAGTCATTCCTTGCAGCCTAGCTGATGTTTTGCCTCCACAAGGAAAACCATGGAGCAGCACTGAGAGAGCGATGCCTTCTCCTAGCAGGTACAGCTCGGGCAAAACTGGAATCACAATGATTTCTTCCCATGATATGTCTCATGTGCCTGCATCTTGCGCTATGTCACATAATGACTGAGATCAGCATCTCTTTTCAGGATTAGGATCCCCTGAAGACACTTCTGAAAGGGTCAAGAGGTGTGGGACGCCAACAGTTCTACAGATAGGGTGCCCTTACAGACTAGGTTCATTTCAAGGCAAGGCAAACCCATGGAATGGGAAAAATATTGGTGTGTCACCCATCAAACACTATTGATTGACTGACTGACTGATTGATTATTAGATTTATATCCCCCTTTTTTGTTTTAAAGAACTCAGAGTAACTTATATCATTCTCCTCCTGATGCTCTCAGTCTTCTCAACCTTGTGAGGTAGGTTGGACTGAGAATCTATGACTGGTCCCAAGTCACCCAGTTGGCTCCCTGACTAGAACCCAGGTCATCTGAGTCCCAGGTGCTCTTAACTACTACAGTACACTGTTAAACGTCATATGGTAATAATTCTTCAGCAAGGATAACAACTGAAAACAGTTTGCCAACTACTTCTGATCCTCCTCTGCATGTCTGGGTTCCTTGACAGATGTTGATACAGAAACTCTTCCCTAGAGATAAAATGTTTGATAGCTGTCGTGACAGACCAGGGCATATCAGCTCCCCAAATGGTCAAATACTATCAGAGCTTATCTCTCATCAAATACTGCAAGATCTCAACTGATACCAAATACACTGATCAGTATCTAGCGCTGCTTGTGCACCTCATCCTGTTGGGCCAGTAATGCGGCCTACCAGCAACACAACAGGGGCCCAGTGCTTCCTAGGGAAACCCCAGAAACAACCTGAAGCCTCATTGCTGGAATGGGACGGATCAGCGGTGCTCTCTAGCAATAGGCAGAAGCCTCGCAGGTGGGAGCTTCTGCCTCTCCTGTGCTGCCACAGACCTGTATAGCTGACCTACCTGGTTGCAAGCAGAGACACTGACTAAGAAAATGAAGGATCCTGGCCTCTCACCACCAGAATATCCCCCGTTTAACCTCTTTGAGCTCTTCCAAGGACACTGTTGCAGCCTCATAAGAACCGCTGCTGTAGCACTTTCCACAGAGGCTGCAAAGGGGGTAGGGTGGGAATGGTCTGATGTTGGATTCGTCCTCCCAAGGTCATCAAAATGTCTACAGGGGATGGGATCTGACCTCCCCTATAGTCCTGAGTCACTCGAACTGTTACAAAGCTATCCAATTATTCTCCACTGAGGCAGATGGGATTAACAAGCCTTGAAACTCTGCCTGACTTAGCCCAGAGAGAATATGAGCCTGAACAGCAGTTCTCATCAGACACTTTTTAACCTCTCCTAACAAACTAGGAGTTGGATGATAGTTGACCCCAGCAGCCATCCTCAGTTAAAATGCAGGGAGGCTCACCATTTGACTCCAAAGTCAGCTTGCTGCCACTTGCCATGAACACTGGATTTAGGTCAGATATCGGACTTGCAGTCATTATATTTCCCCCAACAGCCTGAAATGAAATACAGAAAATGCATGGCTTCGGTGTCAGCCCAAAAGACATCACTGAAATGCTTTTTAGTTTTACAGGCAACATTAGTACCATTACTAGGTTTGGGAAAATAGGCAGAGCCAGAAGATTCCGATTTTTGCAAAACTTATGATACTATTAAGGCAGGATGCAAAGTCCTGAGCTGCAGCACAAGTAGATCACACAGGCTCTGCATCCATTCATGAGCCCAACTCTGGCTAGCCATGATTCTTAAGATGAGCAACTGGCAGATTTAATGTATGAAATGAATTTATTATCACATTGTATTTTGGGGTGTTTCAGTTATGTGAACCACCAGTTGGGCACAATAGAAATGCAATTAGTTAGTACATAGATAATTAAGAGTATAACTCCACACATATTTGGTAGGCATAGTCCTACAACTCCCTGTATGGCATGTAGTGAGTTTTAGGATTTTTTTTCTCTTACAGTAACCTTCCATATACTGGTGCCTTTGATGTTTTGAACTACGACTTTTATTTACTTATTTAAAGTTTTTATATGCCATCCAATACCAGAGTCCCTGGACGGCTTACAAAAAACAACAATAACAACAACATACCAACAAACAACACACTGCATCCAATCATTAATGATAAAAACAAAGAAAAAACCAATTAAATGTTAAAATGTTGGGAAAATAAAAAAGGTTTTCCACCAGCCCCAGCTAGCAGGGATTATAGGAGCTGTAGTCTGAAACATGTGAATGTCTGTAGGCTGGGGAAGGATGCCTTCAATTCACTCACCCCACTGCCAGTGCCCGTGCTGTGGGCATCCCTTCAGGAAAGTCTATGGGCATGGAGAAGTACGTGTGCTGGCCAGCCTTCTCCAACCCAATACCCTCAAATGTTTTGTTCTTCAGCTCCCATCCGCCCCAAATGGTATGGTCAATGGTCAGGAATGTCGCAAGCTGTCGTCCAAAATGTCTGGAGGGCACCAGTTTGAGGAAGGCTGAGATAGGCTTTTTCCTCGGGGGTGCCATGCATGGACATCAGGGTTTCCAATGTGCAGGGCCCCTTGATCATGCTAGCACCATTTCATGCAAGTAACACATGAAGGAGGCCAGTGTCAGACAGGAAGTACAACCACAAAGCACATCACACTTTCCTCTCTCTTCCCTAGCAAAAACCTACAGCAACATTTCGGATCTGAGGTCCTGCAAACCATCTCAGTTGTTCTAGGACAGCCTGGAACACCTCCGACTTATAACGAGGAAGCTCAGCTACAGCTTTCTGCAGAACCTCTTCCATGCGTCTCAGCGTGCAGGAGGCACCAAAGCTTATTCCTGGAAAATCAGACACAAGAGAGATTTGGCCATTGTTCTAATACACATTCCCAGGATTCAAGAGGACCAAATACTGGCAGTCAGTGAAAGTCTCAAGATCTTTATTCTGGTCTTCCAGGAGAACCAGGACAGATTTCATTTCCCTTGGCCCTTGGAGGATGCATGCACCAGCCACTCTTGGGTGTCCTGGTCCCTGAATCTCTCCCACTTCTGCGGAAGCTGCCATCACATGGGTCACACAATGAGGATGATCCACACACGTCCTGAGCAAAATAATTTTGCAGAAGCCCCATTTTCCCGTAGAATTGGGCTCCTGCCAAACAGCTGCAGCTCTGCAGGGAAGCAATAGGCATGGGGATGGCTCCCCCTGCGGTCCCTAAAGGCTGTCCAGCCTGATCTAATTCCAGGGGGCAGGGAACCTGTCCTCCCGGCCATCGGGAACTGCCGCACTGTTAAATTTGAAAAGTTGTCAACAAGACAGGATTCTGTCATTTTTGGCCACTTGCTAGATTTAGGGGACATAAAGCCACAAAGCAATTTCAGAAATGCCCTGTTCGTAGTCTGTTGTGAAAAATCAGTTGTGCTACACACATGCACTAAGATACCTGTGAGAAGAGTTGCTGTATTTGAAAGGGTGTGTGTTTGGGCTTTGCTGCATGAGGTGCTTATTCCCTTAACTTTGCTCCACACCAACGGCAGTTTGCCAGTGCTTTACACAACGTTATCAGCTTCCAGAGTCTTTTCCATGCTAAGTATTTCTTTGCCTTTTTTTTTAAAAGAAGAAGGATAATGAACTATTAAAGAGCCAGAATGCTGCAAAATGCTACAAAATGGTTGTGTGTTTTTTTCCATTTCTGCTATACCACAGTGCCACTTTGTGGTTGAGTAATGGAACGTATAGAAAGGCAAAGGGGAAAAAAAAAACTGGGGAGGAGGGAATGCAAAGGAGCTGATCTTAATCCTACAAAGAATCAGAAAATGGCTGCCTCGGTGGAGTGGCAGTTTGCCCGACATGCTTCTCCGGAAGTCAGGTGACTTCATTAAACAGCAAGCTAGCCAACCTACCTAATGGTTTTGAGACTCAGTTTCCCCAGGCCAACTTATCCAGATTTCCATGCACTAAGCCTGTGGGACCACCATCACCCAGGGAATACGTTTCAGGGCACAACTTAAGACATTAGAGCACCGAGTACATTCAGACAGACAAGGCAGGTAAAGGAGAATCACACTTTGCTTCAGTTGCAATTCCGTCCTGAAAAACCTCCACCTTCCTTTTCCTTGTGAAAAAAACAAAACTGTGTATGGCTGAGAATCTTGGCCTAAAGTGATAATCTGAGAACAAAAGCAAAAGTGGGTGGATTGTTACACTGCCGGCCAGAGTTTAGTGAACATTTTATGTGGACATATTTGGTAGAGCCATGTTTATTTTTAGTCAAACTCATATTGATGCCTAGGATAGGAATAGGTACATAATTTTTCATTGGTCATATCAGTGCTGACCCTTTTTTTTTTTTTTTTGCCTTTTCTTAAAGATTAGAATTCAGCTGGGCTCACTTTCTTGAGTCCTTCATTACATCCTCTTCACAAAGTCTATAGCAGTTCCTCTTCCTGCATTGGTGTTCTCTTTATGGCAAGCAGCTGTGGTGTGGACTGATAAGTTTACATGTGGAAGACTGAGGTAGAAACCTGAATGCCAGCCATTAATAGCAACAAAACCATGAGTTTAGTCTATCCAACTATAGGCTGTAATTGCCTTCACAAGTGTCACAGGTTCTCAGGCCTTTATTGCATTTATCCCATGTGCAGCAGCTCAGAGAATACTGTCCCAGTTCACCTACCAACATTTTATTCACTGACTTAGGGCAGTAGAGGGGAGAGGAGTAACCTCGATAGCTTCTGTTTCTCTGGGTAAGTATGACAGTTAATGGATGCCTGCTTCTGGGATGAACCAGAAAGGCAGACAGCCTGTCCTTCCCCTCTAAGTCAGGGGTGGACTGAAAGTAGATTTAGCCAGGCTAAAGTTGAGCATGGATGGAGGTCTGCCTTTTCCCCATCCCACATACGCACTCTAGGACACTGGCAAGCCTTTATGGGCTGCCCATTTTACCTGCCTATTTGTTCTCCCCCTTTATCCTTCCCAGCCCCATCTTGTGTGCTCAGCCTTGGGATCGATCAGCATTCTGCATTTTTACTCAATATTATCCTCCCATGGAACAATGAACATTTCTATGAATTCTTGTTCACTAAACTTATGCGATGTGCTATGAGTTTTATTACAATTTGCCCACCTAGGCAAAACCAATACATTACAGGCACGGAAGAAAGTGCAAGGGGAAGGGCTCCTGCCCCGAGCTGAAGAGCTGCTGTCCTTTGTGTTGCTTCCAGCTTTGCCTCGCCCATCACCAGAACACCTTGCCAGGCCCTTGAGGCGAGCAGAGCATTGCTCCATACCTTCGTTTGTATGTTGAACAGAGTTCATTTCCGGGATCCAGGTTGGTGCAATTATCACAGGGTACAGCATGTTCTTTAACCTCATTTCAATACCTTAAGGAGACAAAATCCAGTGAGGTCAAAGCAGACATGGCAGGCAGCCAAAATGTGCAGGTTTACCAATGGAACAGCAGAGTTGTTATGCAAAAGCTCCAGCCCACTTGCCACCTGTCTCAGTGACTGTCCCATATTGACAGTGAGACCAACCCTCGGAGCCGCTTCTGCAAGATCAGCAAGAGACGGGCTTCGCGCTGCTCGCGCTGCAAGCTTATGGCCAAGGCCCAGAGGAACGCTTTCACTTACCCAGCAGTGTCAACAACCACTTTTGCAATATGTGATTCATATGCCCGCTGTTATCTTTCTTGGTAACATGAAGTAAGAAAATGCAAGCAGGGGCCAGGCCTTGGGATTAAGATACATGCACTGGAGGTCTAGAGGTGATGTTTTTGAGGAAATCCTATTGGTCTGGTTAGCACACACCCTTCAGCTGCGAAGTGTGTGCTTTTAAGATACTCAGAATGTAAGATGCGTGTGTCTATTTCCCAAGAGGGCGCAGGAAGTTGAAGGCACTCAGGAACCCAGATGGGGAACGAATGGTCTCCGAGCCAGAGCCGTAAGCAAAGTGTTTTGTGAAACACTAGTACGTCACAAAAACATAAGAAGAGTCCTATTGACTCGGCCAAAGTCCCATCTACTCCACATCCTATTTCTCATGGTGGCCAACCATGAGAAAGTCAGGAGCGCAATAGCCCTCTCTCAGTTTTTGCTGCCCAGACACTGGCATGCGGAACTTTTCTACATAAGGCATTTATTGCATTCTTGTCATTCCCAGCACAGAGGTGTTTGCGGGTTCTTTAGACAATGTTGTGAGTCTCTAAGTTTCACTTCTGTGTCTAACAAGCACTTTCAGAGATTTTTTTTTTAAGAGGAGGGAAATGGCAGCATTTGATTGCAAAAGTGAAAAAAGCACTTTTTCCACTTGTGTATTTGTTCTATTCTGCTATGCCACCTAGAGGTTACATAATGGAAAAGTGGTAAGAGAAACACTCCTGAGATCTCAGTTCTGCCAGAAGTAGAATAGAAAACTAAAGCAGACAGAAAAGCTGCAAGCAGCGCTCCACCTCTGAATCTGGAGATGGCATATAGCCCTCACGACTATTTGTGATTAATAGAACAGTTCTCCCTAAATCTGTCTGAAATCCTTTAAAAAGCCATTTAAGGGTCAAACAGTATGTTTTATGTTAATTGGGCAGCATGTAGATGACCCTGATCCTTTCTGTTATTTCAGTCTAACTCCGATTTGGATTAGGAACAGCACACTCTATAAGGGGAGGGTTAAATCTGGGGAAGCAAAGGGGTTAGGGAGAAGTTCTGGGACATGCTGGTTCTTATCCAAAGGAATGCTATGTGCACTTACACTAAAGTAAAGGAAAAGATCAGGCTCAGCAACATACGACCCATTTAATAATACCATCTGACCCTAGCCTCTTTTGTGGCAGTTAATTCTACAGTTTAATGTGCATGTTGTCAAGTGGTGCTTTCTTTTTACTGTCCCAAATCTCCTGCCTTTCTATTTCAATAGATCCCCAAAGATTGTAGAACTGCCTACTATACCAGGGGAGGGGGGTGGGCATAGGATATCTGGGATTCCTAGGTGGGAGACAGCATTCTGACCTTGGAATTGGGAATCACGCCCCACCACCTGCACGCACCAGCAGCTCTCTAATCCTGGGAAAGAAGCCCCTGGGAGGGTGGGGTGGAGAGGATACAGGAAGGGCCAGGACAGCAGCTAACCTGAAGCCTCTCCAGCCTCCTTTCCTCCCTCTCCAAAATGTTCCAGGTAGATAGGCAAAGAGCATACCTGGTGAAAAGGTAAGATAGGAAGATGAAGCCATTGGCTTCAACGGCTCTTCCCACTACACAGGATAACCATAACTCTCCTAGTGCAGGGGCCTACAGGCATCACCAGAGGCATGTGCCCATAAGCCCGTTCTCTCTGGCCTACCATTGCCACGTGGAAACATCTTTATTCTACCAGGCATTTGGCTTCCTGAGATGACAGTATTTAGTGAACTCATCCTTCATTTTACATTGCTGGTATTTAAAACAGCTGGGCCTGTCTTGTATTGTTTCAAGTTTTCATTGTCTTTCGAAACTGAGCCCCAAAAGCAGACAGACACACCCTCCTTAGTTATTCCATCGGCCACAGGGAGGCCACGGCATGAAGGAGAGAGCACGGTGGGTCAACAGGCATATCCCTGCTCTCTTCTTCGTGCCGTGGCCTCTCCGTGGCTGGTGGCACACAATTGGTGGGTCTGGCTGTGTTCCACTACATGGAGGCCAAAGGTCTGCAGGGTCCTAAACAGGAACTACGCAAGTACACAAAAGTGCAGAGTGCAGCAAGACTCTTCTCTCCACCTCCCAGGGTGCTGAAGACACTCCTCCGATCTGGGTAGTGTAACAAAGCCAGCAAGGAGAACATGATGGTGGGAGTGGGCCCGATCTTCTTCCTCACTCTCCCCACATCCCACTTCTCATCAAGGGGGAGTGGAATGACTGGAGAGAACACAACAATTGGCTCACTTTTCTTTACCTATTTCTATACTGCCCAATAGTTCAAGCTCCCTATTAAGGGGGAGCCCTTCATTAGATCTTTAAGAAGGAAAAGGAGCAATCTTGACCCTATAGGCATTTTCATTCTTGGAATTCTAGCACTGCGTTGTACTGGCAAAAGACCTTGGACGGGGCCAAGCACTTCTTCTTACCCACTTCTGTGTTCCCAACCACAAGCTTGGCCGATGGGTATTGAGCTTTGAGAGCCACCAGTTCCCTGAGGGTTGAGGGCTGAAACCACATCACACGTTCACCTTTGAAGCACAGCTGCTTTTGCGGTTTATTGTTTTGTGTCTGCGGAAACAATGCAAGGACTTCAAATAGTGATACATGGACAAATAAGCTTGGCTCTGTTCGGTTCTTGCTGAGACCAAGCTTAGGCTTGTTATCATCAAAACTATAGGTCAGTAGAAGAGATAGATTAAAAAAGATTAGAGAATAATCGTTATTGTTGCACTCTGGTGTTTCATTCTCTTGGGGCAGTACCAGACAAAACAACTCTATCACATTGATATAAAAGTCACCACAAGGTAACTTTGTCCTTCAAGACGGCTGTGATAATTAGTCTTCTTAAAGTCATTGTAGCTTAACATTTCCACGTTGGAGAAGAGCTTCACACAACCCTCTGCCACTTCCTATTCCAGGCATCCTCCATTTTTCCATATTTTCTTACCTCAGTGCTCTCAGGATTTGCAGAGCTAGTTAGAGCAGGCAACCTGGTTCACCTCACAAGTACTTGCAGGACTGGTATGAGGCCTACAGATGCTTACAGGGATTAGGGCCACTGAAGTCATGGAAACTAGTTGAAAGCCACAAGAGAGACCATGAAAGGCTGCTCAGTTCTGCCTAGTTTTGCCACAGTAGCACGAACCTTCGTGATGAACCTTCACGTTCTTGGGCTGTTCTGCAACACCTTCTTCCTTACTTTGCCTTTGTCCCTGGCCCTACCATGCTTTGTTTAGGCATCTGCTCCTTACCTTCTCCTGGCCTTTCCTTTGCCTCTAGTTCTGCCCTGTCTTGATGGTATCCAACCTTTGCTTGTACCTGACTTTGCCTTTGGCTCTGCAGCATCTTGCCAGGACCTTCATCGATCTCCATCAACCCCAGTCCTGGTGCTCCAGTTGTAGATAGCTGTTGTTGATGTTCCATAGCTGACCTATGTGGTCCATTGTTCAGTGGTATTTCAAACCACTGCACCTATTCTTAAAAATGGCCTGATCTGGCCGCCATGACGCATGCCTTAGTTGTATTGCATTTGGACTACAGTAATACATGGTTCTGCCTTGAAAAATTGCTCAGAAACACAGTCCAGCTGGTTCAGAACATTATGGCCTGATGCTTTACCAGGCCCAGTTCCAGGGACCATGTGACTCCCTTATTACCACAATTTCCTTGGCTACAATCTGCTTCCCAGCACAATTCAACAAACCAGATGTGACCCATATGATCCATGTGACATATTCTGCTCCACATAAATGTTCTTAAGATCTTTGAGAAAGGTCTTTCTTTCAAGACTGTCCCTTTCATGGGTGTGATTGGTGGCAATGCCAAAGAGAAGGGTCAATCTCAGTCTGTGCAACTCTCTCCCAAGGAAGGCTAGGTGTGCTCCTTCGCTGCTCTCCTTCTGCCCAGCATTCTGGCCAGATAGTTCTGGAATTTCTGGGCCTGTTTTCTGTCTAAATATGCACAGGGTTCCACCTTCAGTGCTTGTTACAAAGGTCAGAAGATCAAGGTAACTTAGTGACGCAACGTCCAAACAAGACATGCACTGTTTAACCATTCGATCTTATACATGCCTACTCAGAGGTCAGAGTGAGTTAAATGGGGCTTATTCCCAGTGCATATAGGATTGCAGCCTAATGGGCTTGTGGATTTCATGAGTGACAGAAATTAATTGATTAATTGGGCAAGATTAATTAGTTTTGGCCAACTAAAAAAGGTATTCAATTCATTGACCAACAGACTTGTTAAAATAGAAAGTCCATTGGTTCTTGTGCCTTCAGATGATGAAAGTCTAGAAGAAATCCAACGAATTGTGCTTTCTCAACATGGAGATGGAGGCTTGCAAACAGATGAAATTCTGTTGGCCTACAATTATTAAACAGACTGGATCTGTGCCAGAAACAAACAAGCTAACAAACCGGTAGGAGGATCAGAAGAAAACAAAAGGTAAATGGTGCCAGACACACCATCCTCAGCTGCACTAAAAAGCAATACAAGCCTGTGAAAAGCACTGGCAGCAGGCAAGTGAGGAAAGCCCTGAGCTCCAGTGGAAGGCGGGATGAGTGCAGAGGCTGAGGTGGCTTGATTTCAGCCATATCAATGTTTTTCTTCTCTTTACAAGAAGGAAAGGCTGAGGCACCACTGGATCCTTTGGAGAATAGCAATGCCTCCTTCTTCTCTTCAGCCCCCAGAAAATCCAAAACATCAGCTCTAAAAATGGCTTCTAGGCACCCTGGTTGAGGGCATGGAGTCCCAACAGCAACCTCTGAGCTTTTTCCAAAGACAGAGCTGAGATTCCAAGCTCTCTTATGCCGCTACTTGACAAGTTCAGTTGACAGGCAGCGTATCTGAGCACGGAGCAGGAACTGGACTGCATGGCCCTCTGGCCCATACCAACTCTACTGTTCTATGATTCTATCATACTCAACATATATAATAAAGGTCAAAGGTCATATACAGATTAATGCAAAACACCTTATTCTTAATTTTAATGTATTTGTATATGTGAAAACAAACAATGGAAATTTGAAAAATATACACAAATGTTTTCAACCCATTATTTACTTAAAAATGGAGTCCTTTAGTGATGGACATATTATATGCTAAGTAAGAGTTCCAACTGGCAGCTGTTTTAGCCTTATGGTCTTCTTCAAAGTGGTACAGATATAGGAAACAGTGCCCTAGTTAATCAAAAGTATGAGATGAGACAGACTTACATTAATTGGAGGGCATGTTCATGTATTTCTTTAGATACAAAGACTTACTGTGAACACTTGATCGATACAAGTCTGATCCACTGACCGTAAAATACCTCTGGCAATAAGAACAGTTATTCACTGTAAATGTACATGGCTGATTTGGTTTCTTCTTCCTCCTTACCAAACAACTGGGATTGCACTTTCACTAAATAATATCCTTTACTGAGAAAGAATAAATCAAACCACACAACACAAGCCAGAGTACTGTATGAGTATGGGCTGGGTGTGGGTTGGTACTGAACCAGGGGTTGTTGTTAAATTGCAGATTGCTGTGTGAAAGCAGCCACAGTTTGTTAACCATGCACAACTCAACAAGAAACCACATGTGTCATTGCTGGGTCCTGAACTGTGGATTGTTTTTGCAGCTGAGTTTGCACAACACTCGGCCCATAACCTGACCTGTTGTGTTGAGTGAAGCAAGCCAATAACTCAGAATATTCTGTCCCACACAATAGTTGTTGTGACATTACTGTATTTTAAGAGATTCTAATCATGAGAAGAAAGGCAGTAGATGTTCAGTTACTTGGAGAGCTGGGAATGAGAAGGGCAAGTTATATGTAGTTGCTAACTGTTACTAAACAAGAGTTATAAAATGTCACCTTGAATTGTCTATTTGGTCAAACATGGTTGTGACAATACAATGGGATAACTGAATTTCCGTCACAAGGAGTTCATGGGGAAAGGTCTGAACATAAATGTAAAAAACGAGCAAATTTCTGTGCCAAGTCTATCATTCCAGGATAAATTTCTGATAAAACAATCGCAGTCTATCTAAACATGAAATGAGAAGCCGTTTCAAAAGTACACTGCTGCTTAATGTCTTGGATTATCCACAGTGTGTTATTCGAACGATAACAATCCTTCTATTGTATGTAAGATTATTTAACCAAAGATTAAGAAGCAGTGAATAAAGAGTCCTTACTTCGCCTCTGATGGTTGAAACATATGCCTTTCCTCATGCACAGACTCTCTCCCTCCTTTGCTCTCCCCCACCCTCACTTTACTTCATTATTTAAATATGCCCAGTATTTAAGCAGTGCAGAAACTCAGTTCTGGGGCCAAAATCTTTCCTTGCTGGGTTCCCCTGCCTCACCCACTTTTTTCCAACAACCAGCTCTCTGGTGGTTTCCTTGCTTTTGCACAATTTTGGCATTCTGCAAGGATAAACACCCTTCTCCAAATGCTTGCTTACTAGTAGTAACAACTTTTAGCAAAATATGCTGATATATTTGGTATTTTGGCCCTGGCCACATTGCCTTCAGCTCCACTCATCACTGGAATGCAGCCCCGGGAGTTTTCCCAAAATGAAATCCTGTCCCCAAGCAGAAAAAGATTCAACACTCCTGCCCTGTGTGTGCACATGGATGTCAACAGGTATGCTCAAATCTTCTAAAGAGTGTGGAATCGTCAAGAAATGAATTTGGCCTCTGTGAGAAGAAAATGTACCTACCAATAACTCTGGTGGGAATATAGGCTCTTGTGTGGGATCCAAAGGCTGGAATTCAGATGGATTGAACAAGTTTGAGGTTATCAAGCCCTATAGAAGATAAATTGTCACTGGTTAGTGCCATTTTCTTTACCACTAAAAAAGAGTGCTACTTCTCTGGAGATCTTGCTACCAGCCAGGTCAGGCTCCAGGTTTCAGAAAGCCCTTGAACAAAGCACCCACCACAGCACCTCTCCTTTAGTAAGCCCAGCTTCTCCCACCAGTGTTGCCAGTCATTCTTGCTTCTCTGTCTCTTGCAGGGAGACAGCCAGAGAGCAAGCAGGCAGTGGTATCTACTGCTTCTCCTTCTCACCACCATCATTGTCTTTGTGAGGCAAGGATGAAATCCAGCAGGTCCTTGAGAGCAGGCCCTTGATAGATGCCCAGCAGGCCTCCTCTTAAACCCAGTCCTGCTACCGGTGTGGAAGCACAGTGCTTCCTGGTGGCTTCCATGGCCCTAATCTTGGAACAACTAAGGATGCAAAACCCCACCTACAATAGACTGCTCAACAATAAGTAGAACAAGAATGAGAGGACATATCCACAGGTCCTCTGGACTTACTGCGTGGTCATCTTTTCCATCCATGCAGCACCCTGCGCCATTGGCCTTTTTCCCACAGCAGCCCTGGCCCAACTGGAAAGAAAGAGAAGGATGTTTAATAAGCTACCATCAGAAAAATAACACTTTCCTTACATGCAGATAAAAAAACTTATGTTGTTCCTTTAAAAAAAATCATATTAAAAATTCTCTGCCCAACCCCCCTCCAAAAAAATGAAAGGTCATGAACTCAGAGCATTTTATGTCTCTAATTTGGAAAACCATGCTATGCTATCCAAAATGGTGTAAAACCACTAAGGTTAATGTCAGTTAATTTTTCTGTGTTCCCTCATTTTAATATATATATCTAAGTCTCTGGTAACAACCCACATCTTATTTAATCACTTTAAATCACATGGGTGTGTTGACTGAATTCTACATAGAAACTACCTTTTCCACAGATATTTGAGAAGATTTATGCAATATTAATCTAATATGGTTGATGGACAAGGGCAGGAACATATTTTATAAAAGATGTAGATCATTAGAAAACTGTGATTATTCCAACACCAAACTACTCCAAGTCAGATCATATTTTACTCAGTATGTCCAAAGAAAACTTGAACATAATCCTTTATATTTTCAGTTTTTCTCTTAAATCCAATAGCATCCTTTTTATGTCCCTTTCTCATGTTTTTGTTAGCCTTCCATCCAAAGAGGATGTTGTCTAAAAATATATATTTTGTGATTTTTAAACCAAATAACAATTTTCATTCTGGACTAGAACATCTGTGGTATTTTCCAAGCCTAAGAAACCTGTTTTTCTTGGGGCCAGTCTACAGAATGTATTGATATTAATGAAAGTAACCTCAAGTTAACTTCTCACCCTTTAGAAAAATGATCCTTCCTGTCAGTTTTTCTTCCTAAATCTGAAGCAGAAGGCTATTATATCCAGAGAATTTTGCACAGTGAATATTTTTTAGTACGCTTACATGTTGTCCTCTGGTGCTTCTTGAACAAGGACTATCCTGATTAAAATTTAATTGCTAATTAGTGATGCTTTGCACACCCTCTCTAAATGCAAAAGTTTAAATACCCAAAAGGCATGGTTACTGACACACATAATGAAGGTTCACCCTCTCGTTTTCCTAGGAGACCTCAGTCAGCTGATTTCCTCCTCTGATATTGGATGGCTCACATGAGCTGTGATTATGAGCTACTGAGAACATACATGGACAACAAATAATCATAAAGCAAGCTAAGCATGCGATCCTATCCACGTTTATTCAAAAGCCCTACTATATTCAACAGTGCATACTCAAATAGGATGAATACGGATAGGATTTCATATTAATAGTTCTAGGGAATCTGTCCATTTTAGCAGCGGCAGAAGGTTGGTTTCTCATTTTTTCAGTCTGTGGTTCAATTTGCCCTATTTCAACATTAGTCTGAGATTTTCTTTTAAGTTGCTGCCTCGCCTTCAGAGGATTATATAGGATGGGAGGCACATGGAGTAAAGAGGTGCTTCCATGGTTCTCTCAGCCTCCAAAACACGTAGGCGACTGATTTCACCATTCTGCCCTCACTCATATCTGTCTCTGCAGTGGAGGATTACTCCTCCCATCATCACCTCCCAGAATGCCTTTCTCCCTGCTGTGCTGGCCCCGAAATGACACTTGTGATGTCAGAGCTTCAGTCAGCAAAGAAAGAACCACACTGGCTATGGAGGGGAAAGAAAGAAAATTGGAGCCCTGCTCCAACCCCAGGGCACTTTTCCAAGGTTGAAGCTGGGGCTCCAAATTTTCCTATAGCTGTCTAGACAGAGTCTAGAGGCCACTGGATTGTGCCCTAAACTGCTTTAAAAGCCATTTCTTCCTACCAGTTCTTGGCAAACTACAATCCTAGTAATACATTTAAGCTGGTATTACAATATAGATTATAGTGTCAGTGCACAATAATTATACTAATTATAGTAAATTAATGTAGAGCATTAAACAAAAGTTAATTGTAATTTCTGGAAATATTTAAGGGATTTGAGAGGAAGCCCAATGCAACTTACCACTTTATTTTCCTTTCCAGCCATACAGCAACCAAAGTCATTTACTTTTCCTCCACAGCATCCGCCATCCTAAAGAGAAAGGAATGCTTCAGAATAAACCTTCTATTAAGGTTAACACATTTTAAAAGAGACGCTGACTCTCTTTCAATCAGGGGGCATGGATTGAAAACGATGGCCTCCCAGATGTTGTTGAACATCAGTTCCCACCATTCACTTGTTTATTCTGTTGTTTATGAGTGAAACCTCACTGGGCAGTCTACAAAGCACACTTTACGCCATTAAGGGTAATAATAAAAACAGAGGGGTAAAACATTATATAAAATCTGCAAGTGTAAAACAGAGTAGGAACCAGGGAAACAGCCAGCTGTAACACAAAGATCTAAGAATGCACTAAAGCAATGTTAAACCTAAACAGTGAAACAGCCCAGGAAAAGAAAATGATCTTCATCTGGTGCGGAAAACCAGGCAGGTCTTTCTGGAGAGGGCATGCAGCAACCTGGTCTGATCCTGAGTAGCAGCTTAGGTCCAAGCAGGTATATATAGAAACAAACAGTCCTTTAGTAACCTGGCCCCAGGCTATTTAGAGCTGAGTAGATTAATACCAGTTCTTTGAAATAGAGTGGCAGCTAGTGCCAATCATGGCATAATATGATATTTTGGGCAGTCACCATTGACCATCTCACTACTCTATTTTTGGACCATTTTCAAAGGCAACCTGATGCATAATGCATTGCAGCAATCCAAAGGAATCGTTACTGGAGTGTGTATAAGTGTAACCAGGCTATCTTGTTCTTTGTAAGCCGTCCAGAGACTTTTAGTAATGGAATGGCAGAGAAAAACTTTAAATAAATGAAAAATTAAATTAAAAAAATCTCATTCCAGAAAGGCTCAAAGGCAGGACCTTTGCCCAAGCTGCTACAGGGGCTTTGGGCCTCCAAGGACAGTGCAGGATCCAAAAGCAGCCCAGCCTATGACTTGATCCAATAATCATCCTTGAATATTGTCATGCTGGCTGGGACTGATGGAAGTTCCTGAGCTTCTAGAAACTTCAGGTTATGGATAACACGCTTTACCCATTGTTAATGGGGCCATCCTCCCGAGGAAGCTTCACAGCACAAAAGTTACAAATTCGCAGAACAAAATCTGTATGAGGTAAAAGCTCTAAAGCAGCATAGGAATAGAACTAAATAAAACCAAGGACCAAAAATAATGCTAATCACAAACAACATTCAGCCTAGGAAGAGCAATAAGAACAAAAATTTGGAAGCAATGTGTACCACAACCCAAGATGATCCTCAGAAGAGGAACAAAAAGTCAAAACTCTTTAGGTGCTTTGCAGCGGCTGCAATGTTATTTATAATAATGATCATTATTATTTATATTAACATCTACAGAAGGTGTGGCCTGGGGGTTGCATTCTAGGAGAAATGAAAACGGCTCCCAGGCTGGCTGCAGTTGCCCACCCCTAACCTAGATTGCTCTGGTACGGCTGCCTACCGAACACAGAACTATCAGAGCTGTAAGGACTCCTATGGAGTAAAGATATGCTCCTGGGCAAGGCTCTGCTCACAAGCAGGACATTCCTCAGGTGCTGATGGCCTGCAAGTGTGCTCTGGATGGAGCTCTGAAGGTTCAGGCTCAAAACCTTCTGTGACAGGCAGAGAAGAATGAAACAATGTCCGTGTGTTGTTGTTTTTTGCTGGCCTGGCACTGCTCTGGAACATCTCATGTGTGGACTCCCTGCTGACCTTGCCTAATAGCCTGGAGTTCTGTACTTGCATCACTGTGAACAGAACACTTATCTATTAAATAGCATGACATTGGTTAAAAGCCCTGGCAGATCTGCCAGGGCAACGGGGAAGCCACCAAGATTACGGAGGTTGGGTGCTGGGCTAGAAGGAAAACTGGTGGATAGCTTTTTCTGCTGATTCCCCCTCACCTGTTGCCATCACTTTCACTGCATTACCGTCATTGTGACCCATCTTCCTCCTTGCCCCTACATCTCCAGTGTCTTCCCAGACATGAAACAGGCAGCAAATGGCCTAATGTTCAATAATTACATTGATTGATTGATTGATTGATTGATTGATTGATTGGATTTCTGTCCCACCCCCTTAGCCTAAACTAACTTAAAAGCAACAGCCCTGCACAAGAGGCCAGCAAGCTTCCATTACACCAAAGATGCAAAGGTGAGGACCCATCCTACATCCCTGCTCATCCCCAGCAAATAGTTTACTTCTCCCACACCTGGCTCTCTTCTGTGGATATTCCACAAAGCCTTGATGTGCCAGCACTGGGAGGGGCAGAGACACAACATTCTTAAGATATTTTTGCCCTGGGCTTCCCAATAACCTGAGCATATAATAAATGGCTTTTTTGTTTTGATTTGTTTTATCTGTGCTCAATGTCTCTTGCCAATGTTTTCTGAGGTAGCAGCCAAAAAGAATGTTTTCAAACTGCTCTCTGAGTACTTAATATTTCACTGCCTGTGTTCATACCTTCTGTTCCTACAGAGAGAACTACAGCATGGTTCAGCCACTGTCTCTGAGCAAAAGTTAGACCAAGTCCTTCCCAAACTCTGTCTTTTTATCTGTAGCCTCTTACCTTTGCAAATGTCCTGTACCCCTCCAGAATAGGCCTGTATCCTGTACAGCGGCAAAGGTTTCCTGAAATACCAAATCAAGTTGCAAAAGTTAGGAGTCACTTAGGACATAGGAGAAGGAGATGGATTTGTAATGTTGCCTCCGATCTGCCTTGTGAAATACCTGGCTTTGCTTCCAAAGTAGTATTTCACAATGGGGGAAAGAATAGCAGCAGTGGAAGGCCAGGTAACTTTGGAAGACGGGGCTCCAGCCTCACAAAGCACTGCACCAAGCCCAGGCAACACGAAATCTCTTTGAACTGACTGCCGATCATTCCCATGTGTATCTCCTGAATCACTATTTATTTATTTCTTAATGACTAGCTGGTACTTTTTGCATGATCCATTCGGGACCTCTCAAAGATTCTGTTAGGGCTCAGTGCTGAAAGAGATGGGGGAATTCTGTTCAGCATCTTTTTTCTTGGGAAATTTCATTGTAATGTTATAGCTTGTTTTTCTTCTGTGACCTGACTCCTTCACCAATGCCAGATTAATAGGATTGAATTTCAGGGAAATGTCTACCCTTTGTTTTAAATGTGCTGCCTATTCAGCTGGGTTAAGCTGCACACTGGATTAAAAATAGGGCCATGGAAAACACAGGCTGAAACGAGACCAAATCATCTTTACCTTGGAAAGCATCTTCAATCTCCTCCATTTTAGGCGCAGGGTGATTGCGAAGCAGTGTGTACATGGACATGACGATGCCAGGGGTGCAAAAACCACACTGTGATCCATGGCTTTTTGCTATTCTTTCCTGGAAGTGAGGAAAAACCTATAACTATCATTGCTGTGAAACTTTGTGTAATCCTGTGGTAAAGCTGTCCTCAGTTGAGTTTCCCAGGAGCTAAATTAGTTCTTACCAGAGATTGGTAACCAGAAGCAGGTCAGATGCCCAATTACCTAAGTAATAACCAATTGCATATACTGTCCTGTGACACTTTAAAGAATCAGAAAGTATTATTGACATTAGATACTCTTTCCCAAGATGGTGCCTTCCGTATATGCTGCAGTACAACTCTTATCATCCCCAGCCAGCATGGCCAATGGTGATGCTGGTTGGGGATGATAGGAGGTATAGTTCGAGCACACCTGAAGGACACCAGGTTGGAAAGGGCTGAATACTAGAATGCAGTTCCTCAGATGTCTGACGTGTTTTCCTGATATTCAGCTGTAGATGCATATAGCTGGGCTTGGGGGAACAATTCTGAATAGTGATGTCAGAGGAAACATACGGACGGAGGCATTTGCATTATAGGCCATAGTCACTGGCAACACAATGGGATGTATTTTAATCACACTATAGGCATTACTTACTAATACCAGATTTGGCCATAGCTCAGTGGTAGAGACATGAAAAAGGTCCCATGTCCAGTACCTGGCATCTCCAGGTAGCACTGGAAAAGATCCTGCCTGAAATGCTGGACAACCATGCCAGCCAGTATTGAGAAGACTGGCCTAGCTGGACCAAGGGGCTGATTCTGCATAACGTGGGTTGCCATGGATTGTTTTCCACACAGCCACAGTTATTAATATAATTGCCACTGACAGTAATTTCCCCACTGTATTTCTTTGGACCTTACTGTTTACAATCCTCCTGCCATAGCTAACTCAGGACAACACTTCAGGTAAACTATAGAGCTTTTCTAACAGGGATCTTAATCAGGTGTTAATCCACTGTACTTTCTCCCTGTTTTGTTACAGAACTGGCACCCAAGCACTATGCAAGGGATATTTCCTTTCCTGATTTCTGCTTCAACAACAGATTCTAGGTATAGAATCTGTTATATAGCAAAATAACACAATTACACAAGTGGAAGATGAATTTGCTTTGACAAATACCACATTTTCAGATAGCACATAATGGCAGAAAATTTCTTTAGACACAAGCAAAACTGGAAGGTCTCAATGTCATCTAAAGGATCTATAAAGAACTGAAAGTTGTTTTTACAGATTACTTTGGTGATATTTTTAAGCAGGGTGAAAGTAAAAGAAAAAATATTTGTCCATAATTGTGCTATTCCACAACAGCAGCAAGAGCTTCAGTAGTGAACAAGCAGGAAAGGAAAAGTTTTTGAGGTAGTGTTCAGATCTATGATGAAATGGAAAGCAATGTAAGATTAGCCTTGTATGGAAAAGTCCCCTAGACTTACATGATTTTTACTTTTGAATGCTGTTATTTTAAGTAGGGTAATAATTCTTTATTCTACATAGGATTATCATTGGATATGACCCATGGCCTGGAAAAGGTCCAATGAAACCATGCTGGCTACAATTTAGTGTGCAGGAACAAGCCATTTAAGGTACTTTGGGCAAATACAAATACAATAGAAGAGCCCAGACACTGTATACAAAGTTTCCACAGTTCCACAGCTTACCTGTACTGGATGCAGTCTTGTCTTCGTGCTTCCTATGCCTTCAACAGTAGTTACTGCTGAACGGTGGAGAGCACATATGGGGAATAAACACGCATTTGCAGTATAGTGTCTACAACCACGTTAAGGATCGATACTGCTCGCTTTGTAAAATCATTTCCTTGTAACATGAAAAAAGGATGATGAAATCATGAAGACCAACAGTGGAGAGCTGAATGCTTCAGTCTTTGCACCGAAGCTGCATGTGCATAAAGGAAATTCGTCTTTGGGTTGAATTTGTATGTAAGTCAGATCACGTATTGTTAACCATCCACGTGTGTCAACCCTCCTCGTGAAAGTGGAAAAACCGCAAATATCTCAGCCCCCCACCCACCCAAACTCACCAGCACTCCTCTTTGCAGCAAGGAAAGCCAGAGAAATTCCCCTCTAGGGATGGGCAGCTCAGGAAGGCATGCTTTGGACTCCTCCCTCTCTACCCTTTTGCTCCCTCTCTCTCTATGGTGATTATTATTTTCTGCAATAATTTTAAAAAATCAATAGACTTTATGGCAGTTTCTTTGTAAGTGCAGGTTGTTGTAACTTGGGGGTCCATAACTGGGGGACTGCTGGTATCCTAGTAAAATGTGCAGCTGCAGGCAGAAAAGCCAATGTGGTATTACATGACAGTGTGCCACTCGCGTGGTGCGATAGATGGGAAGATGTACTCCCACCCAAAGCAAGTAGGGATTGCCTTAGATGCAAATTTGCACACATAAATGAACATTCATATCCCGTTTGTGTCCAGGGTTCTCAATCCAAGAAAGGAATTCTTGTAGAGAGAACAGCTTCCACACATATGTCTCTTTCCATGGAACATCTGGAAAAGTTGTGAAACTTTTTTTCCTAAGAAGTGAGCAATGCAAAAATCGTGATTGATAAAGTCCTAATGCCAGCAGTGTGAAAATAAACAATGCCATATAGAAACGGCACCCTTTGTCAGCCCCATTCTGGCTGTGAATAATAGTTGTTGTCGTCTTGAGGGCTCCAGGATGGGCAGGTTGTTCTAAAGACTACCCAAGAAATCCAGTGATATAAGTTCTTGCTATTCTGAAGGGAAAATTAAGATGAAAGAGCGAAAAGGGAAAGGGAGACTAAGAAAAGACTGAAACAGAGGAAATATCATTACTGATTCCTTAGAAGTGTCATGTATTGTTCACTGTACACTGGGATATTGAACTTTAAACTGCACAGTCTGTCATATAAAACAAATATTAAGCAACTAAACAAGGCAATGGGAAAGGTACTGTGGATACACAACCTCATCAGCTGCTTTCATTAACATGAACGGACCATGACCGCTTCTAGAAAAGCCAGGTCATTGTGTTGTGTAGACCAACAGCTTGATAGCAATCAGACGCACAGTCTAGAAGGGCGTCAACAATCCACAACTGCAATGGACTTGAAAGAGATGCATTTAAAAACCTTTCCTATCAATAGATCTTACTGTGACTTGGAATGGAGCCAAGGTTTTGGGAAGAACAAACTTTGCACAGTAATATTTTTTCAACCACTCAGTTTCTGGACTCATTATTGCAGATGTTTACATTCCAGACTTGCTCTCCTATCTCACCACACATTACTCAAAGGATACATGATTTTCTTTTGAAAGCTGTCAAACTTGGAAATCATAACAGTGCAGGCACCACATCCACCTTCTCCACAGCCCAGCTTGGTTCCACATAGGCCCACTTGTGAAACTGAAGTTAAGGAAACTATACCACTGGTCATATAACAGACTCACTTTGGGTCCAGAGGAACAGAATGGATTTTTAAAGGTAGTCTCAAAATGTTTACTCCTAGGCTGGGTTCACATGTCACATTAAGCCATGGTGGCTTGTAATCATACATGTCCAAACCTGGAGAGGTTGTCATGGGTAGTTCTATGCAAACAAGTCATCTTGAGAATATATGGCTTGTAGCAGGGTTGGTAAGGAAGGGTGGGTCTTAGAGTGGCTTAGTGTGATGTGCAAATCCAGCAGGGAGGCCTTTTTCATGGGATCTTGGATTAGAGAGCTGGCCATCTTGTGCAACAAAAGCTGCTTCCACACCTTATGTTCTCATTTGTGCTCCCTCGTTCTTTCTCAGCCCTAGGATGCATTTCTGTTTGTTGTTCTTGTCATTTCTGGTAGGAGTCATGAAGAAGGAACACCCATGAGAGCCCAAAATGTCTTCATATTTTTTTTAACTTACTGCTTCTGGGAATTTTGTGTAAATTTCCACTCTTTTTATTGGCACATTTTTGCCTGTTTCAGGCAGGATGCCTACTGCCCTACCACGCCAAGCATATGGCCTTCAGAAATATGTTTAGGATTGCAGCCCCAATGCACCCAATTTTGGTCATGATGATCACGCTTATTGAGGCAGCTTAAATATACCTTAACCAAATAAATACGACTGTACCCTTTCTTTCAGTTGCTCAACTCAGCTGGTGCAACCAAAATGTAGAATTAGTGTGCACAAGCTATATTCTATTGGTTATATACCCATGACTGGAAAAGGAAATTAAATTAGGCATTACTCGTTCAACATGAAAGTAATTGAATATTTACTTTTGACAGACATTATGGATGTCAGCATATATCTCTGGATGGCAAAATGCATGGTATTCTCCTCAACAGAATTCTGAATTCGCTCAGCACTGCAGAGTCACTTGCCCGTGGCTTTACAGCCCAGCTTTTGATGAACACAAAAAATCCTGATGGAAGGATTTCCTTACTCATTCATGTTTCCCCCTCTGAGCATCAGCATCCTAGAATTTGTTAAAATACAGACTTTCCCCGTGCTTGGGACTGTAGATAAATTGTTGATTTTTCCTCTCTGATTCAGAGTTTAGTCAAAATTAGAAAACTATTCCCCTCCAGCCTGTGTCTCTACCCACCTATTTCATCTACTGATCACCCGCTTCCCTTTCTTCCCCTTTTAGTAAGCATCACTCACCACTACCAGTAATGGTGGCAGTTCTCTTGTGGTGGCAAACCATGAAGAGATGGAAGGGAAGGGCCTCTTCCCAGCATCTGGCATCCTACAAAACAGTATGGCAGCCTATGGGAAGAGCCATCTATAGAATTTAGGCCATCAATCTTGTGGGGCAGGGACATCATTTAAACTAATCTAGGTCTAAACATGGTGGAAGGAATAGGATTGGCCCAGTTAAATTCTCAGAATTCAATTAAGACTCAAATTTCATAGCACTTAGACCCGTCCTGCACCATCAGACAACTATGAAATACTTCGATCATTTAAAATTTCATGGAGTACATGTTGTCTGACATTAGATACATTTCCTTCGAAGGTAGGTTAGCAAAGTAGTTTCTGGATCCACGTCTCTTTCCACCACCTGAAAGACAAGAATTTTTTAAAATAAATTGCCTGTGCCTGTGTGTGCGTGTTTATGCCACAGATAATGTCAGAAACAAGGTGGGTGTTGAAACTTACCTGCAACACTTTGAAATGTCAGGAAATTCTAACTTTTGCCAGTGAATCTCTGAAATCAAAAGCTTCAACCATTTCTTGCATGATCCTTCTGAGGTATTACTGTGTCATGCAGTAGTACCAAAGCACCATTAAGTGCTTTAAAATTGTTTTTACCTGTTTGCATTTTTACTTTATGAAAGTATTAAAAATACTTTAATGAAAGTGTTGATCGTCACCTTGAACGGGACCTATGAGAAGGAGGGCATCAGCTGATCTTTCAGCTAGGAAAATGATCGCCATCCATAGAGAGCTTCTTGTGGTCCCAGCAGAGTGTTCCAGGCACCAAAGGTTTCTTTGGATTTTTGAAAGGACACAGTTCTAAATGGATCTTCACAGTTGCACAGGGCTTGGTTTGTACTGCCTGCTGATAAGAAGACCCACTGAATTGGGCAGGTACTTTCTGCCAACATCAACATAGCTTTTTTCTCCTGTACACAGTACAAGAAAGACAGGGCACAAGTAAAGATATGTGCTTATTACAGCAAGGTAGACTCCTTGGCACCTGAAGTTACACTGAACTCCTACACCTGGTTTTGCTGCCCTCACAGGGGTCAGGAGCTTCAGCCAATGCTTTTCTTATCTGAATCATGGCTCTTGTCCAGTGCCTACTTCCATATTATGTTCAGAGGCTTTCTCCACAGACTGAAGCTACATATCTACAAACCACAGATGCTATAAGGTCTGGGGTAGCCTCCTGCATCTTCAGCCACCTGCAATTATTTTCCAGGTGTCTTCTGTGCTCCACACAGGCTCCTTTTCTCTTTGGTAGGCCAGGCCAAGGCATTTTTTCCCCCTCCTGAGCTGGGGCAGCAAATGAGGCTCCTGTATCGCCACCATTCCTGCACCTGCCCCACCTTGAATAGGTGCAGAGTATTTAAGGCTAGTCAAGTCATTTTGGCACTTGAAGCAAAGAAATACAGCAAGCATCTCTCCTCTGTTTTGCAGTAAAAATATAACAATATTAAATTAAATAACCAGCAGCTTGCTGCCCTTTCATGACATGAAAAACTCATGCCTTATGTTGCCTAATACTACAGTCAGCACTAACTTCCAAAACTGCACCCTGGTCTAAAGTAACTTATTTGAAAACAAAAGATAGTATGGACTAGGACCACATAGGCCAATTTGTGCCAATAATGGTTTGTAATCCAATGGTGTCCATCTGCCAGCACAACAGGCACTAATGGTGGAATAGATTTCCTCTCCCCACTGTGAAAAAGCATGTCACAGCCCTTCTCTGGAGAAGTGATGGATCCTCTGGATAAGATACGGGAAGGCACAGGAGATTGCAAAGGGGAAAAGAGAAGGGGAAATCACATTGCATGTATGGATGTCCACTCATGCCCTGATGGAGGCCACCCATTCTATTTACTGTATTTGAAATGTTTTGGTGCAAAAAAGGATGGAAAAATGGGAGTAGCCAAGTTAATACTGGGTGTAAGATTGGGGAGAGACAGTGACACAAAACTGGAAGAACCAGTTGAGTTAACTCTCAATTTAGCTACTTGGTTCCTCTGAATCTCTTCACTGATTCCTCAACTTGGAAAGAAGCTGCATGGAGCTCAATTAGGCATGAACTGTTGATCTCTTCGAGCAGAATACCAGCTCGAATTGCCAGCAGAAGTTAGAAGAGTTCCTGAGGTCAGAAGAACAACCTAGTGCTAATCAAGGAATGTAGAACAGCTGAGCAGAAAGTTCTCAGAACTGTTTTGGCATGACTTTGGAGGCCTCTGGGTCACAGCTCACCTTTTAAGCTGTTGTCACCTGTTTTGTGGCCCTAGCTGTAGAGACTGTGCTCCTGGGAGTCTCAGGGGGAGCCATTTCCCCTTTCCCACCTACCACCTCTCCTCCAGCAGGCTTCAGAGGGCAGGCAGGAAGCATTGCCTTCAGTCTAACTGGCTTCACAACAACCAAACTGGAATGAAATGGTTGCTTCCTGATTTCTCTCTTCTGCCTACTGGGAAGAAATGGGTCCCCCAAGTTAACAGGTCTCCAGAGAACACTAGTGGGCATAACCCCTCCCTACTTTTTAAGCTGCCTTGACTCTCCAAAAGGAGAAGTAATTTTGGACTGGTGGACTTTTAATCTGAAGAACTCCTGCCAACTAAGCCTTGATCATCAATAATTTTGCTTGTTCTTAACTTTTCTTACTGGCTATCAAACATGGAAAACTTTGCCCTTTAGTTCAATAAACAAAATTCCTTCCTGGCTGTAGGGCATGGAGTTTTCTTTTGTTATTAACAGATGATCTAAGCACATTTCTCAGGTACTCGCATATGCCAAGATGACCATGTGCTCTTGGTCATATCCTTGCACCAAACTAAAAAAAGTGTTCAGTAGCATGCAACCAAAGAGAGTCAGGCCACAACTGTGTGTCTGCACACCATGCAATTCACTGTCACCAAGTGTGGCAATGATCACTAGCGAAGGTCACTTTTTAAAAGGGGGACTAAACAGGCTCGTGGAGGACAGGCCTCCGCTGTGCCAAACTGGCTGTGAGATGGAACCACCACGCGCAGGCTCAGTATCAGTGGCTGTGGGGCAAAGCATGGGAGAGGGCTGATTGCTTTATGCATAGCTGGTGGGCTTTCCTAGAGGCACCCTATGGAAGCAAGTTGCTAGCCTAAATGGTCCTTTGGTTGGATTCCCCCAAAGCTCATTATGTGTTCAATGTCGTGACAATAATTCAAGTATCTACCAGAATGTTACAGGCCAGACTATACGGTATCTTAAACGTGGTGCTTGGCCCAGCACATGTTGCTTTGCTGTTTGTAAATAGCGGCGGTGAGGGCACCCAGCAGAGGGAAGGGCTGAGTGATCCTTTATCCTGGAGTGGGCAGCCTTTTTCTACCAAGGGCCACATTCCTTCATGCATAATCTATCTGGGGGGCCAGGGTGGGGCCTGGCAGAGGCAGGGTCTCAAACTAAGTGGGTCACTCCTCTACCTCCTTATCTTTTTCTCTCTTTTTGTCACCCTGTTTTCTCTCCCTCTTCCTTTATGCCCAGAAAGCTGCCACAGAAGGGATACGTTGCTCTTTTCTGAACTGTCTGTGTGCAGCAGATGTTTGAAAATAGACTGAGGGCACATGAAATCGGATGGGGGCCACAAGTGCCGTGCCCTTGCTTCACCCCCATGTTGTCACCCCAGTGAAGATGCCCCTTGAAGCTGCTATTGGCACCCACGGCAGCCTGCCTCCAGGTATAAGCCTGATTTCACTGAGCCGCTTTCGCTATGGACAGTGAAAGGAGAAAGCGTGGAAGGAAAACAGTGTGGAAGGAAAAAGAAGATTTTCATGATTCCTACAGCTGCTGTTGAAAGGGAATAGATGCACTAGGGCAATCCAAGTTAGCACAATGCACCACTTGGCTCTTAGTCTGACATCATCATCATCATCATCTAGCGGGGGACAAATTTTGTGCAGATGAGCTGCTAACACTTTTTCTTCAAACAATTTTTTCTCCATTCACCTTCTCAAAAAAATACTTCCAGATGTAATCAAGCAGCAACAGCGTGCTATCACAGGCCAACAAGGAACCCGATCTAAGCTTCTGATTTTGCAGAGAAACTGAACATATGTTTGACACATCAAAAATTATGCTGATGAAATACCCTCGTTTGGTGGAATACTATTACAGCATGTATTCCTATATGAAAGGCATATCTTATCAATTGTTCCCTATCATTCAGCCTTGAAGTAGCACATGACAAACAATACTGATTATTTGCTATGTCAGGGAGCCAGAAATAGAGACAAAGTAACCCCTTTCATCCACAAAGTGCAATATAACTTGTTCTGCTCCCAGATCTTGGTAAACATTCCCAGGAGCGTGTTGAACTGCTGCCCCTTGCTTCTAACCTCCTGTTCTGGTAGCATTGACTAATAATCCATTCCTTTCCACAGTGGCTTTAAGGGATTTCTACAGCAGAGCCTAACCTTGGGACTTTCGAGTTATGGTTATGGAACTAGCACAAGTCTGTCACAATATCAGCCCACTATATTAGGCAAGTATCTAAAATAAATAACCCTTTAAGATCAATTTCCAAAGGTGGGCTGGTGGATCAACATTAGCAACACTGGAGAAAGCAGCTCAGGCAGTTTCTGGATTGCAGAAGGCAATGCTGTGCCCATGTACACCAAGACTCCCTGAACACCTTCATTGGCACCCATCAAAGTGCCCCACTACCCCCCCCTTTTCACAATTAATACATTTCCTTATCAGCAACCAGAACTGCTGATAAAATAGATTGCTGTCAGTGCTGAAAAGTGTTTAGTTCAACGGAGTTGAGGAGTGTGTTTGACCTCCGGCCCCACCTCTGCCTTGTATTCAGGTGTTTGGGCAGCTTACCTGCCCTTTGCCGCGCCTTCCACGGCAGACATTCTGTGGCAATGGTCCAGGCACTTTCTCAAACTGCCTAGTGTACCCATGGCCCCAGCATGGTTGCTTGGCCCTCTTCTAATTCATGTAAAACACACTGCCAATGCAAAACCCACGAGCATAAGATGAGAAGGTGGCCTCCAAGAGTGTGTGAGGAGGGGATTCATTATCTGAATCCCATCCCTTCTTAGATGGCCAGAACTTAGGCATGATTTCTGAACAGGTGAAGTACCTTTTCACATATTACATAGCAACAGAACCTGGTTGGCCACAAATCAGACAGCTAACAGGGAGCCAATCCCTCTTCCCTGGTGGGCATGAAGCATGTGCATTGACTGCCTTCACCCTTTCCACATGTGCAGTTAATATATCTGAAGGTGTGCAGCATCCAGAACAACCCAGATGCGCATGGTCCTCATGGAGGGGAGCACCTGGGCTGAGCATCCATCACCACCTGAGGAGCTGGTGTCCCATGTATCAGTGGGGCTCTTTATCCACGGCAGCTTTTGTGCTGAGTTTATAGGAGCAATCCATGGTGCTGAAATCCACCTCCAAAATAGGTTCACTACCAGGGAGCACCATGGATATCTCCTGTGATGCTCAGAAAAAAACCTGCAATGGCTAAGGAGCCCCACTGATGTAGGAGTTGACTACAGCATCCCCTGGTAACCTGAGTCCAATCTAACCCAGAATTGTCTGCCCTGATCTGGTTCATGGGATCAGGCTGGAGACTGATCAGGGATGGGGAGAACTGACATGGGCGAAGGACTGTCAGGTGGAGGACTGAGATGGGGGAAAGTTTGCATGACCCAGGCAATGAGTCCTCCATGGGATAGATATAAATCCACAAATAATTATGGAAAAATGATGTGTGAAAGTGAGGGGTCCAACTGTACCTCTGTATATCAGGATAGGCATGAGCTAGGATCCCTATTATGCTCCATACTTCCAGCTATTTAAAGAGAGAGCGATGAAGGATGTGTGCTGCGGAGATCTGAAAAAGCAGCAGGGGAGGCACGTTTCGCAACCTCTTGACTGCTTGAGCAAAATGCCAGCAGTCACATTCTGCTTCCTAGTTGCAGCCACACTACCAGCTCAGAGCCAAAGCATCCACCCCTGTGGGAGGGCAGGGTGGTGGCTCTGCTCTGTGATTTGCTGGGGCAGCTCAGTCTCATCTCCACCCCTGCCCTTCCCAAGCCTGCCGTGCACAAGGAAACTCTCCAGAGCTGCCAGAACACCTAGGACACGTGTTATCTCTGTGTGTCACCAAGGTCCTGTTGAGCAAGGAGAGTCCAACTCAGCCGACGTCAGCCGAAGCGATGGGCAAAGGAGCAGAATCCCTCCAGGCCAAATCAGCTCAATCTAAGCCTTTTATGCTGTACGTGGAGGGGAGATGCTGCTTTGTTTCTGTTTATGCACAGCAGTCCTGGGGCCACAGTGAAATCTCCATGGGGTCAGGCAACCCTGATGGCTTGGAGGTTCAGGCAGAGCCTTTCTGAGCAGACAGAGCATTTGGAGGCAAGGACCTGCCTCTAGAGCACTTTAGGAACAGAATGATCCACCTGTCAGCCCACCTTGGGCTGCCGCTGTGGTAATTGCAAGCACCTGATCTCTCTCTGCAGCAGAGAGATGTGCTTGGCTTTCTGGGGGCTGTTGCATTTGCTTTGGTAATTTAATTTTTGTGTGGGCAACAGTCTGGAGCTTTTCAGCTACAAAGCAATCCAGGTTAGCTTGTTATGAATTGTAGAAGGCATCACACCAGGCATGCATGAAGAGCTATTTACAGTGTATGTATTCATACATGTTTTTAAAGCTACACAGGAAATATTTGCAGCATATGGGTTTGCAGGCACTGCTTTAGTTTAGCAGGATTCTCTTGGTAGCCTTCTTCAGCTCTGCTTCACTGATGATTAATTTAGATATGACATATCCTTATTAAATTAGTGCCCATGTTTTTACTCTAAAGTATGCAACCAGCTGATCAGTATGAAATTAAGAATCTGCAGTTCAGGAAGAAAGATTAAAAATTGTTGTAATTACATTTATGATCCATCCTCATCATTGATGCCAGGAATATTACCAAAAATAGTAACAGTGACCTTTTGACCAATATTCCATTTTCCTTTCTTAAATATGTGCCAGTTATTAAATGAGGCAGTGGGGAAGTTGAAGCTCTGCTTTCCCAAATATTAAAAGCTGCACAGCTGTTTCAGGATTGTGCGGTCCTCTGAAGAGGGGGACAGAGCAAGAACAATCCCTGAGCTGAGATTCAAAGCAACAAACAGAAATGTTTAATGTGTAGTCTCCCCTACCTTCTTGCCATTTACAAAGAAGACAAGTTCATCCTTCTTTTCTGGAACCATCCTGTGCACTTTCCAAACTCCGTCGAGTGTGGGAGGGTATCAGGTCACACTGTTTTGAGTAGTCACAGCACTGCAGCAGTCTGAATCCTGGTGCTACCAACCCAAGCAATATGAGTAGTCTTTAGGAATCTTTAACCCTATTTCAACATTGGTGCCTTGTAAGAGTCCAAGTTATATAAGAGCCACCCAGAGGCGTGCCAGCTGCACTTGGCTGTGCTCTAATGATAGCACAGGAGAAGTTGAAAAGAATAAAGTCACCACCCCTTTCTATGGCATGAGATTAGATGGGATCTCTCAAGTTCATGGCTGATTCAGTACATACATAGGGATGGCCAAAACTTGGCAGAAGAAAGTGTCACTGGCCATTCTGTAGCACTATGTAGCTGTTACAGAAGAATTGTCCTCTGCATATATTGGTGAATCAGGTTACTGACTTACTAAAAGGATCAAAAGGTTGGAACAGCTGTCCCGTGAGGAATGATTGCAGTAGCTGGGATTTTTAGCTTAGAAAAAAGGTGAGTAAGGGAAAACATGACAGGGGTGTACAGAATTATTCATGAAGTGCAGAAAGTAGACAGAGAGGCATTTTGCTACCTCTCTCACAATACTAAAGCCCAATGTGATCACCCGATGAAGCTGAATGGTGGGAAATTCAGGACAGGTAAAAAAGGCAGGACTTCTTCATACAGCACATACTTAAATTATGGAATGCACTCCCATGACTCGTAGTGATGCCTACTAATTTGGATGGCTTTGAATGGGGAATAGGCATATTCAAGAAGCATAAGACTGTGGATGGCTACTAGTCCTGATGGCTTATGCTACCTCTAATATCAGAGGCAGCAAGCCTAGGTATGCCAGTTACTGAGCAGCATGACCGTGAAGTTGCTAAGATACTCATATTCTACTTGCGACTGGTTCACCGCTGTGTGAACAGAAAGCTGGATTAGATGGACCTTTGGTCTGACCTGGCATGGTCTAAATTCTTAATGTTTAAGTACGAGTGTACAGGAGGAGAAAGTGTGCCTGTGAACCAATGGACTTGGATTCTGAGAAAATCTATATGTGATTAGAAGCCTTAGGCAGATTGCTAATCAGTATGACTACCATAGCACTGTAAGGGCTCAGTAGATTCCATTGATTTGTATGCATTTCTGCCAAGGAAAGTAGCACTCCAGACACTTTAAGTCAAATGAAACTAGTAAAAAAAAAAAACAACCTCCTACAATACTTGGCAGTTACCTAAAGAAACTAGGGAAGCTGAAAGAAATCATGGGATAATATACACATCATCATAAAGTGTCTAAGGACACAGCCCTATGCAAGTTTACACATAAAAAGGACTACAACTCCCAGCATACTCCAGTCAGCCATGCTGAGTGGTGATCTTGGCACAGGTGCAGAAAAAAGAAGTTATCAGAAGAACATCTGCTGATACCAAACCTGCCCATCAAGTGCAGGGATCTTCTAAGACTATGCAGGTCTGGGAACCCTGCAATCCATCCCTGAATGACAGAAAAATGTGTAAAAAAAATCAAAGCACACCATCACCATTTCATCAGGACAGCTCGACTTGTCAGGCACTGCCTGGCTCTGTTCTCTAGAGGAAGTTCACAGACCACCGTTTGAGAAGTAGAAGAAATTACTAACCCTGTACGCAGCTAACATTGTGACACACTGCCTTTCCACCAAGCTCAATCCTTCGCAGTTTTTCCTTCTGTGCTGGTAGATAAAATATTTCAAAATCCTGTTCTTTCCAGTTCCAGGTAAATTTTATTTAATCAATTAGTTGACTTCCATCTCACTTTTCTGCAGAAAGGTACTCAAGGAGGCTAACCAAAACAAAACAAAAAATTCCACATTTGAAACAAAATCTTAATTAAAACTTAACAAGCAGCCCATTAAACACTCCTTCGGCAACCAATCATGAATACAAACATTCTGGCCAGCCAGAAGAAGGACAGTGGAAAGGAAGCCAACCAAACCCCATCAAGCAGGGAGTTCCAGAGCCTTCAAGGTAGGTCCTTGCTCCCCTCCCCAGCTCTGGTCGCAGTAGTACAGAGAGAAAGGCCTTTTCCTGGACTCAGGAGGGCTGGCAAGTAAGAAGGCAAAGCTGTCTTGAACTCCCTGTTGCTGATTTCTGTCCTGATGGCTACTGATTATTATGTATATGACCCACTACCTAGCAAGCAATAACGTTGTAACAAATCTGCCTAGCTATAAAGCTTATGAAACATGGGATTTCTGTAACTCCTACAGTTAGAGGGTGACTCAAGGCCAAAAACAGGCAGGAGTCTGTGTGCCTGTTCAGAGTGTAAAGGCATCATTAACTGTCATATGAATACTCATCCAATTATTCTCTCCAGCACAGATTTTGTGATGCTTCAAAACTGCAATCCCATTTTATGAGCATCAATAACTGGATAAAAGAAATGAGCATATTCACCATGAGAAATCATGTCTCTGTCATATGACCTTCAGCTTCCTTGAAAACTGCCCATGTTCTGTCTTCAACTACAAACTTTTCTAGCTGTTCCTCCAGATTTCTAGGCAAGGGGGATCGCTCAGTTCAACCGCTCCACACCAGTAATTCAGTCATGACCATGCTCTGATGCAGCTCTGCACCCAGAAGAACTGAAAGCTCCCCACCCCATTCCTGGGTAAGTCCAAACTATGGAAGAAGTGGCAAAAGTAGGGGAAAGAGGGCAGCAATGCTTGAGGCTGCCAGGTGAGCTGCAAGTCATGAACCAATCCACACCCGTGGCGCTTCCCTGCCCTACCCCATCCAAAGGACCAGCAAGCTGATCCATGCCAAGGAAACCCGGCAAGTGTAAACTCATCAAAGAGCAGACATGTGCACTGCCAATTACAGGGAGAAGAGGAAGGCTCAGAATGGAATGCTTTCCCCACCATGATCTGCCTGGTTCCAGCATCTTTTGGTGCCTGGTTAAGAAAGTCCTCTATTCAAGGCATTTGGCAGCATAAGATGGGGTTACTAATCACAGGCCCCAGAACCCCCTGTAACTGTTCTTAGGTGTTTTAGATTGCTTTTAAATGTTGCACCTTAAAGCTTTTCTAGTACATTTTGGTTTTGTAGTTTTTGTGAACTGGCCAGAGACTTTAGCGACCAAGTTGTATAGAAATGGAATGAAATGAAATCTGGGCAGAATGTCAGCAAAGACATGAGCAGACGCCCATGTGCCTCACTCTAATGCATCCATTCACATGTGCTAGGATGTCACAAGCGATGATCCCTAGGATTCAGATTCACCCAGGAATGCTGTGGGATGCACACACATGCATGCACAAACACAGAGAACCCTCTAGCCCTCTAGTCCATGCCATCACCTCACCCATCTCCATCCACGGTCCTCACCTCTCCACAGAAGCTCAAGAAGGAATACATGGCTTGCCAGGGTCAGAAGTCTGACAAAAGCAGCATTTATGGAAAAGAGGGGCAGGGTAAGTCAGGGAGCAAGATGCTGATCACACATCACCGTGGTACCCAGTACAAAATACAGAGTCACACCCAGCACTCAGCATTCTTTGGCAAAGTTGGGGGAGGCAATGCCATCCTTGCAAGTGGTACCAGCAGCCAAGCCTCCCTAACCAAGCCGGAGGTCGAGGGGACCATTCAGTGGGAGCAGCTGACCTTGTAATTCCTGAGATGATCCCCTCGTTTCAGGGGTGTACCCCACTAGGCTACAGGTTCAAGATTCCTACACATAGAAAATGCTAATGTCAAGGAGAAGGCTAGGCTAGGATCCTAGAATCACTTTTCTTTTTACTTTTCTGCAGAAGGAGCACATGTCCATACAGACACCATGGGCAACTGCAGCGGCACTGCCCAGACAGATTTATTGCTTCAGGGAGATCTCGGCCCAAGGCTTTTATACATAAGATGGCTAAAGAAGGAAGTAGAGACAAACTACATGTGACAAATCTAACAATGCCACAGTTATGTTAGACTCATAGTCTGCTATACCTGTTTCTTTATCTGCCAGGATTATCTCTGGTTGATTGATTTTTTTAATTTATTTTTTTAGTATCTTGCCAAGTTGGCCCCAGTTCACCAAGCATGAGAAAAAGAGTCCTATTTCTTAAGAGTAAACAAGTATGTATCCCCACTAATGCCAGTGGGGCTATTAATATGCCTTGCAATCTGATCTTATGCATGCTTAATCAGACATGACTTCCACTGAGTTCACAGAGTTCTGTGCTGGATTTGAAACAAACTTCTGCTCAACTCTGGTTTCTGGAGTCCTTGCTCCTGTTTAGTTTCTTCCAAGATTTCATGGATATTGGATGGAAATGGTTTCATTTGGTGTACTAATATTGGTTAGGAATGCAGTTGCCTGTGTGTGTGTGTGTGTGTGTGTGTGTGTGTGTGTGTGTGTG